GGATCCACGGCATGGCATGCCTAAAATTAATAAAGCATGTACCACATCTATTCTACTTATTTTGTAATTAGTTATCGGGTTTTAATACGTATTATATGAATTAAATTAATTTACATTAAAAACGCAATTTTGGTTATTACGAAGCAGATATTTGTGAACGAAAAATTGACACGAATCTTTAAGGACGTTCTGCGGAAAATCTAATTTCTCTAGATTTTCTTGAAACTGTGAATGTACGTTAATTTAGGTGTGCTTTATGCGTAATATAAATTTCAGTACCTCTTGCGGTATTAAAAATCGAGATATTGAGCTTCAAAGTTTCAACTTTTAACATGGGATTCCTATTCCTATTGTAAAACAGACATTATAATAAATTGTAAAAAAAGTTTTCTCTAAATGTTTTTGAAAAACTAATATATGTATAATGCTCCATAAAAATAGAAATTATATGCGGTAAGTGCCAATACCCTTGCGGTACTTGTTTTCGAGAAATACTTGTGTAAAGTACGCGATTTGATGAATTTTTTGCTCGGATCAGCGTGACAGAAGAGGAGAGGGTTAGTTACTTAGCAACGTCGCATGAGTTCTCACGCGTGAAGTTAACTTCTTATTTTTTAGATGTTATTAGTTATTATATGTAATATTTTGTATATAAACATCTTTTTAAGCACGAATACAAGTTGAGCACGACTGGAGCCGGAAAACATCCGTAGGCTACAACTACATCTATCGTAATATTCCCCCTTAAGCGATCGTAACGCTCGTCGTAATAGCGAATAGCTATCGTAAGCTCATCGTATAAGTTGATTCAGCTTGAACTCTTCGTTACGATAGATGTAATTGTAGCTTTAAAGACGGAATTACGATTTGCATCGCATTCCTAATTACTCCAATTAGCAATTAATTTGCGTACCTCATGGCACTTAGTAGGTGCTGCGTCTGGTGTGGTTTGTGGTATTCGCGCTGCATCGCCGGGAGCGAGAAACTGCGTGAATACCAGCGACAGAAGAAGAAGCAGAAATTCGTATTGCAACATAGCGAAGATTGTTGCTTCTTCTGACGTGCAACGTATGTGACTAATGAGATAATTGAAACTGCCGTCTTATACTTATAGCGTTGACGGACTTCGTTCCGTTCCAGTGTGATAGCTTTGCCACAGCAGATAAAAGACGATGTAGACCGATGATGGTCGCGAATGCAATAGCGTAGGCGATAATTTAATTAAAAAATTCTACGATTCAAAATACTTTAAAAGCATTCAATATAATAATATAATAATTTAAAAAATATTAACATGAAAAATATATTTATTATTATATTATTGTTCAAAAATTTTCCTAAAAATGGTAGATGTCACAAAATCGTGCTAACTAAAATAAAATTTACATACACTATGTAATACTTTTGTTATCATGCTTTGATATTAAAAATATTATATCCGATAAAATATGATATGGTTCTGTAATTTGTTTGTAAAATCGAATAGCTCAAAAAAATATGTAACATTCTGGGATGTTTTTCATAAAAAATTCTTGATGTGAACAGATAACAGACACTAGAAGGTTCAATTTTAATATGGCAAGAGTTTGTAATTCTTAAGAAATTATTGTATATATTGACATGAACTAACGTGAATGTTAATAAAAAATAGAAATTATAAGCATTCTGCTATATTAAGAATAAAAATAAATTATCTTACTATTGTCACGTTCTATATGTTGTTCGTCCGTTTTTTTATCAATGCATTTAAGCAATTTATCAGGGAGTTGGACATGCAAGTCGTGCGAAAATTATTATTATTATTGCTCGGGACCAAAAAGATATCGGAGTCTATAAGTTTCGTAACGGGGATCACTTTTTATCTATCTGATTGTAATTAGGATAATCAATGTCGAAGTTGGCAGGAATAGATTTAAATGGAGGTGCGTTTTCTAGTTGTTGCAATTTCTGGAGCAGGAGGGGGAGAGGATTTTGATTAGAAGTAATAGCTTATTTGATCTGGAACTTAATTTAATACGAGGTGATATTCCAGATTTCAAGCTTATTCTTTTTTAAAACTTATCTTTATTTTTCAGATCTTATTGTTAGTACAAACTAAGTTGTACGTGAAGCGCGGTTTTAAAATAGAAAAAGAGTACTGGGATTAAGTCCCAGAATCGAGCGCGAATGCTCGGACTTGAACGTACAGTCAAATGTCGGAAAGTGACTGTCTGGAGTTGAATGAGAGTTAGTAAATGAGTTTTTAAATAATAGTTTTAAATTTATAAAAATACTCTTTTCTTCTTTCATGTTCTGTATACAATACAAACAATATAAATAATATTTAATACTTAAATGTAATTGTTGTTATTGATTACATTAATAATACCGACATAGCAAAAATGTTGATCAATGTAGGGGAAGCTTGGGCAAAACGAACGCCTTAGGCAAAGCGGATAGGCTTTTTTTGCTGTATATCTATATCGCATCTATATTAGATAGTGCTACGAGTCTCTAGCAGGAAGAAAGAGCGACCGGTCGCCGATACCATGGCAGTGCGAAAGAACATGTGATGTCCAAGTTCGCGCCAAGTATGTATAGGTCTTTTGGGCAAATAGAATGGGGCAAAGCCGATGAACCATATCTTCTTCACTCGGTCATAGGCCGGTATTCATAGTCAGATTTTATATTTAAGACTGTACAATCTTAAGATGTCATAAAGTGTCATAAACCAATCACAGAGCCGTATTAGTATTTTAAGACATTATACTTAAGACGGTCTTGAAATAAGAACGGACTATGAATACGAGTCATTATGTGACTGCTGTTTTTTCTGTTTTAAGATGGTTTTTCAATACAAACATAAAACAGATCAAGCGAAATGGACGGAGACCAGTCCCAGTGACTCACCCGCTTTACCCAGGGGGATCGGGCAAAGCGGATAGTTTCTTTTGCTTTAATTTTTTATTGCAAAGAGGTTTAAATGTTTAACATCTTTATTTTTTCTTATTTTATTTAAAAGTTGATTGCTTTGAGAGGATTATTAGAATAAAAAATGTTTCTGATCTCAATTTTATTTTCTTGCCAAACCTTAACACATCCGCGCTGCCCGGGCTTCTCCTAATTAATCTTTCCTCAAGTAGTGAAAAAGTTTAATCAAAAAATAAGAATTGTAACTTATCTAGAATCAATGATATTAAGTTGATATCTTGTTTATATTTAAAAATGTGCATTTATCGAAAGATTAGTCTTGTATTATTACCAGATGTTTATCACATTCAACTGTCATTGTTATATAATATAAAAATATAATAACAATTGTTATATAACAATAATTTTTTAGGACATTTTCGGATAAAATTTTTGTTAATTTGTGTGTGTGTGTGTGTGTGTGTGTGTGTGTGTGTGTGTGTGTGATGTATTTCAGATATCCTTTACAAAATTTTTGTCTTTATATAAGTAAAATTAATTTTTATCTTGTATTAAGAAGAAATTGTTCAGATTTTAATTTTATATTAAATAATAATTCATTAATGTGAACAATTTTATACAATTACGGCTGCTTCATATTTTGAATAGCAATACATAGCTTTAGCATAAAATTTAAAATATTGGACATTACAGACGCGCGCTTTGCGCGCGCTATTTAGTTTTAACATTACACACAACTGTCAAAATATACGATGACAGTTACTCATGAAGTAAGCGCAGCGAGAGAACTAATCGACATCGCGGAAAAGCGACAACAATAAACTTCCATAGATTTGAGTATCGACTTTACGTGCCTTTTTTAGATATGGATGGATGGATCGCGATTCAATAAAGTTATAATATCAAAAGAGATTGATTTCAGAACACATCACAGTCGTATCTAACGTCAGTAACGTCTCTGTATAAATTCAATTGTTGTTTATAATTTTATCGCATATTTATTATCGAGAATAAATCAAGTTCTATACGCATGTAAAATACGCGTATGAAATCCGAAAGTGCACAGAAATGAATAAAAATGGCGAATAAATCACGGTGGAAATTAGGAAAACAACATATTTATTTGCATAATATATAATAAAGTAAAATGCAGTATAACACTGTCAAAGCATGAACAACGTTAAATATTCTCAATGAGGGATAAAAGAGGTAGAAGTACATCAAAGCAAAACTTCAAACATGTCGCACGTAGCGCAATCATATCGCGATACGTTTATTTACGGTGAAGATATTTGAGTGATCTGTAGGCCGTTGGTTTAAATCATGATGCTGGTGAAAATGAACGCAACAGTGCGGAAAACGTATGCCAATAATTCTTCCGTTGATATCTCGGCGAAATTAGATTGATCTTTCAGACCTAGAAATACAATTTGTTTAATTTAATACAATTTTGTTTAATTAAAGAAATATTAAAGTCTTATTTTAATTATACTTTTTTATTATTAATAGAGGAGAGTCTCTTATTATGATCTGATAGGCTCCTAATATGAGGTAGCGAGGTTACTGCTAAAAACTAATAGGACCCATCTATTGGTTCCACCATGAACTTATTGCATTTATTAAATTCATTACATTCATTAAATTCATTACATTTTTAAATTCTGCCCATAGACTTCCGGCAATCACACAAAATAAACTCGATATCTCATAATAGGGAACTTTCTTCTAATACCTAAATATATCGGTGAAATACAGATGAAAATACAGATGGTGATGTTATATAAAAAAATAAACCACAAGTTATTTTGAATAAATTATATTTACAAAGACAAAGTCATATTGCCAATTTAATTAATTTATTTTTTATTAATATATGTAGACATACACATTGTCTTTGTATTAGCCAAAAAAAATAGAGAGAGGGAGGGAAGGAGAGAGAGAGAGAGAGAGAGAGCTAGGGGAGAAAAGGAGAGGAAGATAGGAAGAAACAGATGAGCTGATGTGAGATATGAATAATTAATGTCTTTTAAAAAATAGAATAATTAATGTCTTTTTTTACGACAAAAATAACTTTGTGAAACACTTACCGATACGTAAAAAGATTATAATTATAACCATTTATTATAGTGTGCTTAAAAATCAGAGTACATGATCTCTTGCGGTTTTTCGAATTTAATAGGTCGATAGACTGTGAATGATTGATCCCATCCACGCGGCGCTGTGTTGTAATTTGTCAGATTGTGAAGGCTGGCCAATTTCGGTCCAGTATAATTGTTATTCTCGTACAGTTTGTTTCCTGAAAATTTTAAAACATTAAATATAAATCTGTAAATATAAACATATGATAGAAAAATTATTAAATATTACTAATTAATATATAATTTTAATATATGCATACATCTCATGAACTCAATTTTTTATATAATATAGACAATACGCCTATTACCGTGTTTTTATTGTTACAAAAAAATACAGACACCATGTATTTGATATTGCAAATAGTGAATTATATTAATATAAATTCTTAATTACCGCATAAGAAAAATTAATCTCATTAAGAGAGAGATCTATTTTAAATTAAAACTTAAAAAGAAATATGGTTTTTATATAGTACCTTGTAAGAAATTATTGTATTTTAGAAAAGATTTTTTTTTGTATTTTTGTACTTTTATAATTTTTTATCTTTACATAACATGGGAAAAATTTCGTTTTTCGTATATAATTTAATAGTATAATTAATTTTCATTAATCCATTTGCTATATGTATATGTATAAGGATTAGGAACATATGCGTTAGAGATCGTTTTTGTACGTTTAGTGTGCGAAAGCGATGACATCAGAACTACAAAAGCGCATGCGTATTAACTTGCCTAATTCCGGATTAACATCAACGAGTTTGCATTCTGGCGTGGTGGTGCCTAAAAGATTATCCAAAACCGGTGTGCTACGCAGATGTTTCTTAGTCTCGAGTATGTTCTCCTGCGAGGCGACCATCGAGAGCATCAGCGACTTCGCCTCGGGAGGCATCTCGGCCTCGGTGTTGACGAATCTCGTGCCGTTGGCATAAAGGGCCTCCAATTCCTGCGAGGTGGTCGAATGACGTCGAGTACCCGAGTACTCGTCCTCGAACGCGATCGAGTACTCGCTGCTGTCGCAACAGTTCAATAGGGCGGACGGCGCGGAATTTCCGCGATCTATAGATCCCGCCTCGTTCTGATAATCTTCGGAGTCAGTGTCATCCGTCGTATATTCGCTTTCGTCAGTGGAAACGTAGCCGTTGCATCGGGACTGTAGTTTCGCTGATCCTTCGTAGCTCTCGTGTGCACTGCATAATTGATCGTTGCACTGTAGTTTCCTTTCGTAGCTTCCACGTGTGTCGTACAATCGGCTGTTACATTGGGACTGCAGTTTCGCGGATCCTTCGTAGTTTCCGCGTGTGCTATATAATTGGATTAAAATGGATTCTCGATTTGATTTCGCGAAACTTTGATCTCCTCTATCTAAAGAGAGATATACTACATCTACATGTGACTGCAATTGCTAGTAAAAATATAAACGAAAGATAAACATACTTTATCGAACTTTGTTGAACTACGGACTGTTATGAATAACAATATCACGAATGACATCTTGTGTCTATCACATTTGCAATTGAAATAGCAGATTAAAATATGCATTGCTAAAAAAGTACACATAGCGCGACATCAAACAAACAACTCAAACTTCCTCCACCATTTACGTCAATCATCGGAGAATGATTTGAATAATTACGTTATCGTTAAGAAACACTAAAATAAAATATAAAAGGCTTTTTGGTACATTATTATTTATTAAAACCGAAGAATCCATCATTCTCACCGTGCGTATCTCTCCTCCTCGTTGTTATACTTGATAGAATTTTTCGTCTCGAAGAAACGCGCTATGCCATTATCCAACGGACACTGCTGTACGATTGGAATGATCCTTGGACTGATCTGCTTGTATTGCAGAACCGGTCTACAGGTTTTCTCGAATTCTTGTATCAGTTGCTTCACTGGCACAGGAGTGTATCCGTTTTCCTCATTGTCATTCTGCATCTGTCTGTCGCTCTGTTGCTTATTCTCGATCTTGTTGTCAATTACGTTATCGTACTTGTTATCGTAACGCTGTTGAATTCTCGTGCCTCTGCCATTGTAGCTCCGCGCATTACGAACGTCAGATTTTCTCGGCGACTGATAATTGTTGTTAATATATCTATTATTGTTACTTGCGACAGCGTAATTATTGGCCATGTTAGTGCGCCGATTGTTAGTAGATTCGAAAACGGTACGACGAGATTTCTCGACGATGGGCGACCGTGAATGATCGGAAGGAAAATCGGAATCTGTGCCCACCGCAATTTCCCGCAGGTAAATCTTTTTTATCTCGTTCGAATGGCCGCATCGATTAGCGTTACAGTGCCTGTCTGCAACTCGCAAATCGAAATTGATACAGCGGAGCATAGCAACTGGAAAAAGCTTTGTTACAGGATTAAGCATACCTAAAGTGTTTTTCCGAAGAATTAGAGGAAACTATATACATATACTTGAAAAGATTTAAAAAATGGTATAAAAGAAAAAAATGTCAAAATAAAATGTAAAAATAAAACTTGTATTTAATTACAGTTTAATTACTTTATATACATAATATTATAGATCGGATCTCTAATATTTGTGTAAAAAGAAATGTAAGATTTCAAATTTTTATAAATCTGTTCTCTTATAATTTATTATAGGGGAAAGCCCGGGCAAAACGAACGCCTTCCTTGCTTTTTTTTTCGCTCATCTATATTAGATAGCGCTGTGAGTCTCTAGCAGGAAGAAGGAGCGACCGGTCGCCGATGTCATGGCAATGCAAAAGAACAATTGATTGCTCTTGTATGTCTTTTTTTTGCCAAACTTTAACACATCCGCGCTGGCGCTGCCCGGGCTTCCCCTATGTCTGTTTTAGCACAAATACTTTAATTGCGTTATCTAAATATCTTTAATGTTGTATATGCTTGGCAACAAAAATGCTTTAATGTGTTATTTTATCGTGAGATTATATGTTTACCTTGAAATGCACTTAATCTCTGTATCTGTATTCATCAAACATGACAAAAAGCACGATCGACATCGAAAGATACGGTTTTTTGTTTATCTTAGATATATCGCAGAAGTGTCAAGCGCGCGCGCGCGCTTTCCGTCGATTAAATAACATCGATAACGATTGCCAATTAGAACGTTAAAGATCGTTCAACTCGAGTTCTCTAAGTATCCGATCCAACATTGATCTCTATTTCGGAGACGTGTCAAGTACCTCGAAATTCTAGAACACTTCTTCGCTCATATAAGTCTGATAGAAAAAAGAGGATAAAACTTTTTAAAAAATTCTTCTATTTTATTTATACGATTAAATCGTATTTATTTCTTTGTTTTTATTATAATAATTATTGTATTTATATATATTATGTTATTATAGCTTTTTTTATATATTATGTATTTTTATTTTGTATTATATGTATTATATTTATTAAAAAACAATAAAATTTCGAAATTGAAAAAATAAGATATAAAATGTAAGACACTGTAAGAAATCAAGATTCTTGAAAAAAATGTGAAGAAAAATATAACTAAAAAGTTCTAAGTACATGATTATACCAGTCTCAGAAAATCTCTAGCGTATTCTCTGCACTGTAAAATAACATGATTTTTCTTGAGAAAAAAATAAATATTGACGTTATGTAAGTACATACATAATAGGTCTGTTTTTTATTGCTGCACTGCTGAACTAGTGCAATAAGTTAGAGTGGGACAAGTATATTTTGTTTCACTCTAACTTTTACTGCACTAGTGTGCACTAGTTCAGCAATGCAGCAATAAAAAACAGATCTAATGTCAAGCGACATCGTGTAATAAATTCCGACCTCGGCTTTCGAAAGACTTTGTTGACATTGATATTCGCTCGTAATTTTAAAACATTTTGGAGAGAATAGATAAAACAGGCCTCGCCGTTTGCCAACGCCGTTGGTTAAATCTGCCAAGTGAGATCACCTTGCATTTGAGATTATTATTCTGTCCATCATTGAATTGTGTTTACGCACCTGTTATCGGGATATTCGCGTTGTCAAGGGAGATATCCACTGTAAAAGGATTATAAAATGATTTGTCAATGCTCGAAACTGGCGTACGCGGTGTCAGCGAAGGCGTCATGAACTTTGCGTTACCATTAATTTCCTGAAATCACAATTGTTTACTTTTTATAATGCAAAATATCATTACTTTTAAAAATTACGAAAATTTATTCCAGCTTTTACAGAATAAAATATTATGAACTTCCTTGAAATTGAAAAATATATTATTCTATTTATTTATTTTAAGCTTTTTAATGCAGATACTATTATAAGAATTTAAATTTATAAAATAAAATAGAAATTTATTATTCTACGGGTGAATAAATTGTTACAATATATATACAATAAGAAATTTTACTACTTACTAATTTTTCTGGATATGTTGGCGTCTTCGGTGTGACAGGCGTATTGGGTGTCTGTGGTTGTTCTTGGTCCACCACCCACTTTTCCGATCTTTTCCTACGTTTCGCAAATATCTCAGCACCTGTAAATTGTTTTGGCAACGCTATGTTATATGCATATTATATATATATATGTATATATATATAGAGCAATAATTCTGTATTTATATAGTTGAAGATATTTCTCAAAGAAAACAAGTGTTTTATCACATATTGTTATATTATATTATATTATTATATTATTATATTTATATTACATAAAATATTATGTAATGTTATATATTTTATGTAATCTTAACATACATAATTTTGATATTACAATTAGTTCACGTTAGTTAAATGCACGACACTTACCGCGTCCTTTTTGATTGTTCAAATCGCGGACGATATCAAAGAGCTTTTCAGGATTTTTCGGTACCGATGCGATATTGACTTCTTCACCTAACGCCTGAATGCCGTGAATGTCCAGCACTTTCCCGCATGGATTCATCACGCATTTGAGGGGTAGTTTTTCCTATTAGAAGAAATTTTATTTTACAGTAGATGTGTGTGTGTAGATACATGCAGAAAATTCAACGATGCACACTATGCCTTTACCTTGTGAATCGTCGTGGTTTCTTCTTCGTCCTCGACACCTGCGAAATACTATCTATTATATCGTGCAAATTGTGTATGTTTTTGATAATGTAAACACAAAATTCTTCGAACGAGAACGCGACAAATTTTTACATAATGCGACAGTTTTAATGTAGAAATAAATTATATGAAAAATTTTAATGCATACCATTGCCGTCGTGGATCCATTTAACAGATCGCTTTTTTCTATTCACGTACATGGACTGTCCTTTGCTTTTCACATTTTTCACATCGCTGAGCGAATGCGAAATTCGACGTGCAAGCTCGACTTGATCCTCGACCGTAGGATGCGTCGGTGCGTAAAAATACGAGGACGCAAACATTTTCTCTGAAAATGAATTTTGAACGTTGTCTTAATCTCAATAAATGTGTATCTATTTCTTCTAGATACTTCAGACATTATATATCATATTTAATCCATCCAAAGAAAATTCCTTAAAATATTTGTTATTGTAAAAGTTAATTCTGTTGTTAATTATATCAAAAGGCACGTACTATTTTTTGATTGTAATAGCTCTTGAGAGTCTGATGCTGGAGTAAGTAGCTTTTGCAAATTAATCGGTGTACTTTCGCCCCCTTCCTGCAAGTAAAACAGTAATTGTTACGCATTTATATCGATGAAATAGAACCAACGAAACCATATGTGTGAAAAATTCTAAAATTATAATTTTTCTCTTTGGCCTTGAATTTTCTGATGAATTTGTACTCAATTATTTTTTTAACAAAAATGACCGAGAAGTCAATAACCTTGAATTATAAATAATTATAAATGATAACGTTTAGAATGTTGAAATAATCATTTTTAAGTAAAATTTGTCTTATAAGAAAATTAGTTTACAGTTCTAAAAATAAATATAGAGGAAAGTCCCCTATTATGAGATAGGTTCTTAATATGCGACAGCGAGGTTTCTGCTAAACTAATAGGCCCTAATCTGTTGGTTCCACCATGAACTTATTGCCTTTGGGGTAAAACCTATTTAGTGAAAAATTCATTGTTTGATCGTGCGTGTAGTCGTTGCAGAGAAAGAAATTGTGAAATTGGATGTTGTCAAGTGTCATGGATATGAGTCTTTAAATGTTTATTATATAATTAATAAATATTTGGCAATAAGTTCTGCATGCAGCGATAGAGTAAGGTCGTATTAATAGGAAAATACGGGATATGTTGAGTTGCTCAATTGTAGAGATTAGATTTGGTGATCGTGAAACCGCAAGGCATGGTGCTCGTAACATGAGATACTCAGGGTACTCCTGGGTTGCTGAAGTATGAAAGTTATTGTATAGTAATAAAAGAAGAGAAAATACTATATTAACGTTAAGGGAAGGTTTATACGAATTTATAAGACTGTGCTGACCTTAATTTGAGAGGGAAGGGTGGAGGGGGAAGATTAGGTACAATATTGAGTATAAGTAGGTTTACGATTGTTGCAAATATGCTTCACCATTACATTTGTCTTTCAAAAACTTTAAATAAAGTTTTTTAATTGCAATATTATGTATTTTGCACTTTATTAGCGATTTCCCGGGGTCTCTCATATTAGGAGCACACTTTTGCGATTTTGCCGAAAGCTCATTTTTCACATTTTTCTAATTTTCAGCAAAATTAATATTTAAATTAAATTTTACAATCAGCATCTTAAAGCTTATTAAATTCTCTTTAAAATGACCTACTTAGACCTACTATATTTTTCAATTCTGCCCATAGACTTCCGGAAATCACACAAAATAGATATGGTATCTCATAATCGGGTACTTTCCTCTATTTAATCAAGTATCATGTCTTAAGACTTAAGAAAATCGGTTTTAAACTTGTTCAATTTATAAATGAAAGTATTAGACCTAGTTTAGAATACAATTAGTCGTATGTCGGAGTCCAATGAAGGTGGTCCAATAAAGAAAATTCGTTTTCGAAAAATAAATTTGCTCATTGGACCATCGGCTACGTTCCGACTCCCGACATACGACTGATTGTAGACCTTAGTCTAAGGCCGGTATTCATAGTCGGTTCCTATTTCAAGACCGTCTTAAATAATGTCTTAAGATGCTAATACGGCTCTGTAATTGGCTGATGACATCTTAAGATGGTAAATATAAATAAATATAAGAATCGACTATGAATACCGGCCTCAGGATGAATAATAGATTGGTCACGTACGAATTGTGACTTCTAAAGTGGTGTAAAGCTTCAAAAACGTCAAGCTTGAACGTGTTTCTTTTTTCAACGAATCCTCCAAAGTTTTGCAAGTTAAAACGACTCCACTCACCATGCCGAAGTGCAATATTTTTGAAGTGAGATTCTCGAGGAAGTTCCTTTTAACCGGATCGTGTCTGTCAGACGGCTTGTAACCGCGCGAACGTATTACAACATTGTCTGCCGATACGCTACGCTGCAGATAATTCTTCTCCTGTAGGGATCCGCTGTATTTCACGCTGCACTTGTACTCCGCATCCTTGGAGCACGTGAGCCCATACGAGGTGTTGCTCAGAACGTTGCGCTTGGCGTTTGCCGTAACGTGTCTGCGGACATTTGAAACGTTTGCAATGCGATGCGGATCCTCCATTTACGCAAACTCTACGAGATTTCGCGATGACCGTACAAACATAAAGTATAACGAAAACTGTACAGATAAAGAGAAACTTTTGTAACTTCGTGTGTAGAAGAGTGATGATTTTTTATAAGATTATTTTAGATAAGAAAATATTAAATGTAAATTTCATTATAAATATCTTAAATTTTATTTGAAAACTTTAAATTATTTTAAATTGAAAATTTGACTTTTGTTATGTCACTAATTGTAAGTTAACTTATTATAAAAATTTATTGTCAATTAACTTCTTAAAAAAACAAAAGAAAATTAAATTTGTTGTGATACCAATAAAATTTTATATTTTGTAATTACGTTAAACGTAAAATAATTATCTGATTTTCGACAATACATTAATATTAGTTAATTATTGCCGGATTTATCTCGCAATAGTATTACTACTATACACTATTGGCCTGAAAAATTGCGATAATAAAGTTTCTAACTACATAATTTTCTTTCAATTAAAAATTGTTAAAACAGTGCTATTTTTGAATAAAAAATAAAATATTAATTGGAATATTTAGTACTATTATTAAATAATGAAAATAAAAATATCTTTTGACACTTGTAAGAAGGCAAACGCGATAATTTTTTCATTTCAGTAATGTATGTCAAAAAATTATAAAATTACGATCGCTATTTTTCTTTTTGTCGGAAATAATTAATCACCTATTCTAAATGAGATTTAAAATCAGAAATCGTACAAATTCATTAAAATTGCACCTTCAATTCTTGATTCTAAATTTGCGAATGTTTACATTGTTTTCTTGTTCCAAGCAGCAGAAATATATTTAGCAACGTCAGTACGTTCAGTGTGCAGAAACATCGTGTTCACCCGATCTTAAATTTTCGACATCGCGATATCTGATCAATTGTACAAGATATGTAAGAGAGAGAGAGAGAGAGAGAGAAAGAGAGAAACATAAGGATCTGCCCGGGCCGACATGCCGTAGAGCTCGGCAAAGCTTTTTTGACTACGAGAATTGGTTACCTTCCAAGCAGCCAATTAATTCCGCGTCGCGGTATTGGCAGTGGTACAACGAGCTCTGTGTAAAAGAAACGCTAAATTTATCTGTTGTAACGTAATACGCAGTAACAGTTCGAAAGCAGTCGCCCTTGCCGCGCACGCGATCGGCATCGTATTGCGTATAAAAAACCCGACAACAATCCACAATAATACAATATTATATTTATGATAGATAAATAATTAGTCTTTTATTCTCCAGTCCGGATGCAAACTTTGTATAATTATGTTTAATAAGCAATTAGCAAAATTTTGCGATACACATGTATGTATACATATATGTATACATATTTTAATACTAATTTAATAAGATTTACATTAATATTAACGTATATGTGTATTGCCTCCTGTTAATTTGTCTGGAAAAATAATATGGCGCGGTTCAATTCTCACAACGCAATCGATACTTCGCTTTAAATAGATTGTTTGGTAGAAGTTTGAGAGTTTCTTCGAAGCCGGTCAGGCTGTTCGCGGTACTGAAATTTCGAGAAAGTTTTAACGGATCAAACTTCGACCATTGATAACTTAATTTGGATAACAATTCGCAAGCGTTTAATTGACAAAGCGATTGGAAAGGAAAAACACGTAAGTCTCGAAGAAAATGCATTAATTATCATATAAAATATTCCGAGACAAATTAAAAATTGTGTTAATTGTTTTTTAAAATAGTATCTTTACTTTTTCCAACCACCGAGTAGATTATAAACAGCTAAGTTATTTCGATATCGAATTTATAAACACGAGTCTTTAGAATAACTCCTAACTGTCAACTTCGATTATTACTCCATAATTTTGTCAAAATGCACATTTTTTCTATTTATTTAAAAGTTTGCGATGACGCGCTCTCTTTCTCTCCCTCTCTCTCTCTCTGTCTTACTCTCTCTTCCGACATTTCATAACATACTGCTGTCACTAAAATTTCCCCTGTACAGTTACCGCAATTGGAAAACATGTCACGATTAACTTAGCATTCATCAACCATGGAAAAATAGCCACATTGATAGACACATTTCTGATATCACTCTCTCGGGGAAATCCTCTTTTGCAAACGATAACGGTGATAAATTTATAAAAAAAAAAAGACGAAAGAAGAGAAAGAAGAAAAAACCATGATTTGGATAACTCGCACTCTCTCTCTTCCTCCCTCTCTCGTCCCCATTCTCTCCCAGGTTGACAGAGACATTGCAAATAGAGATTTTACTTATCAAACGATGCTCTCCTCATCGCGACGTGCACGCACACAGAAAGTGGGTCGTCTCCCTTCTTCGCCTACACTTTGTTTTCCTTCGTTACCCGCGATTTATTTTTCTCACGGCTTTACGTAATGCGCGACACCCCGGCCTACACACTTTGCCGAAGGTGGTCAGAGTCCGCCTGAACTCGACGACGAGGGCTCCCTCGTCGCGGCAGGCGAATCTCGCATCTTGCAAAACGCTCCCTGGCACGCACCGGCCGTTCAAATACGAGAGTCAGCGTACCAGAAGGAGTCACCGCCGCTGCTACCGCCGCCACCGCTGCTGCAACGCTCAGGGGCGAACGACTACGGGCCGGTTCATTGATAGAACAGAGATGAGAAAAGGGAGTAACGAGAAAAGCGAGAGAGAGAAATGGAACTTATTTTTATATCGAGCAAACTGCCGTGCGAATCGTCACGGATCTCCATCGGGTACCTCGCGACTCTAGTAGCATGCAAAATGATCTCTCCCCGAAAGAAAGGTCATTGCCCGAACGCGGTATATCGGTTCGTATAACGATAACGATCGCTTCACCTACATACGTGAACGGGTATATCTTCCGGAACGGCATCGACCGTGTTGGCGAGAGAAGTGTCACTTCCGTGGTGGCGGAGGCCTCTCTCGATGCCTTCTCCACGGCTCTATAGACTGGTACTATCGAGAGAACCCGCCTCGTGCCCTTCTCTTCACCATGAAGACCCGATCCGAGATGGTCGAGCCCAATCAGGCGGGGTCCGCAACTTATATGCAATGAATTACAAACACGGCCGGCACACACGGCGCTTTATAATAGCGCCCAAACTGTCGTCTATACAGCGCCTGCTTGCCGACTGGCTTGGGACGCCTTTCGGTAAAAATAGATCATCAGAAAGCGACACCTCAAGATCCGAGCCGAGCCAACGGGTTGTCCGTTATGGCACGTCCGTACGGCGTCGTGTACACAGCAAAGTGGTAGCTGTGCTTGTTACCACGCAAACACCTGCGGGTCACCAAACTGAAGACATTTAAAGTACGACCTTTGCGGTTTACTTCGTTTTCCCCGCGTCGGGAACGAATTATTCTGTAATTATTACATATTAATTAAGATAATGACGAAGATTTATTACAATGTATTTTAAGATATAAACAAATTGCATTAGGTATTATATTGTTTATATACATTTGTTTAGATACGTGATCATTAACCCCGGAATGATCTTGCACCTACTCATCCCTAATCGTCATTACTTACGTGTTATCCATATTTTCTCTCAAAATCTTAATTCTATTGTTGGCTATTTCGTGTTTCTTGTTTTTCTTAGACTTCCTCATCTTACTTTTTAATTTTTCCATTTCCGTTTTAGATGCCGCTTGTTTTAGTCGAAACTCAAGTTTGTTATGTCATTCCTTTTTCTTTGCATTTTGTTCATCTATATATATAGTTTATATTTCTTTAATTTTTTCAAAGGTACATACATATAATTGAGCTCTTTTTATTCTTTGTGAAAATTTTAAGTTTCTGAGACATGAAGTTTAACGCGTGGAATAAAATTTGATTCTACTGTTAGTTTTTTATTTATCTTCCTTATTTTATAAATCTATCGTGTCTTTTTATATCTATTTTTTGTCATTTTAATATGTTATTGTTACTTTAATTTCTTACTTTTCTCAATTATATGTTTTTAAAAGCTGTTTAATTTCTTAGTAGATAGTAGTTACCATATATTTCCAGAATTATTTTTAAATTACATTCTTCGAAAATTCTTTTTAGCTTTTATTTTTTTTAGACAACTATATTACATAAATTATGTACGCATCCAAGAGAGAGAAATATATTCTGTGATTTTTATTAATTGCATGTTTTAATATAAGTTAGTAAACAGTTTGAATAATACTATTCTTGAAGTCATTTTTTACTGTAGCTATTATTTCGATATCTTCAATATACAAGTGAGTAGTATAGTTCTCATCGTAATTATTTGATGCTTTTTGTTGAGATCGTAGAAATCCAGCATCTAAAAAAATTAATTTAATATAATACATTTTCTACAATTATAGATGTTAATAATCGAAAATAAAGGTTTTTCCTGGAAAAAAGAATAAGATCCTACAGTTGATAAGTTTTATGAAAATACATTTCGGTACGTATACCTAAAATATCACGTCTTTTAAGAGTTTTAAGCAGATAAATTTTAATTAATAAAAATGTTTCACGAAATTTATTCCTGGTAATGCTAGGAATAAATATATTGAAAATGAAATTTGTATGTTGAATATATTTTATGTAGGTATACTGAAAGAGAGAGAGAGAGAGAGAGAGAGAGAGAGAGAGAGAGAGAAACTTTAATAAAACACAGCTCATTTACTTATTTAAGCTGCCATATAAAACAAATAAAAAATAAAGTTTGATTAAAACTGGACAATGATTTTAAAAATCTTCATTCTTTTTCAAATCTTTTTAATTTATATGTATGCTTACTATGATTCTCAATCCAGCTTTTTAGTTTAAATGTATCAGACAAATCTATTATATGGAGGGACAAAAGTCATAGTGGTGTAAGTCAAATTTTAAATATTGACTCGTGTGCATAGATGCAATTTATATATTGTACAGATTGCATCTATGCACACGAGTCAATATCTTAAAAAAAATTGACTTGCACCTATGGCTTTTACCCCTCCACATATAACTGTACCATATTATTAAATATTAATCTTATGAAATTAAAGTAGAATTATTTAAAAAATAAAATAAAATAAAATTTAATAAATGATCAAAAATAGAAGTTAAAACTCACTTGTACTCTCTTCTACTTCATATCTACTTCGTATTGGATGATACTAATGAATTCTGTTCTGCATGGGAGGTTTCTACAACATGTTTAATAATAATAGTTAATCTACAAATTAAATATAATATACAGTTATCATTTTATTGTCAATTCAAGAAAAAGTAAATTATTGAAAACTTACTTATTCATTTGTTTTTCTTTTTACAATGTTTTCAGCAATAGTGATCTTCTTTTCAGAATTGCCTTCCAATATCTTCTAGCTGAAAATTGCCGTTGTTACTAGAAACCTAGAAATTTAATAATATTGGTAAAAATAAACAATAAACAGAAGAAATACAGCTCTAAAATTAATTTTATAAAAAAATGTGTACTTCTAAATTACTAGAAATATTTTATCCATTGTTTATCGTTTAGAAAAATTATCATCTTCTTATTTAGCTGCATTCGAGAAGCGATTAGCGCTATTTTCTTATTCTATCCTTGTTTTGCACCTATTAATCAGCAATAAAGATAGATGCAATAGCGCTAATAGCACGCTCCTCAAATGCAGCCATAGTCTGATGCTCCAAACAGTATAGTCTAATGCATTAAAGAATTTCTTATCATTTTCTTTAAATATTTGTAAGATTTGTAATCAGCTTCTTTTAATTTTATCAACGATTTTCTTGTGTTCTACAGAATCCAAATTATTTTCATTTTTATGACAATCATCATCTGTTCGTTGCTTTTGTGTTATCTAAAAAATTAATGAAGACTAAAGTATATATAATTTAAAATATGAAACATATCTAAATACTTTTAATCCATTAATTTTGTTTTCTGTTTTTATTTGTTTTGTTATTATCATATATATCACTATCTATTTCATATATTTTTAAATCATAGAAAAGAGTTTTTTGTTCAAGGAACTCTCTCGTAACTACTTAGTTCAAATTTTGTTTCTTTTTTTTAATAATTGCTAATTTTTTCTTCTCGATGAGTTAAAAAACTTTTGATTTATTTTCATCTTTATTTCTATAATAAGCAAACTTTTATTATTAATTTGAATCTAGGAAAAATTATTATAAATTGTAAATATAAAATATAATTAAATGTGAGTTACAACAAGATTAGCACATGTATAATTTCCTTATTCCTTTTCCTTTTATCTTTAAACAGAGAGAGAGTCAAGAGATTTATATATTAATTATCTCATTAATAAGACATAAATTCAATTTTCTTACCTCTGCAATCTTTACTTCAATAAATTATTAATGTATAAACACTCAATATGGACGTTTATATGAATACAAGTTTACTTACAATTTTCACATGCTTAGATTAGTAAGCCCAAACACCAAATGATTCCAAAGTTGTCGACCCATATATGCCTCCTACTGCTTCTGTACGCATGCGTATTGTACGCAGAGTCGACCACGTGCAATTGCTCTAATAAACTCGTGCTTAAATGTAACACATTTTAAAGCTTATAATACTTTTTTATGTCTTTTCTGCTGATTATGCCGTTATTAAAATTATTATTAATTAGTACTTTTATCCCCCTATATACTTGTTATTAATGTCATTAATTTTTGTTAATTATTTAAGTTATTTGAAATAAAGCTCTTTAGTACGTGCCAATTTTTCTTTAACAACAGGAACATCATTAAAATAAGTATTTAAGCAAATTTTTAAAAATTTACTTTAAAACAGATATTAATTAAAAAAATAAATAAACATTTTATTTAAATTTCTATAAATTTTATCCATAAATTTATATTAGAAACTTCTAAAAATCGAAACTTTTGTCTTCCAAATTATTAGTTTTATTTAGGCTTTGATAACTTGCGATTCGATTGTGCTACTACCGAAGCAATGATGTCACTGCCACAACACGCTCAGATAACAGTTTATGCCTAGCACGTTTACGCATTAAAATTCATGCTATAAGAATTGCATGATCAGTACGAATAAATCCGAATCAAGATTATCTTTATGCATCCTAGAAACTTACTAATAATAAGTTTTATTGAAGATACTGGATTGTGATTATTTTTTATTTAATTGAACATATATTTGATTATTTCTAACTACTTCTTTAAGTCTTCCAGTCGGACACTTCAAACATTTCAAACTTTAATTTGGTATTTTTAATCATTCGAAATATATCTGAACGAATCTAGTTCTATTTCGCGAAATAAATGTGAAAAGAATCGAGTCTAATGTCATTGAGCGTACATGAAAACAGACATTCCGCAAAATCTCTTATCGTTGAGTACCATGTGGAGGGGGGGGGACGCGTTGATTATGCAGTTGTTACATGAACCTTTAACATACTTGATTGTAGATCTCTTGTGTCTGCGTATCTCGGTATCGTAAATCTAGCGAAAAGTGCGTTCTACGAAAATTGATTTGGATATGAGTACACGAAGACGACTCCTCTTCGCAACTGTGTGTTCTGTAGCTAAAGATTTTTCGTCTTTAACTATCGTTATCTATAACGATGCCTCTATTTATGTACATATTTATGTACATATGTCAATGTGCTGTCAATATACGGTAATTATGCAGTTAATATGTTAATTTAATCAAATCATTATGTTGCTTAATTGATACCAAATACTTATTAAGAAAGTAAGTTTTTTAAAAAATTTATAATTGTATTTAATCAATCTATTTATTAATATTTTTTGTTTATATAATAGTGCTTTTTCTTTTAACGAAAAAACTCTATGAACATGTCAAAATAACTAAAATAAGCATAAACTTTTTTTAGATAGTTTTACACTAAGAAAAGAAATTTGTTAATCCCAAAAAAGATTTAGTCCGATATACGAGCAACTAAATATTTTAGGTAGTTTAACTAAACTTTAGTTAAATTAATTAATTCTTGATTAAAAAATTTTAAAGGTTGACATGAATGCGTTATACCTTTTTTAGTGCAACTTAATAATTGTTGAAACAACTAATGTTTAGTTAACTAATAATTAACATGTTTAGTTGCTCGTATCGGACTAAATATTTTTTAGAATTAACAAATTTTTTTTCTCAGTGTATATACTTTTCTAAAATTTGTTTGTTAATGTTTGAAATGTTTTATATTTGTAAATTAAAAAAATAATTTTATAAAGTTTAAGTATTTCTTGAAAGTTTATATATATCTTATCATATAATTCTAGAAATAATTCTTATTTAGTGAGTTTTGTAATAAATTATGAATGTAAAAAAGGACTGTATGAAATTATCGATAAAAGTATTATCATTAATTTTTGCTTTTTATCAGACATGTATTTTATGTCGATACGTCAGGCTGAATCCGTTGAATTATAAATAATAATATAAGCTCGAACATGTGGTGAGCGTTATCTTAATCGGTATACATTAATGAATAATTTTGAATTCGCGGGTTTACGTACACGTATCGCGCCTTCAAGATAACTGATTTGTCACGTGCGTTGTTCTAGCTCGAACTTATATAAACACATACTCGCGCGGCGCAAGCGATTAAACTAATGCCGTATATCGTCTGAGAGGTTTGGTTGTACACCTGAAACGCTCCTGAAAAATTTACAACATATTTTTACGGTTTGGTGATTTGTGCGTATTTACGAGTGTACAAGATGAGCATAATATTAAGTTCACTCGCTGAAATCGTCGATTATTTTCCAAAACACTTCGGAAAACTTTGGTATATTGTCAGCCCAAAGGAAACGACTTTTGAGTTTTTGCACGAAGTGCCAGACTATCAACAACAGGTAACGTTTTCAATATGAGAAATTTTAATTATTTTGAATGCTATTAATTATATTTTATTAAACGTGTACTATAATTCAAATTGATAATGTAGAAGAGACTAACAATATTATGTAGGTATACTGATTTAAAGAAGAATTATGTATTGCTTTATAATATCTTTATACGATCACGAAATGAATATAAATTTAATGAATATTTAGAACAAAAGCGTTGAAGTTTAAATTTACACTAAAATAAATAAATTTTTAGAAACAATCTCAAGAATAATTTCAATTTTGAGTAATTTTTATTAAAGTTTTATTGAATTTTGCTATTTTAACTTTACTTATTTAATGTAATAATAGTAATTTAATAAGATGGTAATGCTTTCCTGTACTACAGTGTGAATTATCCAAACTTCGATTGGCATTCAGTCCATTAGCATTCCGCACGAACAGCATCTACAAAATTCTTCTTTGAAAAATCTACTTGATACAGTTTATTCCAAAGTAGCATAAACGATGTCAAATGCATCGAGGAAGTCCAGTAATTTGAATGCGCAGCTGGCCTGTTACTTGTGTACGAACGCGGCAAGCTACATGAATCGTTAACAAGTCATATGTGCGCGCTATTCTTGTCGAGACCTCATTCGAATGTAGCACTAATACATGAAACTACGAGCAAAACTTAACTTTCTGCATACACACAATCTCTGATATTTATAGATATGGATACCGTTTTTTCTGCTGTTGATTCTGGAGCAATTAATATTGAGGAAGAAAAGATTCCGTTTAAACGATCAAGTGACATCATTATCACACTGGATGCTCATTGAAACTGTCCGGTAAGAGTAAATTACGACTTATCCTTTACTATCAAGATAGCAAGCTGACATTATTTGTCGTTATTTTAATTTTGAAATGATGTCTGCCGATATTTTGATGTCAAAATAGCGATAAATAACATCAGTTTGCTATATTTTGCTTCAGATCAGATGCGTTCACGAACACAATTCAGTTATTTGATTTTATTTAATTATGTCTTTTATCTAAAAGAGTATTAAAAAAAACAAATATAAAGGGGATTGCATGAAGAAAAAACAAAAAGAAGACTTTAAATTCAGTAGTTATAAAAAATATAATAAGTATATAACAAAGATAAGATATTTATATAAAGATATAAAAAATAAATAAGGATAAAGATAATAAACATGTAAAGTATGAATCTAAAATGTGTGTATTGTACTTATACATTTTTGTTTGTTTGACAAATTTAGACGAAAAGTCATTATCGGTTTCACAGAATTTTTTCTCGTGGTGCCGAATATTTTGTATACATTGCCATTTATGAGAGGTTTGGCAGAGGATACACTTTACCCTGGAACTCGCTATGGACATGGTATATTACCTTCATTGCCGTGGACTTTTGTTACTATTGGGCTCATCGCAGTAATCATGGTTAAATTCCTATCCAAGCATTCCTCAGCATTTGACACAGCCGTCTCTCTCTCTTCTCCTTTAATTTAAGATGTTAATTGATCTGCTTACAGAAGTTCACTTTTTATGGGCCTACCATCAAGTGCATCACAGCAGCGAGGAATTTAATTTCGCGGTTGGTCTGCGACAATCCATTCTACAACATTGGTGCAACTTTGTAAGTATCATTTCTCTAAAATTTCTTCAGTACAAAAAATTTATTATGAAGGAAAATATTAATAATTTTAATTTTCGGTATTTTATATCTTTAAAAACCAATTAAAATAAATTAAAAATAAAAGATGTTTTTAAATTATAACTATAAAAGATTTAAAAATAAAATTTATTGTATATATTTTGATTCAAATATTTTTTGCAGGTAATTTATTTACCGCTTGCCTTTTTTATACCTCCATCGCACTTTATGGTCCATAATCAATTCAATTTAATATATCAATTGTGGATACATACAACAGTCATTGGTAATCTTGGACCACTCGAGTTGATTTTTAATACGCCTAAACATCATCGTGTTCATCATGGTAAATTAAATATATAATACTTCTTTTTGCGACTTATATACGCATTTTTTACATTTACAGGCTGCAATCTTTATTGCTTGGATAAGAATTACGGTGGTGTATTTATTGTATGGGATAGATTGTTCGGTACATTTCAAGAGGAAGAACAAAGAGAAGAAATAGTTTATGGACTAGTAGTTAATATCGAATCATTTAACGCGTTCTATCTGCAGGTAAAATTTATGTACTTGACACACTACCGTGTCTCTTGATAAGTATAATAAATTATTACACGCCCTCAATAAATGATCAAAAAAAATGAGTTAGTATTCATATATTAATTGTAATGGAATTTAAAGTGTTGTTAGATACTTTAAATATGTCAATTTCTGCAATTTATTGATAAACAGAAAAAACTGAAGGAAGCAGAATTAAGAAATATTCGAAAGTTTGTGCACGATAATAATAAAATAAAAGTAATTTTATACATAAGTGTGACAATTTAAATTATTCTTAAACATATTGTTTTCTGTAATGTTATAGATATTTTACTTGAAGGATTTAATTAAGAAAAGTAAAAGTATGAGTACATGGGCTGATAAGTTTGCCGTTTACTGGAAAGGTCCTAGCTGGTTTCCAGGTGCACCACGTTTGGGTTTAGATGAATTTAAAATAAAGGTAAGATGATCAAAGGTGTATAGTAAATGTATAGTAACAATATATAAATGCGTTTTTTTATATTATTTATAAATAATTTTAAATTAATAAGAATTAAAACAAAAATTCAATTTATTTTAAATTTTTTCATGAAAGATATCGATCACTTCTTTGTCCCAGGTGAAACCCAGAGCCGTATACGATCCTCTTATACCAAAATGGCAAAAAATATACATAAGTGTGCAGTTTCTGATGGCCCTTTTCAATCATTATAAACTATACAAACCACAATATCATGAGGTGAGTTTTTATAACATAATTCATTTGCTGTTAAATTTTTTATATAATTAATATTATTCCAGATTATATTAAGCATAATAAATATTAAAATTAGTTATTAAATTTCTTAATAATAATGTCCGACAATTAAATTCGTAGGTATATTTTTTGGAATAATTTTCTAATATTTTTTCGTAAATTAAAATTTTAACATTTTCAATTTTACATTGGTTAAACGATTCCTTGTTTGATCTGCGACGAATCAATCATATATTTATTTATATTAAAACTTTAAAATATAAATATGTAAAACAATAAGTCATGCAGATTTGTAAAAACGAAATAAAACCGTATTGTTTATAGACTACTGTAACAAAAACTTTATTATTATGTACATATCGTTTCATTATCAAAGAGATAATTTGCTGCAAATTGTCCCTAACAATGTTTTTAAGTTGTACCAAAATAGTATTCTTATCAAAGGTAATACTACACGAGGCTTTTATCTATAGTAGATAAAAATTGTAAGCGCATGCAAAAAAGTAAAAAGGATAGGAATGCATCTTATCAAATATAGGATATTTTTATCTGTAGTAGATAAAAACTGTAAGAATACAAAAAAGTAAAAAGCATAGGACTGTATCTTATCAAATAGAAGATTTTTATCTGTAGTAAATTAAAACTGTAGGAATGTATGTATAAAAAGCATATAACACATAGAATTATAAAACGCAAGAAAAATATATAAAACAGTTGAAATAATTTTTTTATATTTTTTTAATATGTTTTTCATTTTCTTTTTTTTTCTTTTAATGTAATTATAATAATGTAATATAATAAATGTAATAGCAAAAAATATATATTATAAAATGTATATAATAATATTTTTTTAATATATACATATGTATATATGTATTATTGATATTTTTTACAAAAATTTATTAATCTTTTGATAGCTTTATATGTTTTCTATGCTGTCATGCTTTAAAATACTTATAAAAGATGTTTAAATAAATTTTTTGCAAAGTTACAATTACATTATGATAATTAAGTTTCAATTACACTATTATATTTGGTTGTACTTATACTGTATTCAATTACAACGTGGAAAGTTTTGAGAAATGCAAATATATTTTTATTGAAATAATTACTTGTGTAAAAATTAATTAATTATGTTCATGATGATTGGAGGTGTCTGAATTAAGCACATTAGGTTATTATTATTAATTTACTTTGATTCTTTTTTTAGAATTTAGACGATCCTTGGATTATATTTGCAGTGGCGAACAACTTAATTGCCCTCGCCAGCATCGGTTTGTTATTTGATAAACGTGCGTTTATATATCCTAGCACCATTGAAATTGTGCGCTGTGCCCTTTATGTGTACTTCATGCGTATATACGAAGATAACTTAATTGATTATTTGATATATTACATACACGTGTGTCAATTGAACTGTATTTGGGTACCTTTTTTCGTATATAAAATTTACAAGTATATTTATTTGTTTCTTCATTCACGAGATGTTGTATTTTATCAACGATCTTGAAAAAAGGCTTGAGAATTTGTATAATCACAATTTTAAAGCGTTACGCATAAAAAAACCTCAAGAAACTTTTCTGTGTCAAATTACGTGTTAAGAAATATAATTTTGATTTATTTTATCATAGCGTAGCAAATGTTAAATACTAACTGTGATATATGCGATTTGTCTAGATAAGAATGTGTAAAATTATTCTCTCGCACTTAATAATATCTGATAATAACAATTGAATTCGTAATAGATTTGATATATCAAATTCAGATATCAAAATTTCATTATATGTATAATATTAAAGTGATATTTTTGCTTGATAGTGTTTCATAAACAGAAATAATTATAATTTATTTATTATGAATTATAATTTACTGATTATAAATTTTAATTTATTGATTATAAATTTTAACTTATTTACAAAGTGTAAAAATTGACAAATTCATGTATACATTATTAATTTGTCATCATGATTGCTATTTTCTTAATGCTTCCGTACTATTTTCGTTGTTAGTAGTTCTATACGACCTATTAGCACTATATTAAGATCTACGGTTACGCAAATAAATTAATCAAAATGTTGAAAACATTGTGTAAATAAGCATGTAAGATGTATATGTATGTATGATTATATTTGTATACTTATATTATATAAATAACGGCAATAGCGGAAATAATTATTATTACTATATTATCAACTATTTATTAAAATAAAACGCAACCTTTTTTTATTAAAATAAATATTAAACATTGTATAACAATTATAAGTGTAATATTATTTAATATTACACTAAATAAGATAAAAACGTATTTAGATATTTAAACTATTAAATAAAATTGTTTTTTATTGTAAATAAATAAAATAAAACTTAGAAAATATTTTATCTTTCACATATTACACAAAAAAATATCAAGGAAAATTTTAAACATGTGTGTAATGGAATTTTGCACGTTCGCTATTTGTTTATTGTTTGTTCGTGTAAAGTGTATCCTTTTGCATAGTACAAACCGATGTGTTAATACAATTTATAGGAAAAATAAATAAACGTGCGCACTAAGATTCAGATAATGCACAGATGTATATTTTCATTGTTAAGGAAACAAACTTTTTAAATCACATTATTATAACTTGTAATAATATACAATACATGTGTAAACATAATTGATAACATGTACAGTAACTTTTTATAATAAGAGAAACAAATGTAATAAGTTATCAAACAATTATTGGAATTATTTAAATAGAAAAGTATATATTTTGCTACTTTCCATAATGTGTGTTGTCCTAAATATTATATTCGCATATAAAATTTTCTATTTAGATATTATGTATATGTCTTCCTTTGTAAACATGCGTTAAGATAGCATTATTGTATTTTTAAGTTTCGCAGACATCGCTTGAAATCATTACACGATACGAGGTACGTCAAATATATTATAAAATTTTACGAAAGCGCATCCACAAAGATATCCCATAATCAAAATGTTTATAAAACACGCTATAAGAGTACAGTGTCGTACGCGTTATAATACAAGTACAACATGTAAGTAGCACTTCAAAGTATGTGTAAAATGCAACTTAATTGTATGTAAAGATTTCAAAAACAGTTAAGATCGTTTGCGTTTTTCCTGAACAAATATAGAGCAAGAATTATTACAACAAATATGTCGGTCCAAATTTAATAATGACAAACAAGCAAGCGTCTTCTCCACCTCCTTATCCCACGCAACAATATTATATTTTAAAGATAGCAACTATCTTACTTAAGCATAATATAAATGTTATCAGAAGACATCGCGTAAAACAAGGACAAAATGTTATACTATCTTTTATATCCACAATGCACAAGTTCTTTAGTACATTATATTTAATATCGTGTTTTACATATAAAGCTTCTTGAGTTATTCGGTAATATGTTTATGAAATCGTGGCAAAAATCCTTCCTGATGGTCCGCTTATCTAAAATTAAAAACAAAATATAATTAGTCATCTAATTACAGATTTAGCAAGAGAAAGAGGGAAAAAGCTGTTTTTTTTTAAATTAATTTTACCATGTTTTATTGTAGGGATAAGATATATATTTATCATCCAAAAATAATAATAAAATAAAGGTTTTAAGAGATATTCAAAATTTATAAATTGCTTTAAAAATGAAACACAGATAATATGTTTTAAAAATCTTTTTAAAATTCAAACAAAATACACCTACATATAGCTATTTCTTTATAATATAGACATTTATTTTTTTCTTTATAGTTTAATATCTAATTAGACAATTATCAATGTAAATTAAAATTCCTTTACGTAGAACACTTACCCACGAAAATTGTCCTATGTACCGCTACTTGGTGACGTTTTCATTTTGTCACTTCTCGTTCCCGTCGAAGACGTTCGTCCGACAGAACGGTCGACCGCCGTTTCTTCCTCTGCGTGTCGCCCGTTGCTACCGCTGCTTCTCTCGGATGCTCCAACATCATGTTGCTCTAACAAAGGCATCTCAAGAGAATCCGAGGAAATGCGTCTCGCACCATATTGCTCGGCGGTTTCCGGCGTTTCCTTTGTGTCTTTTATATTGTTCAACGAATCCGAGCTCAAGGACGGAAGGTCCAGAGTCGTTTTCATCTCCAAGGAATCGGAGCTTCTACACAGTGGGTGATATTTCTTCTCAGTATCTTCCAATTCTAGAGAGTCCGTACTGGTCTCCATAATATTGCTTTCTTTCTGTGCCGCTGCTCGTGCTTCATCGAGTTCTTCAGTTTCCTCCGGAAGGATTTCCGAAATTGGTTGAGCGCTAACTCTCTCAGCATCGGTGCCCTCGATCTGCGAGATATCCTCTGTAGTGTCGTCTTGCCGCTCGAGTTTTTCCACGTTGGACTGCGCGATGCGTATTATCTCATCAATCTCTTTTATCCTCTTTTCATAATCGTCCGATCCGGAAGTGCTAGGATTGACCGAGCCAGCCGCACTGGTCTCTGCTCTCGAACGCGGCAGATTCTCAAATTTATATTTGTTCTCCGGACTCTCATGTTCCAATAGTTCTTCTTCCTCGCGGGCCCGCACCTCCATCAGATGAGCCTCTCTGCAGGCCTTCTCCAGACCCTCGAAATCCTTTAGCGAGGACAACGAGACGTCGTCACCGTGACCCGAACGACTGGTCACGTATCTCCTCGGAAGACTGCCGTTGCTGCTGGAATCTTGAGAGCCGGATTGTAACTTTCGCGCGTTCTCGGCCGCCACGGTGCTCTCCAAGTGCTCGAATTCCTGCAGCGAGGTCAAGGACACGGTGTCGTGATCCGTAGGCTTGGTGAAATATTTCTTTCCTAGGACGTCGTAGTCCGGCGTGCTACCGAAGCTACCGCGCATACTTCCCACACTGCCTATGGACTCCTTGTGGCTGCCTAAACTGCCAAGTCTACTGCTGCCGGCCTCGAAATCGGTAACTTCCTCTTCCTTGATGTCCTCTAACGGTCCGCGGTCATACTCGATATCGTAGACTCTTGCATCCGCGTGGAACTGCATCTCTATCCACTTCTTGTTCTCATACTGCTCCTCGTCCGAATAGGATTGAGATTGATCGTCGTTCGACGCCTGGGGCGGGCTCTCCTCGGTTTCGAAGTCGAATAGATCGTTGTTCCTCGACGCCTGACTCGTTGATACCTGCGTGTCCTCTTTAGTCTTCGCGATTAAGTTTTCTAGATCGCGATCGTACTGTTTGCTGGTAGTCTGAGGTACTGAGCTGATGCGAATGCTCTTACCCTCGGCATCGAACTCCTCCGCTTCGCGCCCGACTTCCTCGATCACCACAAAGTCGTCCATGATATCGGGCTTGTCCACGAGCTCAAATGAATCGCTGTCAGGTGAATGACGCTCAGACTTGTCCTTGTCTGTAACATTCTCTACGACCGTGTCGAAGGACATGCCTGATGCCGAGGATAAAGACATGCTGGCCTGTTGCAGCATAGAGTGGACGGATGTCATCGGTTCGAGACCCTCGTCTCCAGCCATATCGTGATCCGATCTCTGTTCTAGACTCGCCACCCTTTCCACATCCGTCGTATCCGCATCTTTTTCCTCTTCGAGCTTCGTATCTCTTTGCAGTTCTAAACCTTCCACCTTTTCCTCTTCGAGCTCCTCGCTGTCGCTGGGCCTAGCAACTCGCGTAGATATCACCTGTGTGCATACGCTCTGAATCCCGTCCTCGGATACCCGCGACGTCATTATGTCCACGGATTGAAGAACCCCGGGCGCATCCATGGAGACGGAAGTGGCTGAGTCCGCGACTCTGACCTGATCTTCTTCCAACACTTCGCCCATGGACTCTGCCTCCATATTGACGCTGTCGTCTATGATCTGTTGGAAAATCATCTCGGACGAACGCTTCATACGACACGGTATATGACTGTCGATTTTGTCCATGGCATCGTCCATTGGTATTTCTTCACTACCGGAAGAGTCTGACGCCTCGGCCATCTCCTGATCCGCGTCCAACGCGCTTTCCAGGTTCTCATCTATCTCGTCTGCATCTACGTCGGCTTCCTCCGAAGGTACCAGGGTCTCTGACAGTTCGCTGGTACTGTCAATGCTGCCGAGATGGCCCGAACTAAGAGAATTCAAGGACTTCATGGATTCGTGAGAACTCAATGTACTCGCTGCAGTCTGATACTCTTGCGATGTTGGTAGTGTCTTCGACGTTGCCTCATGTTCGACAGACATCATCGCCGTCTCGTACTCCGAAGCGGTTCCGGATTGTACGCCACCCGCGGCGGACTGCATCGCCTCGACGTCGGACGAACTGAGTCTGCTTCCGCTACCAACTTCATAGTCACAGGACTGATAGTTGCTGCTCTCGCCAGAACTCGAGACATCGCTCTCCGAGGTCTTAACTCTCTTCGATATTCTGGCCGGTTTCTGACGTTTTCTGGGTGCCGGTTGGGGCGGTGCCAAAGAGTAACTGTCGTCCCTTCCATCCATGTCCGAACCGACGTCCGACGATCTACTGATGGGAAGCGGACTGGGACGACCCTCCTCTTCTTCCTCCAGTTGTTCTTCAACGGTTATTACGGTTTCTTCTTCTTCGTGCTCCTCGATATCGATTTCAGGTGCTTTAACTGTACTGGCTGGAATGTCTTTAGTGATAGCAGTTGCTTGGACAGATAGTTTGTCATCGACGGTGTCTTTCGTGTCTTCCTGCTTTGCTTCATCAAATTTTTGAGCTTCCACAATTGACGGTTCGCTGTATGCAGTAATTTCAGTTTCGGTTTCCGGTTCAACCTCCGCAGGAACATGTTCAATGGACGGTGGTCTGTATAAAAACGGCAAATCGTTTGGAATGGATTCCGGTTGGAGTTTGAACTGAAACTCTGAAGGTGAATCTTTGATCTGAAACACGGTCTGATTATTCTCGCTCAACTCTTCTATCAAGTCCTGTTTAGCGGCTTCCAAGGACTCTTTCACCTCGGCAATTTCTTTTTTCACCACTTGATCGAGCACCGTTATCGCGTATCGCGCGCTCAAATCGACGCTCTGGAGATCATCTTTCTTTATTTTCAAGGCACAAGTATCGGAAGGAGCAGTCGTCGATTTGCTAGGCTTGTCGTGCTTGTCGGTGGTTTTTTCCATATGTCGTTTATATTCCTCACTGGGAGGTTTGATCTTCGCCAAATAAGTCTCCGTCCATTCTTTTAGCACGTCATCAACTCTCGCGCACTTCGGTAGTTCTGATTCTTCTTTCGTGGCTTCTGACTCTTTTATTGTCTTATCGGTAGCTTCAAGTTTTTCCTGTTTTCGTGTTTCTTCAGCTACAAAATGCTGCATAACATCCACTTTTTCTTTCTTCATTGTAGATACTTTATCCGCAGAAATGTCTCTTTGGAAAGTTTCTTTGCTTGTTTCCGGAGCTTTAGTTTCCACAGTTAAATCTTTCACTTCCTCCTCTTTCATAGGTATCATTTCCGTAACGGCTTCGGTAATACTCGTTTCCCAGTCAAAATCTTCACGAGGTATCGATTGTCGTATCCTAGCCGCGTATTCGTCCGTCGGCGTCTTGGCGTCGTATTCCCGTTGCAGAGTGTCGATCAACTCTTGACAAGAAATATCTAATTTATTTTCTATCAGTTCGCTTTCGAAGTCCGGCTCGGTCACCGGGGTCACGGTAAATTTTGTTACCTTCGTCGTAGTAGTCGTTACAGCCACGTTAACATCACTGGCAATCGATTCTTTGATCGATTCAATCACACTGATCTCCTCCGAAGACTTAGTAACGGACTCTTGTTCCAAGTCCACGGATTCATCCTGCGAGGAAGTGCGGGCACGTTGTAAGGACGATTCGTACTCCTCCAGCTCCTGATTGAACACCTGAGAGGGCTGTAGCGTTTCTGATATCTCAATCTTCTCATCGCCGATCATCCAATCCACCGGCTTGATCTCCAGATCGCGTACATTTTTCACCCTTGGTGAGACCAACGGCGGGCTCTCGATTTCGAAACTGTCCGCCCTTCGTCTATCCCCTGCGTCGTATTCTCTCGATGAAACACGCTCGTGAGCCGGAGGATACACAGCGTCCTCGGACACTGTGCTAGAACTGACAGTCACGTCTTTCTCCTGAGCGATTTTGTCCAAAGAATCTACAGCCACACTCTCGTGTAAGGAAGCTACGTCCCTGCTAGTCTGTTCGGATACTTTGTGCTCGTCTAACTCCAAGGACGGCACGTCGAACGAGTCCTGTCGACTGTCTATACCTGGTTCCAAGATCTCTAGCACTCTAGCACCCGAAATCTCCGACACTACTTTGTCTTTTGAGAGAGTATCGCTTATATCCCTCTGAAGTGGCTCAATATGACCGCTCGATCTGTCCGAACGAAGTTTCTCGGATTGTGGACTGATCGTAGGCTTAGATATATCCTCTAGTTCACCAGTATCAACGTCGATAGTTTCTTCAAGATCAATCTGCTCGGATATACTGCTTGGGCTTATAGTAATGTCTCTGTCTTGGAGTTTCGCTTGCGAAGATGACTGTAAACTTTCCTCTCGATCATGCGCTGACGATTCCTCATCTTTTGTTATGTCCTCGCTTATACTGTCTCTGTATTCTTTCTCGAATATTTCTTCTTGTATGGACATTTTCGAGCGCGCAATCGGATGATCCATCAATTGTTCGTCCTTCTGCATAATGCTTTCGAATTTTTTCGTTAGGTCGTCTGCCAGTTTCTCATGATCAGTATCGCTGCTCTCAGACATCAACTGATCTAAATATTCTTTACTCAACATCTGCGATTTCAATCCCGACGTCGAGGATCTTCTCTCAATTTCACTCTCAATCGACTGTATCAGACCCTCCGCTATATTCCGCGCTTCGATTTCTTTGGCGATTAATTGTTCTTTCTTCTCCAAAGATATCGGAGCTTCTCTGCTCGAAAGTTGTTCGTCTTTTTTAATTTTTTCAGTCGAATCCCTTGTCTTGTCTCTTTGACTAGGTACAAATTGCTCATCCTTAAAACTCTCCAAGCTCTCTCTGTAAGATTGTCCTTTAGCGACCATTTCAACCTTTTCCAAGTCTATTCCTTCGACCTTGGCTGTTTTAGGCAATTCCTTAACATCCTCTACTTTCTTTGCGTCGTCCCTCTTGATCCTAATCGCCACATCCACGTCGCTTTGCCTGTCCCTACTAGTTCCAGATTTTTTCGTCGCGGTTCCCTCGCTGTCCTCTAGCAGTTTAAATAATTCTTCCTTTTCACTCTTCGCTCTAGACTCAGAAGCGCTCGCGTCTATCACTTCTTTACCTTCCATCACGTTCATTGACATCTTCTGCACAGCGGTCTTATCCACCTCTTCGCTCTTGCGCTTTTTCTCCTCTTTCGTCTCAGCCGATGACTCCTTAGTCAGCTTAGACTCCGAGGATTTTTTCCGTTCCACTTTCTCCTTCTCCTCATGAGTTATAAATTTATCCGCGCCGCTGGAGATTTCCGACGAAAACACCTCCTTCTTCTCCACCTTACTTGTAGCCTTTGTGTCAACCTTCGAAGTAACCGTATCAAAATCCTTGTCTCTCATCGCACTTATGTCCTCGAACATTTTAAACGCGTCCTGCGCGTCGGTGAAGGCTTTGGAAAAAGTTTGCGTCTTACTCTTCGTGGTCGAGTGTTCCTCGTGCCGCGAAGTAACCTCCTCGCTGGATTTCCTCTCGGTGATAGTGATGGTCTCGCCATCTTTTTGTCCCGGCAAATCTTTCTTTGCTCCTTCTTTATCCTTTGCCCCTTCCATGATACGTTTAGGTATACGGGATTCAAATTCTTTCTTTTTGCTGGATGGCGAGGCAACGTCCTTTTCTTTCTCCGCGATTAGAGAACTTTTTACCGGTCTCTCCTCAGATTTCTCCTCAGGTTTCTCTACTTTGCCTTTTCCTTCTTTCTGACTTTTATCCTTCTCAGCCATTGCAGTGGAAATCGGAATGCGAGATTCTTTCTTCATCTGTTTGACATCTGTGTCAACAGTGGATTTTCTCTCCTTGTCGAGACTAATACCAGCCATCATCTTTTTTGCCGCCTCTTCTTCGATGATTCGCCTTTCTTCTTCGAGGAATTGCTCGATCTCCTTTTTATCATCCAAAGGAAACGATTCGGTCCTAATGTCCGTTTGTGATCTCTCAACGTCGCCCATAGTTTGCACTTTGTACATGATATCTGGTAAACTCTTTTTAAATATCTTTGTTTCTACGCTAACTTCTGGAACTGATTTACCACTCGCATCTTTGATTTGCATCGATTTGTGGATCTGCTCCTGCATTTGAGTTCCGTCTTTTTGTATCTTATAGGTGATTGTTGTTTCCTTCGTTGTCGTTTGCTTTCCGGCCAACTTCTCCTTGCTCAATGACGTCTCCGGTCGTTCCTCTTCTTGCACGATGTGTGTCGATGTATCGGGCTTCATGTGCGTTTCCTCAGCGAGTTCTCTTTCCTTATTCAATAATTCCTTGCAAATCTCCATCATCGGCTGAGTTGTTATCTTTTGAACTTCTTCACGCACCTCTTTGTCGTCGTCCTTTTTCCTTTTATCCTTCCACGGCTCCTTCGTCCATTTATCGCTCTCTGTAGCAGCCTTCAAAATCTTCTCTATCTCTCTCGCTTCCGCCACATGTTTTTCCTGAATATCAATCTTCTCTTTTGTCATTTCCACCGTACTCTTTTCCGCGCGACTTTTCTGCTCGTCGATTGACTTGCCTTTGAGAGACTTGTCTTTTTCAGACTTGGAAGAGTCTTGTTGCACTTTTGGTGTTCCCTTCGCCATCTCCTTCTGTATTTGCTCCTCAAAGTAATGCGCTTTTTCCGCCACCGAACACTCCGAGATATCTGGCACATTGATGTCCTCGATGGTCTCCGATCTTATGACGTCCGACATACCCTCCGTTGTCCCGTCACCCTCCTCGGACACGACATTTGGCAGGCACTCGCTATCGCTCTCGTTAATGGTCAACTGAGAGGTCCTCGAGATCTCGGATTCGGAACGCTGGTAGTTTTCGCGTTTCCTCGAGATATCCTCCCAGAATTTACGCTTCTCCGAGTACGTCTGCCTTTCGAGATCGGGCGACAGATCCGGTTCCGACTGACCGGCGCCTACTTTATTGGGATAACTAGCATCTACGGATTCTAGGGGACAAGCCGCTTTTTGTGCAAAGGATTCGTGGATAGCGGCATCTAGAACAACCAAGAATTATGTTCACATTACTTTTTATTAAGCATGTTGTTATAATGACTGCGATACATCGTGTCTATTTCTCTTTACAATTGTTCTTTTTTTTTATTCACAGCGAGATCTGGCGATCGAGAACTTCCGTAGCGCAAATCCTTCATCTTTCTTTCTCATTTTCTTTTCTTTTCTACAGTCGTGGCAGGTACAAGATGCACTAGAGCCAAGATGTGTCGAAGCCGCAAAATGCAAAACAGCAGTCCATTAACTCGAATCTCGAGATAAAGCGCTTCTAATCTTACTAATGCGCAAATCTAATCTTACTAATGCTACTAAGATTGTTTTTTTTTTTTTATAGATGATATAATTCTTATCAGATTGATATAATTCTTTTGGTCTCTTAACTGAAAGAAAAACGAATAATAATAATAATTTATGTAATACAAAGAAATGGACTTATTCTGTTTTATATTCGACAGCTTTAATTCATTAAAAAGTACAACTTAGCAAGTTTTGAATGTATGTAATATTGCTATAACTATTATTTTTGTTGTATCTTTAAACTTATTATATGCATGACATAATTGGAATTATAATTGTAATTGTAATTAGAATTATAATTGTAATTGTAGTTGTATCCATCAAAAATATAATTCGCAAGTACGAAATGAATTTTTCTATTCTTGCACGTACAACGACTTGATCTTAAAAACAATATTATTGTCAAGAAAAGAAAACACTCATCGAGTATTAATTGTCTATATACGTATTTACATATTATATCATATAATTATAATTATATATGTATATATATAATATATGTATGTGTATTTGTTTATATCGGAAAATTTCTCTAGACTGCGGAGACATACTCTTTTGTATTAATATCCCATACGGTTGTCTATGATAATGTTGAGGACGGCAGTTCGGTCTGCAAGTATAACAAGTACACAAATATTGCGTTATTATCGATTTCATAACGACAACATAAGAATTAATTTGTCGATAATCGTTTCGACGCGCATTGTATTGTTATTGGATTTATAAATAAACAAATAATGTTCACGATGTTTATCGACGTGCAACAAATATATCATGGTTGTTATAAGCGGACTTCTTTGATCAACTAACGCTACTTCAAATAATACTAAACAACTTTTATTATAATACTTTCCAGAGATTAATTATATTGTGTATTTTACTTTGCCTGAATAATCACGTTGTATTAAGAATTTATTAAGTTTTAGGCACGGTGCAAAAAGAAAAACGTAAGAATTTATAACAAACTACATATAGTGCTTATAAGTTGTCCAGCAAATAATGTCCGAACATACATATGTATCTCATGAAAAATATGTTTATTCTAAAAATGTTAAATAAAAAACATAGAATTTTTTTGAATACTTTTTCTTTATTCTCTTTTATGATTTTTTTAAATAAACATTTGCTGCAAAAAATTTTGGGATTATTTTTTGGACAACTTTTGCGGGGAAAGGACAAAAACAGAAATAAACAAAAAAATTAATTTAAAAAAGTTGCTAGTTGTTTGATATGAAGAACAGTAGGGTTTGATACAATTTGTTAATAAAACAAATTGCAAATCGCTTTGCGTCGCTTAACTTAATTATATCTTCCTGATGATTTAAAAAAATTTTGGTGCCTGATATTATTTAAGGCTGACAGAGAGATTTCAAAGTTCTACTTATCTTTCAAATAAGAACTCCTAATTGAATCAAGATTTCTTATATTTATATAAGATGTTATGCAACTTGCATAACTTTAGTGACTTTATCCGATCACGATCGATCGAAAACTCCTTACTCCTGTTATTCATAATAATATCATCCTGTTATTCTGTTAATGATACGTTAATTCTTGCTAAGCATAATCAGAGAGATGGAAATTCTTCCTGGCCTTTATTTCAAGGACTGTATTATTTCGCATGCCCCAAATAGTTTTTAAATCCATCTTTTCTGTTAATTCTACTTCATTTAATCGACATCCTCGATATCGGTATGGCAATCGCTGATAGCATCGTCGGCGTGGTCCGGAACGTGCAGGGTGTTTTCGATTTTGTTGCTCATGACAATCTGTGATCCGGCCAGGATGTCTAGCTCTTCGTACACGTGATTGTAAGCCGCTGCCTCATCCAATTTAGTCTCATCGTCGGACCCTTCCATGTCCTCGCTATCGGTGTTTGGCATATCTGGCACGTTCTCTGTCACGGTATCCGCCTTGTCGATGGAAACCTCTTCTTGCGACAATCGATTTCGCACTTCCACGGAGAACGGTCCGTCACCTTCCTTGGTCGTGATCATCTCGCCACCGAACTCGGTCAGGATATCAGATCTCGGCGTGACATAGATCGTCGGTTGAATGTCGTCATCGCCCTCCATATCCTCCATATCCGTTTCCCCTTGATAGCCGTTATCAATCACATTTAAGTTGCTACTGGTGTCTTTCTCATCCATTTCGTCGTAGATCTCATCGACGTCGGTGAGATTCTCCGCGTAGCTACCGCGACGTGATCGGGATTTGGCCTCGCCGTCAGCTATAAGGTAATCCAGATTGTCGTTGACCTTCGCCTTGGACTCCGCGGTGACCTCCGCGTCGGTCACGGAAATTAACGGATTGTCTTGCGAGGCTTGCGCAGGGTTAAGCTTGCCGATCTTGTTGGTGATCATTGTCAACTCGCCCTCGGAATCCGTATCGGAGAAGTGAAACGAGGCGTTGCTCATCATAGCGTTCAAACGTCTTCTAGCGGATCTGGACTTGCGCTTGACCTTCGTTCCGGAGGAACAGTCCTTGTCACTCGCTTGACTATCTTGCCTCGTCATTACGCGGTCCTGCTCATTGATTTTCGTCGCCATGCCTGGCTCGGTTTCTTATGCGTTTAACGTGCCAATCGCAAGTGCAAACTACTAATGAACTTAAAAATGCCTGTAACTGAAAATAATGAGAAAGGAAAAATTAACATTAAAAAAAGTACGAAATAAAATTCCAAATAAATTATTCAAAACAAGTAGAAGAACATAATCACAAGTTTCAATGCAAGAATAAAGTAAGTTTATAATTTGTAAAATTTATTTTACATACAATCTCGTATTTAAAAAACAGATTTTACGAGTTATAAAATATATATCTCATTCTTGCATCAAACCCTTTAACTTAAATGAGATAAACTAAAATAAAAAGGTTAGTAAAAAATAAACAACCCGTGACAAAACTGAAAAGACTCACGTTTTGATAATTGCGTGTGAATGCTTGAAAGAAAGATAGATATGAAATTTGCACCGTTCCCCTTCGTTGGTACGGACAGAACTAAAGAAGTCCGCCACCGGCACTTTCAAGCATTTGTTGATGCTGTTACGTTTAATTAAGTTAAAGAAGCCTCACTCAACTCTTAAACCGTAAGCCGATTATCTTTCTCCCCTTAAATTAAAATAGAATGACAATGGAATCTCATGATTTTCAAGTCGAAACGATATTCGACAAGGATTTTCTTTTGACCTTGTCAAAAACATTTTTTTTTTTCATGTTGCATACGAACTTTGCTTACGAACGACCTACGTCGCCAGACCTTTCTCAAGATATCGCCGTATCGGTGGATACGATATAAAAATATGTTCACGTAATAGAATATTCATCAACAACACTTAATGCTTTATTACGCAAGTTCTCTTTTTGCACCTTGCATTTCTAGTGTTATAGACGAAGCTGATTTTGAAATTAGAACTTCTTCAATTCGAATAGTTCAATATGCGATTTTCTTGCAATATTTATTAATATCTGATACTCGCATGTACGTTGTACGAATCAAATATGCTTTTTCTATTTTCTACATTTTTGAAATCCTACCTGTTTGTTCCTTTTGTAACGTGTCGGTAATGAACTTTTTTTCTGTTGGCGAGGAGGTCTCTTTAGGCTTATCAGTTTTCTCCATTTGTTCCATTTTGTACTTTGATTTGTAGTAATCTAATTTTTGATTTATGATATTAGAATCTTCGTAACCTGTAGCAACAAAAACATTACTAGCAATAATAATATATGCATAAAACATTGCTTATAATCTTTGATTTAATTTCGATTTCAGATTTTTAATAAATTTTAATTTTATTCCAAAAAATACTTTAATCTTTTAAATTGAAAATTTATATAAAAGATGTAGAGAATAATATTAAAATATTTTACTTTATGTTATATTATCACTTAAATGATTATACATTTAACAAGATGAACTTTCTATTTGCATTAATTTATTAGAAGCTTTTTAAGCTCAAAATAAAATAACTCTCTCTTTATTAAAACAATTATATTACAAATTATAATTGTTATTTATAATTTTGTTTATATGTTTGGAGAAAATAATAAAGGAATTTTTCAGCTTTCTATATACATGTATATATACATTATATATATTTTTGTATTATAATTTTTAATGGACGTACCTTTTAATCTCTTTTGTATGTCATGTTTAACAATTGTTTCGGGAAGGACAATATTTAACACACAAACAGGCTGCTGAGGTGGTTCTCCTTTAGCAACTTTTGGTTCCCGCATAAACAACATCCTTGCTACTGGATCCAGTAATGGATCTTTCACTTTAACATGGAATGACAATCGATTCTGCCGGAAAGCCCTAAACGTGAACTTCAACTGCATACCGGACTTCGTTACTGGCACTAAATTCCCACTAAATTCAATATAAAGATCTTTCCCATCGAGTGCCTATTAAACGAATATGTTTATCAGATAATTAAAAACAACCATACTAAAACATATTATATTGACAATTCTTGTAAACGGAGCGGAAGTCCGTCTGTACTCCGTAAAAAGGATAGATTAAACATATTATCCATATTGACAATTCTTAAATAGTAATCTTCTCAGAAAATTATCAAAAAATCAGAAAAAATATATTATTACATAAAACAAATAAATATTATATCGACAACAGAACAAACATTAATATTATTTATTTTATATTAAAAACAAAAATAAAAAAAAGAGATTTATCTAAAGTTAGTAAAAATTGTGTAAAATCTTTTTGTTTAAAAAAATTTACAATTAAGATAGTTTAACACTTATTACACTATATTTTATATCATGAAAATACCTCAACATCGCGACTTTTAACAATTTCTGTAAATTCCTCTTGTCTTTCCAAAGTATGCATGCCTTCTTTGCCATCGGTCATACACAATATTCGCAATGTAGCTTCCAACACATCCATTCTCTTCGAGTATATTATGAAACTACGTAGAGATAAGCGTTTGTTTATGTTAACGTGAGAATTAGAGGATTGTTATTATAATAATAATATATATATAAATATATATATGTATATAAATGATGAAGAAGTCGCTCACTTCGTTATGTATGGCACATGTAAGGATGCCTCATACAACTCCGTTGCCATTTTCGGTACTGCGCCAATATTTCTACAGTCCATCAACCAGAATCTTGCTGAAACGGTAGTGGTGAACGACACTCTATCGTTCATGAAGGTTAACGGCGTTGATCCGGTAACATCTTCCCATTGTGACTCGTTGGTTCCACCTAAAGTTAATTAATTTTTATCATCCTAACAATGTTGTTTTTTTTTTGTTTATTGTAGAAACAAAAAATAGATTCTTATTTTAAAATATAAAATATAACGCAGAGTTTATTTTTGTCGCTAAAAATTAAAAAAATGAAATAATTATATAATTATCTGTAAAGATTAAATAGCGCAGTAATTTTTATATTCATTTAATTGTAGCGCGCTAACAATTCTACTCTATTGTAATATCTAATATTAATAAAACTTTTTTCTATTAATTACAAAATAAGTTTTAAATATTTTTTATAAATATACGCAAAGAGAAAATATTATTTAAATAATTTTTAAATTAATTATATACATATACATGTACATGCATGTATAAGCATGCATATTCTTGTTAATAAAAATAATTTTTTGTAATAATCTATTTTATTCTCAAGTATTATCAAATTATTTTCTCGCAATAATCAGTTACTGATAAACAAAGATAAATTTTATTCATTTTGCTTGCTTGTTTAAAATTCTAAAATATCCATAGATACCCGCAATGCTACACAAGAGGCGTAACGTAGGTGTTTCTCCACCATACTGATTGATCATCCCCTTGTTCGCGGCTTGCGGCACGGGAATCGTAAGGGTTATCGGTTTATGGAACTTCCGTCGCCTGGGTTCGATCGTGATCACCGGTGAAACGGCAACACAATTGCCTAGCAGTTTGGCCGTAAGTTCAGCCGGAATAACATGTGCCTAAATATGAAAGAAAGCTTTACATTTTTTGCCATCCTCTTGTGATCATGCGGCTGTCAAATTTATAGATTTATAATTACCTGCAAGCCAACTTTGATTTTCTTCGTTAACGCTCCCGGTGGAAAAACTGCCTGCACATGGTTCGCCACGCTGGATAACAAAATGCAACCCTCGGCACCGATAACGTGAACTTCTTGCTTGATTCTGGTCACAATAGCAAAATACTGTGGAAAGTCTGTGGTGATTATGCGAGTGATTCTGCCCGAGTGTGCAACGCTCATTTGAGGATCTGAAAAAATAATGGTTTTGTTTCATTGTAATGATACTATTATATTAGAATTAATATTTTCAAGCATTTATTAAGCATTTATACTGTATATTAATTAATTTAAGTATATTTTACTCGAAGCAAGACAACTTGTCTCCTAAATTACGCATAACTAGCTATGGAGAAAGTAACAAGAAATGAAAATTTCAAAGACTGTGATAAATATTTGAGATGCAAAGAAATAAAATTTGACGTTGCAGGTATATCAATTTCTGACAGTATATACCGTAAGGCGTATTAAGGAGAGTATCATCATTATCCACAGAGTTATCGTGTTCCTTCCACGTTTCTCCATTTTCACTTCGCAGAATAATAATTTCCCGTTCTTTCCCGTGAACAGACGCAAAGTGCGGTATGTCAATTAAGACGGGTCTGAAATCGATTTATTTCTTAACATATCTAATGTAATGAAATTATATTAGATATTAGAGTATTACCCTAAAAATCTTGCGCTCACAGGACCCATCTCGATAATTCGAGTGGCAAGAGCTTCCCCTTCCATCAAAGGAGGCGGATTTGCAACTTTATTTGCTTTTACTAGTCTACACGTTACGCGAATCGGCATCGTTGCTCTTCGAGGCGGTACAATAATACGCACACCGCTGTGCCTGCATCCCCTCATGGCACCACCACGTGCATCCACCAGAAAGCTTATTAAAAATCTGTAAATCCAGATCTTTGTAATTCTGCATATTTACTCGTGTATCTTTTTTTCAATTATCCGCTGTTTTATACTTACGATCTGAAGTGCAGCTTCCTACAAAGAAAAACATTCTTAGATCGAGTCTGAATAGAAATCTATAAATCTTTAAATTTTTAAAGAAGTTTTTTTTTAATTTTTTTAATTTTAAACAAATAAATGACAATTATTCTTTGCAATTACATAACATAAAATTATATACAGCAAATTGAGAATTATATCGCCAGTAAGTGAAAAGAATTCAGCTTTGGTGTACTTTGTAAAATTACTGGTTTATTCCAGTCGAAGTCGTGTCCATATGACGTTCTGTGACAACTAACCACGGAATGATTACTGACGTTCTTCTTTATATCATTCTAGTGCTCCCTGAGACGCGTGCATAAATGCCGTTTCGTTTGCCCGATGTACATACGTAGCATTACAGTCTTTGCAGTTTATTTTATAAACTAAATCGGTTTGATTAAGATCATCTATCCTGTCTTTCCCTCTTTTTATTCCGCAGTCGAGTTTTTTAGGGACCGTATATAGAGTATTAATATTGACTTTCTTTAGATCTCGACTTATGGACTCACTCAGATCTTTCACATATGGTAACGGTATACTATTCTTTGGATCAAAAATTATTTTACTATCCTCGGTAGACGTATTTCGTGTTTTCAGGTGATTTAATCTTTTGGCAATGTATTTATTAATGATTGACTTTGGAAAACAGTTGTTAGTCAAGATATCTTTAACAATTTTAATGTTAGAGTTATGGAATTTTTTGTCCGAGATAGCGCGGTCAACTAAGCTTGTGATGGTGTTTATTTTGTATTTTAACGGGTGACTCTAACATGACAGTCCATAAGTCGAGATCTAAAGAAAGTCAATATTAATACTCTATATACGGTCCCTAAAAAACTCGACTGCATAATAAAAAGAGGGAAAGACAGGATAGATAATCTTAATCAAACCGAATTAGTTTATAAAATAAACTGCAAAGACTGTAATGCTACGTACATCCGGGTAAACGAAACGGCATTTATGCACGCGTCTCAGGGAGCACCAGAACGATATAAAGAAGAACGTCAGTAATCATTCCGTAGTTAGTTGTCATAAAACGTCATATGGACACGACTTTGACTGGAATAAACCAGTAATTTTACACAAGGAGAAACAGACTAAGAAGAGGGAAATAGCAGAAATGTTTTTTATAAAAAAATTCAACGATAATATAAATTTACAAAAAGACACAGAGAAGCTCAACGCTCTCTACGAACGCATTATAGAAGAGACATAATTTCCCACTTCTTACTCTGTTCCCCCCACCTTCTCGCTTTAAGCGGTACTGTTTTGTTGTTCTCCGTGTCTGCACATTAACAGTAACATCTCCGACTAGACAAGTTCTTTGACGATGAACGATCAAATATACCGTGTCAACGGTCTTTTATATATTTTAATTCTCAACGAACAAATTATGTAAGCACTTTATTTATATTAATTGTGGACTATATATGTTACATGTCGTAATTTTTACTTTTTATTCATTAGTTTTAGATGTGGCGTAGCAGGCATTATGCCTAACTAATTAATAATTTATACTCGTGATGCTTGAAAAGGACCTAAACCCGAGGTCGAAACGTAGCGTTCTATATAATAAGGTTGGCCAGTTGGGTCGAATAAAGAACACCAAAGCTGAATAAAATTATATAAATGCGCACATTATCTTATAGAACAAGAATTAATCGACACTCACCCCAGATTCAGTCCATCGTTATCAAAATTTTCTGCTAAACAGTAATTATTGCTTTGTGTAAATTCCTGCTTTTCTTCTTTTGTAACTAAAACGAGAATAATTACAAGCCTCAGGCATGCACTATAAAACTCTTCGAAACCAAGTTATTTCGTTCTACAAACTGCTTTATAATATATTTTTATTTTTATTTAAATAAAATTAAAATATACAGGCAGGAAATATTAAAAGGATGATTTAAAGGCTAAATTGTTGGACTTTAAGAGTTTTTATATATTTTTACCTTGTCTGTGCACCGGGTCATCTCTAGTAACATCAATAGGCAACGAATCATCCCTTAAACTTTTCATCAAGTCTGCCGTGAGATATCGATAAGGTTGTTCGCTAATTAACGCATCAGAACCTGAAAAGAGAAATTTTTCTTTGCAAAATGCTTTATTATTTTATATTATTATTATTATTTGTATCTGTGCGCACGTACCTCCTTCGTCTTCCGAATCAGACATAAAACTAGTCTCTTGCAAGCTTTCTGGGGCTATTACTTTGTACTTTTCCTCCCAGTTTTTGTTATCCGGAGTCATGCTGTCGTAAGGCAATCCTTTCAGCACTTCCATCACAGAGATATATCCTAATTTTTGTGCTATGTTCAGTGCTGTTAAACCATCCTGCAACAACAAGTTTTATAAATTCATCAAAATTTAGTATTACAGAATTCATATTTTTTTGTAATATTTTAGAATTTTTAATTGGTATTTTGTTTTCTTTTTTATTTATTTATTTATATTATATATACATATATTACATATCTGATAATTGAAGAAGAGCTTAGCTGACTAATTATTTTAGGAATATAAAAATTTATAAAATTGTAATATATTAAGGCAATACTTGGATTAATTATTATTAATAAATTAATAAATAGGCATCAAAACAATAATAAAGGTTTTTATAATCGCATACATAGCAATAATATATTTCTTACGTTAGTACGCGCTTTATGTGAAGCATTTCCTTCCAACAAAGCGCTGACGATATGAGCATGACCCTGTTGGGCAGCCTGATGAAGCGGGGTGTAATTCTGATTAGTTCTAACGTCAATCGTGGCGTTATGTTTCAACAAAAAGCGTATCATCGAGAGATTTCCGAAGTGCGCGGCCACGTGTATCGGTCTGTAGCCAGTCTCTGTTTGACTCTCAACGTCGGCCCCGTTCTTCACCAAGATAGAGGCCACCCTAATGAAATCTTCTTGGGCGCATAAATGCAACGCCGTGAGTCCGTTCTGATAAATAGATAGAATGAGGATATAATACATCCGTTTATGATTTCGTAGAATTATAAAATGTATATTAAAAATGACGATTTATTTTCGAATTTATTAAAAAGTTAATATTAAATATTATTTAAAATATTAATTTCGACAATTGTAAAAAATAAAAAATGTATCTACAAATATTAAAAATAATTTTAAAAACATTTCGAAAAAGAAGTTCAAGAAAACAAATTTATGTGTATTTTATAAAAAATTGTAATTTTGTGGAGTAAGAAATAGACTAACATAATAAGTAAATAAATTAAATAAAGAATGATATATAACGAGCTCTGGTTGGGAGCTTGTAGATCTAAAATCGAAATCTATAAGTATATGAAAAATATTTGAAGGAAAAACTGATTTACCTTGGCTTTGTGATTAGGATTGGCACCGTGTTCAATTAGCAAATTTGTCATATCATAATGTCCTTTCTGCGCACTCAGATGTAACGGGGTGAAACCCGCTTTGGATTCCGCGTTTGCGTTCGCCCCGCTCTCCAAGAGAGTAGAAGCAATGTCCATCTAAACGTGTGAAAGAGATGGTTTTTTTCACAAAATATAGTTAACAGGCAGCAATAATGAACATTAGAGCAGAGTAATTAATGCGTTAGAGAAAACATTTCAAGAGTTATTTTAAAATTTGTCACAGTTTCGAGATAAGTTTACCTGGTTTTTGCGAGCAGCGATATGTAGCGGAGTGTGTCCATTTTGCGACGCAAGATGAGGCGACGCTCCTTTTTCTAATAAAAGAGTCGCAACGTTTGGATGATCATAGTGACATGCCAAATGCAAGGGTGTGATATCGTTCTGAAATATCAAGCATATGTTCTGCATAATTCAATGGAACCTGTTTAAAAGTTCAAAGATAATTTATGCAATATAATATCGCGTTGTATAAAGAAAAATATAAAAAAAAATTCCAGATTTTTAGACAACGATTTTGACATTTAAAGACAACGATCGATCTTCGACTTTTTTTAGAGATCTATCACCTTAAGTTCTTTACTTAGAAATTTTATAGGTAGTTCTAAAAAAAGAATAACATTGTGCAATTGCTAATATAATAAGAAATAATATTAAGGAAATAAAATTACTATATAAAATAAAGAATATCGTGTTCTCTCTCTCTCTCTCTTTTTCTTTTGCCTAGATGTCTGAATGTATTTTTTTACACAATTCGATATTGTAATTTGCGTAGAAATATACACGAACCTTTCCTTGGACATCGAGTTTGCTTTCTTTTTGCAAGAGTATATTTGCAACATTCATATTTCCGTATTTAGCCGCGATATGTAAGGGTGTAAAGCCGTTTTTCGTTGCAGCTTTAAGAGAAGCATTGTTCTCCACAAGAATGGCCGCCACCTGCTTGTCAGAAAATTTTTTGTGTTACAAAAAAAAATTCTTCGGGATCTGTCTTAGCCTTTACTTATACACTTTTGCAGTACAAGACAAAGCAGACGTTTTTTTTAATTATTTTAGATAATTACTCTTTTACTTATTTTACTTTTAAATATAAACCTTTTTTCAATTTCTTATAATATTTATATTGCTCAATAGAGTAAAACTTTCTTTATATTGCTATATAGAGTGATTTGAAATAATATTACGTATTAAGTTGAATAAAAATTTTGGATTACCTTCCACAAGAAAGATTAGAATTGAGGAACTTATTGAAAATCAATATATTCGTGTGTTCGAGCGACATGACACAGTTACTAAAATAACGATAATTTTCACAAATTAGAACGATCGGAATTAGATGAATGTTTGTTTAATGACTTTAATCACGTTTGTGCGAGCTCTACGGAAAGCGTTAGTAAATTATTTATGAGGCGCGCAGAAATATAAGAGGAACTCAGATACGTTTGGTTTGACGCAACGCTTGACAATCGATATCGAACCTCGGAGGAATGAAGCGATTGCCAAATGTCACGGGGTGAAATTACGTCCAATCTGGCTACCTTCGTGTAATAAGATTATTAAAAAAAAAAAAAATACATGATGACAGAGAGGCGGAGGGGAAAGAAGCGGCGATAAGATAAGCAGAACGGATTTCCATAACGTAGTTTGAGAAATATGAAAATTATTCGAGTATGCGTAAAAAGTAAAAATATGAAGAAATAAGGTAAACATAAAGAATAAACAACGTAACGAAAAAGTTTATTACATTAACGGATACAATGATGGATAAACGTAACATAAAATGTATAATCAACGTAAACAAAATTACATTTAACAGAAGATGTAAAACAGAATATGTGCGAGATGTGAGACCAACGATGATGCGAACGATGTGCACAGGTAATAACGATAACGACAAACGTGTCCGCAGCAGCATCTCTCTCCATCCTAAATGAGGTACTCGCGTTGCCGAGTCCAGAACAAATACGTTCTGTTTTGCGTGGCGATGTAATCCGCTATTTGCACGCACTCTTTGTACATTACCTCCTCTTGACCCTCCTTCGCCGCGATATGAAGCGCCGTGTACATATCTTTCGTAGCGGTGTCCACAGCCGCGCCGTGCTGCAGCAGCAGCATAACAATGTCGATATTTCCTAATCGAGACGCTATATGAAGCGGTGTTTGCTGTTCCTACAAAATAGCGACAAAACGGTATTAGAAAATGCGATAAAAATTTCGTTTCTTGCGAGACAATAAGGTGAAAGCGTGAAAGTGATGTTGCGATGATGAGACTCTCGTGATTAGAAAAGTCTATTTACAAATCGGATCGTGTGTTCGTTATTCTTGTGCCTTAAAAGATTTAAGTGATTGAAGAAGAAAGCGTGAAGAACAACACTAGATTCATCTTACTTGCAATTGGAAAACCGTACACTTTAAATTTTATAAAATCGCCAGTAAGCGAAGTTAAATTTTGGACTTCGGTATATGAGACTGGTTAATGGCTCATGCTTTTGTATAAAGGGGTGCGTATGAGTGATCATTTGTATGTATATGACTTTCTAGATTATAATTTTTTGCTTTTAGGAGAGGTACTCGATGTCGTGTCAAGCTAAACAAGCAGTATTCATTGCGGCTGTAGGTCAAGAAAGCGGCAAAAAGGGGGGAATCGTTTCGGAATCGGTTTCGGAATGCAACACGCTCTTACTTACCCTTGCACGAGCATCGACTTTGGCACCATTTCTTAGCAAAATTCGAATAATGTCTGTTTGATTAGCTCTAGCTGCCAGATGCAGGGGTGTTTCACCCCTAACAGTTGGCACGTCAGGATTGGCTTCATGCTGCAGTAGGAATATCACGATATTCATACACCCCATAAAACTGGCCACATGTAATGGAGTCAGTCCGGACTGCAAAACACATGTATTGTCTGTTAATATTTCGACTTCTCGATATGACTCCAGAATTAATTCCATCGATTTGTCTTTTTTTTATCGTTGTCTTTATCGTTCCGGCAATCGGTGTCTCGAAACTTGACGAGGAATATAAATACATAAAAATGATCGTGATGGAAAGAAGATCACGCCGATTAATTTTGTCAGTTTTATTATTAAACGCACGACCCTTTAACCAGTCTTTGAGGTTTATTGATCGGTTTTATTTTTCCGGGGCACAGAAGGACAAATGAAGATTATTCTTAACAACGTTATTCTTAATCAATGTGCGGACACATATCAATGTGACTTTTTAATTGTACTCCAAATATACTTATGTTCGCGCGTTAAAACGATCATTTCTGTGCAAATGCGATCGATATCACAATTTGGCTTCGTAATATTCTGTCGAGCTCGTTGCTAATGGCATTATGTGAAAACATATTTGTGATATACGAGTTGTGAGGAGACATTTATGAAAACATGATTGCGAGATGACAGTGCGAACGAAGAAACGTTGCGTTACCTCCGTGGTCGACTCGATGGACGCGCCGTGCTTCAGCAGGAGTTCTACCACTTTGATGCGGTTCTTCTTGCAAGCGATATGGAGCGGCGTGAAGCCATTCAGAGCTCGAGCGTTCGGATCGGCTTTACGATCGAGTAGCAACTTGGCGACCCTAACGTGACCGCAGTGTGCGGCAACGTGGAGCGAAGTCAGATAGTCGATGGTCACTTCGTCTACTGGCGCCCGATGGTACAGCAGCACTCTTGCAGCATCCACATGATCTCCTTGAGAGGCCATGTGTAACGGTGCCAGCCCATTCTGCAAAGAAGATAATTCTTAATTTATGACAAAAGAATAGATCATGAAATATACATGTGTATCTGGTGTAAATCACAAGGAGAATCAGAATCTGGTAATTAAAATTTTTTAACAACTGCAATTCTGGATATAATATTGCAGCTTAATCTTAATTTGATAATGGATAATATTAATCTTAAAATTTTATTTTTCAGTTTTGATATTTATTTTCTTTCATAACTAGCATTATACACATGTATCGTGAAAATATTATATAACTATTAGTGAAATAACTAGAAAGAGATGCGAGAAAAATTATTTGAAATTTGCAAACTGATCGATACGAGAGAAAACTTAGCGGAGCGTTTATTTGTTAGAATATACCTTAGTACGCGCGCTGATCGGCGCCGAATGTTCAAGAAGCGTGCTGACAACCTGTTCATGTCCCGATCGTGCTGCGCAATGTAGCGGAGTTAAACCGTCTCTGGTTTTGGCATCGATTTGCGCCGAGTTTTCCAACAATATCTTAACCATATTATTCTTGCCCCACTTTGCCGCCACGTGTAGCGGGCTTATGTTATGCTGAGAAAAATACATTATGTTTAAAACTATTAGACTATGATATTAAATTTAACTGTTTAGAAAATAATCAAAACTATATAGTATATATATTTAGAAATAGAATATAAAATATAGATAGAATATTTAGAACATAGATATTTAGAAAATAAGCAAAACTGTACTTCTGAGAGAGAAATAAAATATAATTTATTGTTATATGTCATGTTTAAAACGTATAAGCTTACGTTATTTTAGATCACCATTCTACATTCTTAGGTTATATCTTCGATTTAAAAAATTTAGCTCTCAAATTATTCTTAAATTGTCTTGTGTTTTTTTTTTTTTACTTTAAATCACTTTTGTCATAAAAATCGCCGAATGTATTTTACCTTAGCTAAGTAATTTACATCGGCTCCTCGTTTTATTAATAACCGTGCTATCTCCTCGTTTCCATAATGAGCGGCGATGTGGAGAGGGGTGAAACCACTCTTCGATGTCACGTCGGGCTTATGGTCGTTCTATAACATTTAATCGTTATATCGACTTAGTATTTTAATTCGCTCAATTGTTTCGTATTTTTAATACAATTAATTTTTGCTTGATATACAAATCTGCTTTAAGATCTTACTTGTAAGAGCAAGTCAGCGGCTTTGCAATCATCCTTCTTGGCGGCGATATGGAGTGCCGGTAGTCTGACCTTGCCCTTCGAATCGTTTTCTAGGAGTACGCTAACCACCTTATCATGGCCTTGCTGCATTGCCACAGCGAGCGGTGTAAATCCATCCTGAAAAACGTCCAAATAAATTTATATTTTATTAATAAAGGTCTAAAAGTCTATAAAACAAGATTACTAAATTGTTTGATTAAAAATATAAAAATGTAATTGTTTATAATTCTTATTATACATATGTATACATATGTATACATATATATATATATATATATATAACTTGCAGTTTATTAAAAATTTAAAACGGTCCAGATTCTCTTCGCTGCTATTAGAAAATAATTTCTGTAGGAATAAAAATTGAGCTTATTGGAGTTACAATCGTATAAATTTGCAATGAAGTGATCTATTTTCGAAAAAATATAGATCAAGCTTACCTCAGTCGCGAGACTTTGATTCGCTCCATTGTTGAGCAGGAGTTTGACGACCTGATCGTGATTCTCCTGCGCAGCCATGTATAAAGGAGTGAATCCGTTTTGCGACTGGATATTAACCTCGGCACCATATTGAATAAGTATATTGACTATTTCGCACTGGCCAGCTGGAAATAAAGTATGCAAAATTATGTATAATTACAATTATAATGGCGCATTCTGTGCAATGGAAATTATCGTTCTTTTTCTTTTTTTTTTACCTAACGAAGCTATGTGTAACGCTGTATTTCCTTTCTTCGTCGCCGCATCAACCTTTGCGCCCCTCTTTAATAACTCGGTTACTATTTCGACGTGACCATCCTTCGAGGCTAAATGCAAGGCATTTAAACCATTCTGCAATGAGATACAAAAATTAAACCTTATTATTATTATATTCAAAAATATTTTTAAATTAAATTAAATTATTTTATTTTATTTAATTAAAAGTTAAATGTAACAAAAAATTAAAATGAAATAAATAATTAAATTCAAATTAAATAATAAACTTTTATTTTATACAGGCGAATTTTCGTGTTTAATTTTTTTATTACTGGCGAAGAATTATTTTATTGATTTATACACAGTTGCTTATATAAAAACTATTAATTATTATAAAATTTAATTATATAAACTGATATTAAGGTTTAATTATGCAAAAATTGACGATAAAATACTTTAATAAATAACTTGACATTTTACGTTTAACGCTTACCGAGTTGGCGGTATTAATATCTAAATCAGTATCGAGAAATTCGACCACTTTCTCGAGGTTGCCGGACCGAGCAGCGCGAAGAAATGCTGTCGTGTCATCAGCCTAAAATCAAATATTTTTTTCTTTAATAAACGGCTGTAGAGACGAAACATTTAGAGGTACGTAGAAAGGACAACATGGAAAATAGAGGGACAGCGATAAAGTTTATTAAAAAAAAGACGAAGATGCATAATATGGTTATTTATATAGATATGATGTACAAGTAACCCAGTTTGTGACGGTGCAACCCTGTCCTTTTTCTTTTACCCTCGCGCACTTTAACACTTCGTGCTCATCGTTATTATCCTTCTCATTAATCATCAACGTTATTTACATTCCAAAGCAGTACAGGAACAAGCGTGTCAAATATTTACAAAAGCTCATTCTTTTTTTTGCAGATAGGTTTAAAATTTTTCGAGATCTACATAAATCTAGTAGAATACAAAAGCTTAAAGAAATTTAAAGAACGTTTATAAAATTAATTGATCTTAGAGCAATATTAATTACATGGAATATAGAAAATAAAAGGAAATCGAAGACAATTACCCACAGAAAATTGGAAAACGAATGCGTCATTAATCTAAAGTTAACCAATTCGTTTAAAAAATTCGATTAAAGTTAACCAACTCATGATTTTCTGGTTTGTTTTCTCGAGGAAGGAGAACCCCGCGTATCTCGCCCCTCTGCCCACAACACCCGCTGTGAATCATCACGATATAAGGAACCATGTCGGCCAGGTGGTCTACTCCGCGTTAACGCTATTTGCGCGCGCGCGCGCTATACTCCGTCACCCTGACCTTTGACCGGTAGCTCCTGCCGCCCTGCCGACTCTTACACCGTGTCTCGATATAGCGTTTAACGAATCGCGCCTTTACAGCTTTTCGGTCGCGATCGCTGCCGCCGCGTTCCTCTTTGACATCGATGCGCGCCGTATTCGCCGGCTGTCGCGCCTGAACGTCGATCCCATCTGGTTTATTTTGCGCATCGCCCTGATAGCCTACTCTTGTTCTGTTACCACGAGGAAGTTCTGTTCCACGCAATACCCTATTGCTAATAATATAATCGGAAATTGGTATAATTTTTGGTACAATTTAACGAGTTCAGATTCTCATGCGACTTCCTTGCATGTAAAAAGTTAATTTCTATATGATAATGAAAACGTAACATAGCTATATCGAAAGACATCTCTCCCCTTTAAATATACAGTATGGAATTTGTGCTCTACAAAAGTAACAATTTCGGATCTCTATTTAGAATTTGAAAAACATTAACAATCTCCGACCGGCTATTGCGATTTCGATGTAATAACTGTATAGATATACCTATCACTTCTTGACGCTGGTGAATCATAGTATCGCGAGCCTCTCGAAGAGCGATGAATCTTGCGATTTATTCCTAGAGCTGAGAGTTAGAGGTGCTCGAAAATATATATTCCACCGCTCATTGTCTCCTTCGATCGGTCAATTCGGAGTGGACGAGAAAGAGGGTGCATGCACGGAAGAGAAAGAGAGATAGAGAGAGAGAGAGAGAGAGAAAGGGAACGCAAGTGCCGGCTCCGAACCGCTATGCCGCTTCCGTTGAAGACCATACCTGACTGGTATTGTCGGTGACCATCGCGACTAGTGGCTGGGCCAGGAAAAGCGCCCTTCGAGCGCGCTCGGGGAAGCCCGACGTCGACCGTACGCACGCACGAGACGCTCGTCTCTCCTTTCAACACCGACCGCGCACGTTACACCACCATTTGTGCACAACGTCCCTCGGGGGTGCGCACGGTAACGCCAGGAAGAGAAAGCGTTAGGCGGTAGGAGCCGCCCTGCGGGAAACACGCAACGGCGCAGAATCGAGCGACAACGATCTCGCATATAGAGGGAACACCACACGGGGGTGGCTTGCACCCGGGGGGTGGTTTTGCCGGCTCACTCGCACCCTCCTTGAAAGGCACATGCGTCGTCCCCGTCTTCCCGTCTCGCCGGTGTCCCTCTCGCGCCCTTCTATTACTCGCGCATTGTTCCCGCTTTCTCTCTTACTCCGTCGTATTGCGTTGTGCTCGCTGTTTTAGCAGTAAAAACATTTTTACTTTACTTTTTACATCTTCTTCCCTTTGCTTTTGTTGCTACTTTTGGAACCTTGACAGATCGGCACTTTGAATTGCTGTAGGATGCGTATTGCGCTCTATATATGAGATGCATTGTATTCTATATAAGTATATTTTATTTAAAAAAAGCTATCTTTCGATATCTATATTTTTTAATTAACACTAAAACTTGCGGATATTAATTTTTATTTTTATTTATTTCTACCGAAGAAATCTTAGAAAAGAAAACAAATTAATAAAATTAATCATCTACGTAATTATAATAAAAATCAGGGAAAATTTTCAGAAATTAAGATGTTTTAAAAATGAGTAAATACTAAATTATTGAAAAATGTCAAACGTTTTTGTTTAATTTAAACGTGTTTATTTAATTTATTAAACTGATATAAAAATATAGAATAGGAGAAACACAAAAGGAATTTAATTTGTGTCTGTTAGCTGCTCTGTAAAATAAATTGTTCAATCTCCCTTTAATAAAAATCGAAATGGTTTCTCGATGTATTTCACTTTTTGCTTTTTTTAGGTATTTTATTCTAAAACACAATAAGCCTTCTCTCATCCCTCCTCACGTTTCTCATTTTATCCTATATCATCGCTACGTCCGACCTTTTCCTCCGATCTGGTGTGCGTGCATGTGGAACAGTTTATAGAGACGTTATAAGGGTGTGATACGTTCGCTGTGTGTAGAATCACCATTGAGCTAGCTTGGATTACCGACGGGGAAGGTGGAAAGAAAGAAAGGTTCTGCGAAGGAAACCGTACCGGCGAGTCCGGCGACGATAGCGCGCACCTTCTCGCGTGCAAGGATATAAGGGGGTTGCGAGGATTGTGTGTACAAGTGAGAGAGATGCATTTCGTATTCGAGCCGCCACGTGCAAACACCCGTACCATCCATGCCCGGGATTATTTTTCTTTCAATCGGGGAATGTAAAGACACGTGGTCGAATATACACGAGATTGAACTGGAAGAAAATTGCTACTCAACGCAAAATATATCTTCTTAAGCCATATATGGAAGCTCAAAATAATGTCGCACATGTGCGAAAAATTCGTAGAATTTTTAAAGGAAAAGTTTGCGAAACATAAAAACTTGATACATGAGAAATGGAGCCAAGTATACTATAACAAGAATTATACAGGAAAAAAAGAAGCGCCTCAAATCAACACTGATGTACTCGTATCTCGTATGTACGCAAAAATATGTAATCTTGAAATGAGACTATATATTGCATTAAACGACAAAAACTCGCTTGAATGAAGTCATTTATATAGTTGAACGAAGTTTTATATAGTTCAACCAAGAAAAAAAAGTTGAAACAAAAAATTGAAATTGTTATAAAAAGATTATACATAGTATATTGCTGCGTATATATGAGTATATCAGTATTGATTTGATACTTCTTTTTTTCTGTGTAATATAAATAAAAGATAATCAAATAATATTATAATTTGAGGACATACTTAACTTTTTAGCTATTAGTTTCATTTTTCAACATATAATTTTTTAGTTTTTTTCAAATTTTCATGTATTTGATAAATAATGAACAATATATTAAAAGACCTATTTGTAAATATATCAAATTAAAATGCATTAGTTTACTAAAAACTTTGTGTTGCTAATATTACGGAAAATGGGGCAACTCTAATCACATATCTTTAATTTAAAATTTAAGCGATGAATTCGAAAATAATTTTACACCATTGATTATAGATTAATAAATTTGTAAATCACTCTTAACTCTTTCTCTTATATCTTCAACATTTTCAAAAAAAACGATATATTAATTCTACATCGGATATTGTTTAATAAAATTGTTTGACACATCCAAAAATGACGCATTCGTATTTTATGGATGTCATTAAATTAACATAGATATCGCCAATCGATTAATTAATGCCAAATAATCTAAAGCAATTATATAATTATGTTGACGGATCTCACTACAGATTATATTATTTACTCGAAGTTATAATAACTTTTCGCTTGCGTAAGTCATCGCACTTGAAAAAACGCGATGATTTTAAAAAATAATTTCAGCGTCATTACGGTAAACGGTAACGTCAATGTCCTAAATCGCATCTTGAGAGAAATAAGCAGCATGTGTCGTTGCACATTGCGATCAATAAAATCTTTACAGCCGAGCTTGTGTGGCCGCAAGTAGGAAGAACAACGTTATGTATGTATGCGCGTCACCCCGTCGCATACATCCCTCGATACAACCTTGCACTCGCGTGACTTCATCCAAGGCCGCGACCCCCCGACTCCAGCATGCTGCCACACTTCTCGTACCCTTAATTCTCTTGCGCACCAATCGGCTGTGAGATTTCACGGATACATAGAGGTTCTGCCCTTATTATCGCGTCCAGCAATATTTTTTCTGTGCAACATTGTTGACAATAATTCTTGATCGAATTGCTGTCAACTATATAAGAGTTAAATTATTTTTATTATTTTCATGTTATATGTGCATGCTTGCGAGTATAAGAATTAAGATATTGTAAATTTTGTTATACATAAAATAAGAAATGTGTTATTTAGGGTATAATTTTGCCGAGTTGACAGTCGATTGACTAAAAATTATTGTTAATAATTTTGACGAATAAAAATTATCATTACCTCTGAAAAAAGAAAATTAAAACGCGATGATAAAAGATACTTGTGCATAAAGCCCTTATTTTGAAAATTGCCAAACTGTGTTGCAGAAATAATATTTGATTTGTAAAAAGCCAAGCACGAAACACAAATAACTTTTTCTCTCAAGAATATAGCAAACATTGAAATAAAAGAATAATAATGATTCAGCGAAGTTATAGCGGCAAAAATGCTGACACAATATTCGACAACTACTTTTTTGAACATTATACACAAGTAACAGTTTCTGAATACTCTGACAAATTATTTCTAAAAATAGTGTCGAGCTATCGCTTACTGGACAGGGTCCAATAATCACCAAGAGCGAAGCTTGATAGCAAAATAACAGCTGATTCGGTCATCTAATATTTATTTATTAATTTTACACTGTTGATCTACGTATTTTTCATAAAAATAGAAGTTAATCTTACCAGTTATCGATGTAGCTGTACAATATACTACATTTGGACATGTTTAAAACAATTACTGCAAAGTATATTAATCGGTATACCAAACCTGTTTATTTTATAATGATGTTAAACATCTTGAAGCTATAGGGAATTGTTATATAAAATGTTTAATTTCAAGATTTTTCGCATACACAACAGGGAATTTGAAAAGGAAGTTGACGGGAAAAGATATTGTAAGAGCGATGGATATTAATTGGTACGCATCTTTACCTGAAGTCTAATGATCGGTGGGAATGCGTCTTCTTTCGTCATTACTAAATAATAAACTGTATATTCTCTTTGACAAACTCTACGTACACGCACGCTCTGTAAGCACCATGCTGAAGACGTAGACTGCCGGATATTAATAGAATTCTATGTTATTTTTGTTAAACTCCTATATGTCATGCCTTTGTTAAGTAACCGCAAGTTTTGCATTAATATTCGAAGCTAGTACATCCTGCGAATTTACAAATGTAATGGTTACACTGAAAGAAACATGTATTTTTCCTACTATGTATATATATGGTATATATTACTGATCACTATTCAAAATTAATAATAATTAATTCAGTAATTTGTCACTTATAAACGATGATTTTATTTATTATAAAATCGGCTGGAGCAAATTTTTTCATAAAACGTAATTTGTGAAAAAAATTATGGATTTATCGGATTGTGTGAATTTTTATATTTTATATAAGTAAAAAAAAACGAATATTTATGTAGAAAAATAGATTCTCTAGCGTAGTCTTAAATTATTGACATCTTTATTTTAGATTGTATTTATTATTTTTTAAATATGTCTATTGTATTTGCAATAACATGAGAATAATGTTTTCGACAATATTCTGACAATAATATTTCATACAATCTACCTTTGTTACTTCAAATATTTTGCATATATTAAAGCATATGTCCTCAAAAAAATTTTATTTAAAAAGCATAACACAATCAACAACATTCTATCTACTATTCAAAATTATAAACTATTCAATATTACATTTATGAAAGGTACTGGATCTGTATATTATCTCTATTGCAACATTATATAATACATATTGTTGTAAAGGATTGGATAACTTTAATAACAAAGAGTCTAATTTAATATTCATTTGTAAATTGTTATTATATTTGTTATTATATTTACACAAAATAAATATTAATTAATAATTCCACCAGAAACTGATCGAGAAACTCGGAGTAAGGGCGGTTACGTGATGCCACCATTTTGGTGGAATATACAACATTTCTCCGGGCTTTAAGTAAAAAGTCATACCCCTGGCTTCGCGAAAGTTTGGCCATTTGTCATAATCTGGCCTTACAGGATCCACTTGTGCAGTATTATTAAGTAATCTAGTGTCATAAGGATACAAGTTGTCTGTTTCGGCCGGAGAATATAAAATAACTCTCTTGTAGCCGAATACCTGAAAAATAAAAGTAACGACACTAATTACAATATGCAAGATGTAGCATAAAGTTAATAAAAAATCTTTAATATTTTATTGCAGCAATCTTCAATGTAAATATCTCTTTACCTGAGAAAGCAGATTATTTTTTGGATCAAAGTGCAAAGGCGACACTGTATTAGCGGGTCCGAACCAGGCATTTATATCAACTTCTGAGGATTCCGCATCCTTCTCCTTACTATCCGTAAAGCAGCAATACTCTGGTACTTCGAAATCCTCTTTCAACTCTGGTATCTAAGATCGATTTAAAAATCGCATTTTTATACGGCAAATTGAATCATGTGCAAAGAATCAATACCTGTTCAAATAATTGATGCTGTGCTAAGTAACCAACTTCGCTATTATTTTCAATAACGTGCTTTTGTAAAAATTCAGAAAAATTAACAAGATGCTGTGTCCAATCTTCTTCAGTATAACGGGATCCAATTTCAATCGGCACTGTCCGAGATCCCGCGATCTTATTCAAATAGTTAGGATTTTTCCATAACGTTAATGCTTTCCAATGATTTATACAACCTAGTGAAACGTATAAAATTAATATTTCATATTTCTCTATAGTATTTTAAAGCATATGTGAGATTGCTAAATATTTATGCTATTCAGGCTAAAATAAAATTCTGAACTTTGTCATGATACAGATTATCGTGATACAAATATTGATTAGAAACAAGTTTGATTCACATTTACCTGTTAGTACAGCCGGTAATTTTGGCTTGAAAATTTTATTGTAAAATGTTTGCATCGAAGGCTTTTCGAAATATCTCTCCGGGCAGTTAGAGATTAAATAGTTAGTAGTTCCCTCATGATCAATTGAAATATCTTCCATATTTATAGCATTAGATTCTTCTAATAAAATTTGAAAAATAAAATCGATTTTAATGCGGTGTTTAAATCATTCAATTTAATTAAATAATTTAAATAAATTAATAATTTAATATTATATTATTAATATATAAATATTTTTATAAATATTCTTACCAGCACAATAATTGTTCAGCTTCGTAGCATTAGCTGTCAATAAATTTGGCATACTGGAAAGAGGCGCACCCAACAGAATGCCTCTATCAATTTGGTTAATAATATTCTTCAATGCAGTCTTCTTCTTTTCTTTATCAGCATAACTTTCAACATTTATTTTGCACTGAAGCTCTAATAATACAGCCTAAATGCATCAAGTGCAATTCCAAATAAAATTTATATAATCAGTAAAAGCTTTTGAAAATTAATATAAAAGTAGACTTACGTACATTAATCAATAATATTTTATACCTTTACAATAACACACAGAGAATAACAATATCTGTATTCTATTGGAACATCTTTCCAGGAGCCTGAGTTCAGTACCTCCCATGTGCGATCTAAACAAGCTTCCAGTCTTGTTATTGAAGCATTTATCCATTTTTCTGAAGTTCTTATAAGGGAAACAAAATTGATAGTATATATTAAATATTTATATTGAATATTATGCATGCTATTTATTATTTAAAACAATAAGTTTTATAAATGGATATAAACGATCTACAGAGCTATGAAACTCTTACTTTAACAGTTGCATGTTATAACTAGTATATGTGTTTAATATGTGTTTAAATTTTTATGTACACTTTTTTTGCATCATGAATTAATTTGATTAAATAATGTAAGATCATATGGGTGTACTTCAAACAAATTCATGCAACAAAATTGATAAGGCTTTAATGTGTGATAAACATATTTGAAATAATATTGTGTTCTTAATATTTATAAATTAATATTTACAATTGTTTATCAGATGTTTGTAGCACGTTGATTATAGATGTCAAATGTAGTTTTATTTCAATAGGTATATTCTCCAATTCTTTTGTTAACAATTCCCAGGAAACCGTTATCATACAGTCGTTGAAAGTCATTATCTGTAAATTACTTCAGGTATATAATTATTAATATAAAATATTATACTGTAAAAAATCTTTACTCATAAAAAAATGCTTCTGCCATATACAGGTTTACTTAAATACGCCCACTGTACAATAACATAATCAGCTAAATAATACAATATCTTTCCCGTTAGTGAGAAAGTTTTAACTCTACAGAAACTCTCTATAAATACAATAACGCTTTCTGTGATGAACAGGACTTTAAACAAAAATGCTATGACACATAAAGGTACGCAGGTGCCAGGACCATTGCATAAAATAAGCTTTGGACGTTCTCTCCATAGTATTGGAAGACAATTTAATGCGGCAAATACAGTGGTCCAAATTGACGTGAGGTACGACTGCCGAACTTCCCGACTTCTATAAATTTCCACGATTTTGTAATCTTTATTGCTACCCTCTAGATCTCTAACTTTCTCCGCACTAAGTTTATCTGTCTGAGCGTGAATGTACACTCTGGGCGAATAATTCTCAATGTTCAAGTGTTTAATAATTCGCAGCATTTCGGCCGTATGTCCACCGGATCCTAATATTATCATTGTTTTAGTTGGACAAGACTTTTCTCTGGGCTTATTGCCTTTGATAAATATCAGATAACACGCTCTTGCAAGTATCAATATACAGGCAAATGCGAAGAAGATAAAACATTCTTTCGCGTACATCTTTCCGTTTTGTTACCTGAAAAGAGTATTATAAAATAAAATATATATCATAAACGTACAAAAGGGTTAAATTACATCAATAACAATCCTCACTAACCCCAAGAATTTTGCGTCTCGACGCGTCACTGGAATTACTGAAAAAAAGCAAGAGATTATAGGTTAGGTTTGTTCTGTGTGATTCTTTTAAGGGTGCGGTTACATGGGCTGAGGTCGCGTTCAGCAGACCAAGCCGCTCAGTAGCGGTCGAACATGATTGGCTCTTACTTTTAGAACCAACCAATCGACGCAGAGTGTTGATAAGACGAACTCAACAGTTGTGTCTGCTGAACGCGTCCATTTGCCGCGTTTCACATTACGGCTGCGTTCCGATATTCACTGCAAGTACTGAAAATCTACTGATTGTACATATGTCAATCGATAAATGTTTGTTCGCATTCATTAACTGAAATAACTCTGTTACAATTTAGTTCGCCGGGTAAAGAGTATATTAGACTAACCTATATTAACGATCTATTTTACCGATCTTGTAAATCCTTCTTTTTCCCCGTTACTTTTGCTCCCCGAGAACGGAGCTCTTTTTTTAATTTCTCCACAGACCACTTTGCGTATTTTTCGCCACTCAATTATTATCACAATTCTTTTTGATTCTTTCGCTGCTTTGAAATTTGCGCCGTTAGCTACCAGGCACAGTGGCTCCCCTGTGCGGGAGCAAAAGTTAGTGAGGAACCTTATTGCTGTCATTGCCGCCGCGTGTAAAATTCTTCGATCGAGTTTCCGGTCGAATGTACTCTCGCAATCTATGTCCTATAAGCTTCACAGTCTTCACGCACGCCATTTTTATTTATATATGTGTAGAACAACGGAGTACGAATACGGAGTGGATCAGAGTGGATTTGTGCGACAGATTTGTAACAGCCGAGAGCTCGTCGGGGAGATGTGTCGCCTCGCAATATGTGTGTAATGCGAACTAGCGGTGCATGCAACCCGTGGCATTTTCGCGAACGTTCGGCGTGAGTGGCTATTCGTATTCGTGCGAACGCTCGACCGCGGTGGTCGGCCGTGAACACTGCAACGTTCTTCCCAGCACTCGTCTCGATAAAATGGACCATCGTCAAAAAGTAAGCCGCACCAACAAAACCGGTTTGAATGCGTAACGAACGTGCATTGGGGGGAGAGCAACGTTTTCCTCGGTTATCTCGTCGACGGAGCTTTGAGGAAAATCGAAGCACTCCGATGAAATCTCGACAAAAACCCGAACCCTCGAGCGACAAAATAGAAATTTGTTCGATAGCGAGAAATAACCCGATTATTCGCAATATTTTGCAACAATTTGTATATCCGCGCACGCTTCTCATACACTGTTAAATGTTAAAGGATGACATTTATCAATACCTTGAGTTAGAGATAACATTTTGTTATTTTTAACTAACCATGTATATGTCAAAATTTATTTTAAAACAAAATATTATTTTAACTCCATTGGTTTAGTCAAACATTGTTTTGATTAAATTAACCACGTATTGAGTAGGAGCAGTAGTGACCTATAGGAATGGTTAAAAATTACTTAAATTGAGATATAATTTGACTCTGTGAATTCAACAGTGTACAGAATCTGCAATTGTGAATGCTTAAAAAGATCTAATATCGTTTTGTATTGCTCCTCTGTTATTTTACATGAAATTTCAACCATCATTTTTGCCTCACCAGATGGTTGTAGTTCCTCAACAATCAAAAGTCAAAATCGAGGACGATGACGACGAGGATGTAGAGGCGCTGAGATTGGCAGCGCTTAAGTCACTACGAACAAAAGATGCCACACATAAAAGGTCAGCGTTATCGCAGATGCAGAAAGTACTACCGCAAATAACGCAATCATCCTGTTTCTCGTATAAAAATCAACGGCCTACGAAAAAGAATTACTATCACAATAGGGTGCAACAAAGGCAAAATGGCGTAAGGCGCTTTCAATTTATATATTATTTATGATTAATCACAACAATAATTTTACATGTAAATCCACAAAAAATTATTGTTTCTTGTTTTACAATATGTCAAAATGTATTTAAACAAACGTTCTAATAAGTTTTCAAAATATTGTGTACAAAGTTCACATTATCATGTAAATTTTGTGGATTTTTGTAAACTTTATAATTTTCAAAACCATATTCTTATCTCGACATCTTCAGTTGTACATCTGTATTTTACATTTGCAGAACGTGTATTATCAGAGACATCCTAATCCGAACTTGATAGCGATAGTTCCTGTAGATGAACCTTCTCCACTTCAACAAGCCCAATTAACTTGTCCCATAGAAAAGACTGAGCCATCTGTAGAAACATGCCCTCAAGGTAAGCTTATATATTTTTACATAGAATGAAATAGACTGTATTAAACAATAATGTTGATCAGTGTGCTTCTTTCTTTTCTTCAAAATAAAATAATTGTAATTGTACGTAATTTCAGAAGAATCAAAATTCCATCGTTTTAAAGATAGTGGGAGCGGTTCTGAAGAAGATGATACAAAGGAGCAGAAAAGCATTACGACTTCTATAAAGACAGAAGTTATAATAAAAGAGGAAGACGACGATTCAGTAAAAGTTGGATGTCAGGAGGAAACTACAGACAGTCTGCAAAAGAATGGAAGTGATAACCAAGAAGGAGATGGTAATGATGATGATGACGATATACTCTTAATGGCTGATCTCGAGGAAGAAGATAGTTTAGAGCGTTTAATGGACGAGATGGAAAAGGAAATGAATGATGAAAATAAGTCTGAAAAAAAAGAGAAAAAATTGCATAAAGGTGAAGCTAAAAATACGGTGAAAGGTGATGAAGGAAGTAAAAATTTAGACCAGAAGACGACGAAACCAGACGACAGCTATGGTAAGAAGGAAAGAAACAATGTTACTACCTCATCTCTGACTACAGTTATCAAGAACGACAGAAGATCTGTCTCTCCACACGTAACGAACCGAGTTAGTCAAAAGCGCCGATCGTTATCTCCAAGGTCACGATCACGGAAGAAATCGCCAAGAAGATCTCCTAGAAGATCTCCAATCAGGCAACTGAAAAAGTCTCCGAGGGAAACATCGACGAGATATAGATCGCCCCCGTTGTCACGATACTCCCCTAGATCTAGATCGCCCAGACTCTCACCACGTAGATCTCCAAACAGGACAACTACGAAAAGATCACCGCTCAGAAAATTATCGCCGAGGGGCAGATCACCCAAACTTTCGTCGCACTCCATATCGCCACGACCACTCAGATCGAGGTCACCAAGACGATCAAAATCTCCGAGGCCGCGTTCACCCAAAATATCGCGCTCTAGAACGCCACTATTGTCGAGATCAAGATCGCCAAGGTATTCGCCGCTTAGATCTAGATCCAAATCACCTAGATTATCACCGAGAAGGGTGTCACCACGTCGATTACGGTCCAGATCCAGATCTCCCTTGTCTTCTCCTCGAAGAGGATCACCTCGCTTGCGTTCGCCGAAAGCATCACCACGTAGAACACCATCTCGATTGAGATCGCCGCGACTTTCACCGCGTAGGTCACCGTGGTCGTCCCCGAGACATTCACCTCGTCTCTCGCCACGACGAAAGCGATCCCCGAAATGGTCACCTAAGGAATTATCCAGAAAGCATGGTCCACGTTCCATCACTCCAGATAATCGAGATGGTTATATGAGAGAACCGTCTCCAATCTTCAAAGGTACAGCAACGCCAGAAATGCCCAGGACGAAAGCAAAGCAAAAAGATGAAGTATATGAAAAACCAACAACGATGACGGAAATGCCGAAGGAATCTGTTAATACGATTAGTGATCCTGTGCTGGAGGCAAGGAGAAAGAAATTTGAGTCTACGCGGCCTATTGATCCTGTAAATGCCAATAAAAAGATTAAATTATCCAAAAAACATACCACGAATACGAAAGTGGAGCCTTCAGAAGGAACGGAAATTCAGTTGAGTGCTGCGAGAAGACCAAATAAAACTGTAGAGGAGTACGATGTTCAAGAGGTGGATTTATGTTTGGAAGAAGACTACGAACTTGAAGAGTGTGAAGAAGTGATGGACAATACGTCGCCAAGCGCTTTTACAAGTACCATAAATACGTGCATGGATACAGAACCACCAAAAGCGGAGAAAGAAAAATCTTCGAAGAAAAAGAAGAAGCGCGATAAGGAGCTGTATCAAGTGGGAAAATTGAAGAACGAACTACCGCTTTCCGAACGCATTGGAAAGGACAAGAAATGTAAGAAACGTAAGGACATAGTCGCCGAACCAGACGTGGACACTATATTTGAAGATGTAACTATAGACGAAGAAGGAGATTTACGAACAGAACTTAGCAGAAGGCGCGCAGAGAGACTGAACAGAACAGTGCCGATTCAGTCCGCTAGATTAGTACAGTCAGCTTTTAAAGGCGTTGTTAGTGAGTAAGTAACAACATGATATCATATTGTATCCTTATTTTCTCTTACAAATGTGTTACTTATTTTGTTTTTATGTTTTTTTATAGAGCTGTGAAAAATAATGCAAAAGCCAATCAGAGGCATGTCATGAATACTGATGAAAAACGTAAGTATTTATAAATATTTATAAATAAATGTACCTAGCATTAGTTTTATATTTCAATTAATTTCTTTTCCTTTCTTTTTCATGACCAAGTTGTTTCTAATGATAAATGTTTCTTTTTCTATAGCTAATCAAAAAGAAGTTAGACGAGTTACTGTGCTGCATAGAGCATTAACTGAATTACATGATTCTGAAGGTATTTATATCTCTTTATGATGTATTAAGTACAGAATTTTACAATTACAGATATAGAATTTTTACAAATTATAAATATAGAATTTTTTGTAAATTTTAACTTAAATACTGTTAATTATTTTGTTGTTGAAACAATTGTTCTATTTTTTTGTACCTATATATATTTTTTTTTCTTCGTACATTTTTAAATTTTTTTCTTATACATAAGGAAAAAATTTAGAAATATATGAAAAAAATATATTTGAGAAAAATATAGTTATATTAAAAATAATATAAAATAAATTGTTTTACAAAATGTTCTTATTTTTTATTTACAGAAGAAAGTACTCTTGATTCGAAGGTACCTGTGCGTCTCAGATTGGGACTCAATAAGCAAGTGCAAGAGTCCAGAGAGTCCAAGGTTACACGAAAAGCAACTAAAAGACAGGGTCGTAAGGTAAAGCACAAAAGTCATTTGTCTCTAAAAGATCCTGAATATATGTTGTAGTGTAAATTATGGCTTTATATTTCCATTCTAGATTTATAAGTAGTGTGATATTTTGTGATACTACCAAGCTAAGTATGTGACAGATGCATCTTGAAATATCGTTCATATATTTTTCTTGTTCATAATAGAATGATGATAAATTGAAAGATATTAAATAATGAAGTCTTCAAATCATTATGCTCTATAATTTGCATATTATAATTTTATGAACTAGAACGATGCAATCTGATATAATCTAAATAATAATTAACTGTTATAATTGAATTAATGAATTCAATTAACAAATAGAACTTATTAATGTATGCTTATTAATGAAAAAGATTACATTTTAATTGAGATTACTTTTGATTTATAATAGACAATATTTTTTCGTGAAACTATTATGAGTGGTATATTATCATAAAAAATAATTTACCAAGTTACATGAAATAAGTTGTATGACATTATCTACAAAACAATATTGTGTGCCTTTCAATAATAACGAGAGAATAATATAAATGCCGCGAGATAATTTACATTATTGAATTTTGTTAAGGGAATGAAAAGCATGTTTTTGTGTAGATATAGATTTCGATAATAACACTATTGAGAAAGAGAGGGAGAGAGAGAGAGAGAAAGAGAGGAAGAAACAATTATGTGGAACTTTTTCCTAAAATGTCTTATATTTTAGTATCGCGTTATTCTAAACTCCATAGAGAGTTTAGTAGAAAATAAAGATGATCTGTTTTTTGTTTAGGAATAAAATAAATACGCGTTCATCCGATTACATATTTGTATGAAGAGAGAAAAGCGGTTCATCTTACCGCTCATTATGTTGTCGGCACATAGGAAGATGCGCGGATTAACGGCTACGTTATCTCATTTGAAATGCTTGTGAAGTATCTCTGTTTTTCTTTTCAAGCATAAAGTACAATAACTTTCATAATACTTGAGAATCCAAATTTCGATATCTTACGATTTAGATGTATTCGATTATTTATCATTATACATTGCTTAGGAAAAGTTGATTACGTGTGAGTATATTAAATCATTTGTTGTGTTGAAGAATGTGTACATAATTTACTTTGGTCGCACACTTAATAAACAATAATAATCCCAAAGCTACCTTTTAAAAAACCTAAGCATATTTTACATGAAAATAATAATGTATAGGTGTATTTTAATTGTATATAGTGCTTAATACCGATTAAACTAATAAGAATGTGTAGTATAGCTTGTAAATTCGACTAATGATATATTGCGGCACCAAATATCTTGTACAAAATATTATATTAACAGATGCAACTTGTTAAAATTTATTTGCTACGCGACGTTTAGTATGAAAGCAATTTTGACGTATGATGCAAACTGTAAGTGTTTAGATCTGATCTATGGTGTTTTATAAATCGATGTTACACTTTATTGTGTACATGTGCCCGTTCTATTTTACAATTAAGAAATTTATTGCGGTATTAAATTAACGGACTAAATAACTGTTTTTTTTTTACATCCATTTTATGCTGCATTTATATAAATGTAGTGTATTAGTTTTCAAAATTGTGTACACTAGATTTTCACATATTTAGCGGCAAATTACTGTAAATATTGTTGTTATATTTCTATTGTATCTTTGAGGAAGATACAATTATAGTTTACTTAATGTATCTTACATAACTGTATTTAATTAACGGCCGCAAAATAATACGTACTATTGCTTTTAATTATATTTCCATATTAATAATTAGGACATAGTATGCATCATTACAATATATGTATAGCCAATATGCGTGAACCATTGTGGGTTATTGTGCAGCTATGTACATAAACTCAGTCTACTTCGAAAACGATGTTCGTATACCAAGCTGAATACCTCATAGTATCTATGAAGGTGTAAACGCTGCTTTTACGTCAATAAAAAAAATATCACATTTATAAAAAATTTTTTCTCTAAAAATTTTCTATGAATACCGATAGGATCTGATATTAGATTTTTAGATGTATATAAAAGAGTGATAATTACATGCGTGCCTTTATTTATATTTAATTAAAAAGATGTAAACATTTTTTTAATACGCTTAAATAGTGAACGCGTATACGTGTCAGCCAAAACGAACATTTTTATCATGCCATTTCATTTACACATCGTACATGTGTAAATCTGTGACATCAACTCTGAGAGTTGTATAGTATTTTTATAGCTAGAAATATAATGAAAGACTGAAAGGGAATTATATGAGCCTTAACCAGTGCATAAATGTCATGTGATACTTGGAGGGATTTTTGCAGTTTCCCTTACGCGTGTTTCGATTATCTTAGAATAACACAGACAGTTATGCGTAATATCTTTAACATTTAAAGGACGGACTATAAATAATGGTGATTATATTCATAGCATAATCCTGTGTGCATGCAAAAGTTTTTTCTTAAATATTTAAATATGACATACATACATTAGAAATATTTTATATGTATACCTATTACAAATTATATCTGTGAATAATTTACACGACATATATATTTATTTTAATGACATATTTTAAGATAACATTTTGCAGCCGTTATTTGCCACTTCAATTTTTAAACTTATGAAATTTAGAAAAAATGTTCACTATTACATGGCAATTATATTCAATTTCAACTTCTGTGTTATTCTGTGATACAGTTGCGATTAAATCACGATTCTAATTGTTAATAATTATTTAATTTATTAACTTAATTTTTGTCATAGGTAAATACAGATGGGTGTAATTTGTTAGTAAAGTTTTGATAATGTATAATTGGATATTTATAACTTATTATTAATACCATAACTCTATAATTAGTTTTAGTTTATTAACATACTTTCTCTTTTGCATTTTGTTATCAATGACAATTCTAGATCATAATTACGAAAAATCGAAATCGAGATTATTACATTACTGACTTTGTGTCTTTTTTTATTAGAAAAAATGTAATTTTATTTTGTGCACGATTTTTATACTTTAAGAGAAATTTCCTGCGTTATATTCTTATGTATTGCAGTAAGATTTTGTATATTATTTTATTATTGGAATGTTCAACCATCTGTAATTTACCGCGCGAACACTGTGTGCGTCTGTATGAATGTACCTATTTATATAACTAAGTATATTTGTATTTATACCTTCTTTACAAAGAAAAAAGAAGCAAGATTATCACATACTTCCTTAGACGTAGTGATATCAAAAATATCAGTGAGGTGTGTTTCCTACGTCACTTAGAATTAATTGAATCTTTTATTTCAGAAAATACGGAATAAAATATTTTTCCAGCTACATTTGCCGACTATTTCTTTCTTGTACCAAAAGCACCTCGAGTTCCTGGTAGCCCTTACGTGTGTAACGTTAAGTCTTTTATCTTGTTGTGAATCGTACAATATTATATGACATTGAGTGAGCGGTATTACGCTTTATGAATATGTATAAGAAAAAGTTCCTTCCGAGTCAGTCACGCAAAATAGAAATGTAGAAGCTTAAGAACTGAAAATGTAAAGAATATTTGCGATACTTAGAATATAACAGTGCGAGCGAACAGTGAGAATAGTTTCGTGTCAATTACAATCCATTATGTAATTATATTGCGCGTATGCTACATCAACTTTAAATTATTGTAAATATAATCGTACAAATATCATAGGAACCATATAAGAATAAAGAAATAAAATAACGACGTGTTATTTGATTTAACGATAGTGTTGCGTGTACTATCTCGCTACTTTAACAGTAATAACTGGCATAGAAATGTCTTTCATAATTAGATCTTTTGCAATTAAAATTAGAAGTTTTTAAACTAGACGCAATTATTACTGTTTAATTTTAATGACGGGGAGAAAATAGTTAGAATTTGTGTATCGTTTTATTTTATGAGATATTGAAACTACTTGTACTCATTGTCAGTATTATATACGCAACAACTAAAAGGCAAGAATGGTCTATTTAATGATTTAGGAATTGTAAAAATTATGCTAAATGATTTAAACGTGATTTAACGGATAAATTATTAAAGTTTTCGTATGTCCTTCATGTCCACGTTCTTGTTCACGGTCACGATGGTTTCGAGACACCCGGTGTGTAGCCCCTACGCCGTGTAGCTGCAACCGGAGCGGCGCAGACGGGCGACGAAGTGGTTGCGGACGGTGCAGGCGCAGACGCGAGCTACCTGGTGAACAAACAGAATTCTTATGAGAACTGGCCTGGCAATCAATGGCATGGCAGAATGCTTGAGACCCACGTTCCCTCTGACCGCAGTTCGTGCAGTGCGCGCAGAGACCACCCTCAGTTTTTCACCCTCTCCCTTCGGGGCGTGCGACGGCACCCCGAAGATCTCCGATACAGCACGTTTTCAGCGTACGCACTGCACGCGAATCCTCGGAAAATGGGATCGCGCGCGATAAACAGCTCGTAATGAGCTTCGCATTTCTGGCGGCGATGAATCGCGCCACTTCGGGCTAATTAATTACGTCGCAGGCGAGGTCCGTTGTTAAGTAACGTCGATCGACGAGCGGGAACCAAAAGGGATCCTCGATCGACGCGGGTCCGCGATGCCGTTGTGACATCGGTCCTCCGTGGATAAATTTCGACGGACTTGAGCGCGAGGAGTCGGTCGGATCACCGGGTGGACCATGAACCATGGATACGCGACTCGAGAACGACGCGGATTCGGAGGAGAAGCGTAAGGAAGGTACGTGCGACGTTTCTCCAGTCGAACTCCAGTTCGGTGTTTCGAGTTCGACGAAATCCGGGAATGGGCGCGCGACTTTTCGCGACAAATGACCTCGTAATCGTCGTCGATTATCGCGTCGACGACGAGATGATTCCTCTGTTTACAATGTCAGCGAGGCAGCAATGTCCAAAATGGTCCAGTCTCGAAATTCTTGTCAAAATTAGTACATGTTTCTATTTCATAAAAATTTCAAATTTAAATTCAAATTTAAATTTCGAATGTTGAACTATTTTTAAAGCGATGATTTTCAATAATTATTATGATAATTATAATCATACTGTGTGTACTAAAAGGACCTTTCTTAATCCTATTTATAAATAAATAAATTTAACGAAAATTGTCGAAATTTTCAGCTTGAATGAAAGGACTCGATTTCGAGTTCCTTCCTACCAAAAGTATTTGATGATGTTGTGCGACGATTCCCGGATTAGATAGATCTATCCGCCGAATTTGCATGCCTTCATCCGTAATCTGCCTTCTGTAATATATTGCCAATCTCGCGCTCCTGGTAATTGTGCTAATAATGCTCGTAATGACAATTAATATTGCGCAATGCAAAATTCGTGTGCTTATCCTGCCGAAAAGTTGCCGTTATTTATTTCCAACACTTAACGCTGCTAGCTAAAACGCAATTTCGCTCTATTTCAGGATACAAAATTGACTTAATTGTACAAACACTTCTGTACAAATGTACTTTATAACTGTCGTGTACACGTAGCGTCGAGTTCCAAGTTTCGAGCACGTCGGAATTGATTTCGTCTCAGCCAGCAACTTTGTTTTATCGAGATCAGATATCGGACCGCGCGGAAGTGGTCTCCGTGTTTGCTCGTGGCCATAATCGATACACAAAACGAGTAGGGTGCTTGTAACGTTGAAAATTTTTTTCTTATCTAAATTATACGCCCCTCGGCTTCGTATAAAGCCTCTATGAAGTCTCGTCTCGACTTTGTGGCGCTAACGTACCGTGCAACGAGAACGGAGATCTTCATTGTCATTGAACTTGCACTTGTCGGATTATTAAAGAGGAAAGATGAACCGCGCACAAGAAGTTCAGCTAAGATAAACAGACTTCATGTGTCTGTTTCTCTTGCTGAATTGGCTGTATAGTTTACAGTTTATCTTTTTTACTCTGGAAGTACTTTTTACATTGGAAGAAAAAAGATAAACTCTGAACTAGTGCAGCCAGTTTAGCAATAGAAAACAGACTCATTGTAACGAGTATCGAACCTGCGAGAAAGGAAATGATGAGCCTTGGATATGGGCGTTGTTGCATGTGCGAGGCGACTCCGGTGAACCCCGGAGCTTGGATGAATCTGGTGCACGCTCTCGCAAGCATGTTGGGGGATCAACAAGTACGTGTTATCCGCAGGGGAAGTCGCCGATGTACACCAGGTGCTTCGCATGGACCGGTTCGACGTTGGTGTATAGCTCGATGTAACGTGTCAAACGTGTGTCGTTTTCACCGTTGAACGCAAATCTCTCTTTCTAATGACATGTTTCAAAGAGCGCGCTTAAGCCATGGGTAGTGGAGGAGTTGGTGAAGTACCGACGATATTTCACCCCCGACGATCGCGTGCGTCGAATATAGCCTTCGTCGAAGATCAGCAGACCCACGGTCCGTTCATCACTCCCATCCAGATTGCGCTCCACGCTTCAGGTAAATTTGCGCGTGATGTATAGATTTTTATGTTGGGCCGACCTCTGTCCCTCCCCTTATCCTTTCAGTCGCAGAGACATACTGAGAGATAAAGCTGAGGAAACTGATAATCCATTGATACTGTGAACAATTACTCAAATTTTGAAAATAAATAATATATTGAAGTCCTGGTGAAAAAATTTCTCATATTTTCTCCGAAATTTTTTAATTATCTTTTATATGTTTAATTGATGAAAAATTCTGAAAAATATGAATCAATTTCTCAGATACTTTCAGAAATAATTGGATGAGGGTTTTTGGAATATTTTAGTATCTGTATTATATATAGATAAAGTTCTGATAAATTGCGCGGATTTTCTTGTATTTATTCAGATTTCTACAAAAATGTGTTGACGGGAAAAACCTGAAATATTTCATTATTATTTTGTTTGAGTTTTTCTAAAAAATGTTCCATTTGTATAAAAAATCTGAGACAGTCTTTACAGAAATTCTGATTGATGATATGAAAAATTCTAACACATCTTTCTATCAGGGAAATTAAAGAGTTTTAGTCTCATCATTATCTTAATAAAATGTTATGCAAGAAATAAAATAAAATAAAATTTTATATTAATTTTTTAATCAGATGCCATCATAGCGCAGTTCTGATTTAGTTGCAAAATTATTGCACTCTGCGAATGTTAGAAATAAATGAATAATTCTAAATTTTACCAATTTTTTTCTGAAGAAAATTACCGGCTTGTTTGATGTCGAACCTGTGGCTGGAAGGAGATATAGTGGGTTTTAAGATGATACCCTGTGTGATGATATAGTGATCGTCGACAATCGCATTTCGATATTAATTGAAGAATGCAACAGATCTAGCAACGATGGATTCATAGCGTAGTATATAGCATTTATATATTTAAGAAAAGAGAACAAGTTAGAAATCTAGAGAAGCCTGTATATATCAGCTCTTTAATATTAGATTTTAGTATCAGTATTCTCAGAGCATTAATTATTAAAGCGCTCGCATGATATGCGCATTTCGCTGAGCCATATTTCGCTTAATAATATTCAAATAAAACTGCAAAACTTTCAAAATCAAGACACGCTTAAGAAAAGCCATACACGTCGTATCACTTTCCGCGCATTAAAAATACACGCACACTTTACACAGCTATTATTCAGACAGTAGCCGGATAAAAGTAGATTTAATCCTATTTTTTCCCCCATTATCTCAAGCAATCCACAACGGTCGAATTATATGGATAGCAATCCAGTTGAAACACACGCTGTTTAAAATTCTCCTTTCACGAATAAATTTAATTGAAAAGGTATCTTTGCCCCATGAGACACCGTGAGACAAATGGCAAGGCAAGAACGTCAATATTTCAGGATGCGAGCAGCAGCAGGGTTGCAGCGTCGCCGACGGCGATTCTGCGTCGAGTTGTCGCACCTTGGAGACCACCAGAAGTGCCGTAGGAAGCGGCGGCGGCGATAGCGGAACCGGCGGTATACAACCGACAGGCCAAACTCATATGACCTCGACCCCGGTCGCTCAGCATCCGCACCAACCAAGCTCGATTTCAGGCTGCTTCGCCTCTTGCTGCGCGGAAAGCGCAAAGAAGGTCGATTACATCTCTAACTTGAAGCTGAAGTCGTGAATAGTAGATGAAACAAAATGTAGATTGAACGAAACACTACACACTGTTAAATATTGAAGGATGAAATTTAAAACAATACCTTGAGTTAAATAACATTTTGTTATTTTTAACTACCATGTATGTAGAAACAGTATTATTTTAATTCCATTGGTTTAGTTAAATTAACATTGTTTCAAATTAACGACACATTGTTAGTATTATAGGAGCATTGGCGACCTATACATATATAAAAATAGTTAAAAATCACTTAAATTGAGTATAATTTGACATTATGCTAATTATTTTTATAATTGCAGATATATTTCGGGGTGTGCGTGACGATATGCGTAACCGCGAGTTGGGTCGGAGCGACTCATTGCATTAAGTATTTGTACTTTCATAAGTCAGACAAGATCTCGGAAACGTCTGAGTCCACAAATTCCTCCGTTAGCGGACTTCATCATCAACATGTGAGCTTACTGCTTTTCCTCTTTCTTATTGTCTCTAACGAGTACATTGGCGAGTACGACAGTTATTATCTTCAGATCATTCTCCCGTACGATGCGCCCTTCTTCACGACGTGGTTCTGCACCAATTGGGAAGTCTTGTATTTTCCGGTATACTTCATCTGTTGGGCTGCCAGAACCAAGTGCGTCACCCCCTCAGAGATAATCGCCGACAGCCTCCGCGGTTTCCGTGACAAGGGTTTCACCGGCGGCCGCTTCTTAATCAGATGCAGTCTTTTCTGCGGCTTATGGGTCATTACGAATTACTTGTACATACTCTCGTTGAGGATACTGCTAGCCACGGACGTGATAGCGTTATTCGCAACCAATGTTTCATGCGTCTACTTGCTCTCGTGGGTTATTCTTCACGAACAATTCGTGGGCGTGAGGGTGAGTAATTTTAAGAAAAGGCTGTTCAATTTTTATTTCAAAAATAGGCTCGATTCTATATTAATAAAATTTAATATTACGCTAATTTGCTAATATATTATTTATTAAACACAAAAATTACTTCTATATATATATATATATATATAAAGAATGTTGAATCTTTTTATAAGGCTAACGAAATAAATAAAGGTGTATCACAAATTTTAATTTTTTTAAATATATTTTTACATATGTGTAATATATCTTGGCATTTATATATCTTTATATAATTTGCTGAAATGCATTCTTTATAATATTTACCCTTTATAGTGATAGATTTTAATTTTATTATATCAAACATATAATAGAAGATTTTCTTATCGTTTACAGATAGTCGCAGTAATCCTCTGTAACACCGGTATCGCACTCTTAGCTTACATGGACGGCATAACCGGAAGTCCAACGCTGGGAGGTGTCGTTTTAGCTACAGCAGCGGCAGCTGGCTCTGCCGTTTACAAAGTAAGTGCCTAATATCATCACTTGTGATCTGTAATTACACTTGCAAATACGAGATGTTAAAGTTTTAATTGATTATTTTGTGTTCGTTAAGGTCCTCTTTAAGAAAGTAATAGGAGAAACTACGTTCGGCCAAATGTCTTTATTTTTCTCTCTTATCGGTTTGTGTAACGCCGCTCTGTTATGGCCGATTTGCCTGGCTCTGTACTTTTCCGGAGTGGAAACCATACACTGGGCAAGATTGCCATGGGCAGCATTACTCTCCGCCAGCATCCTCCATTTAGGTCTGAATTTATGCTAAAATTACTATTTAATGTGAGAATTGTACTCGTAACTGAAATGTACTTTGGTTTGTTCACAGTTGCGAACATGCTCGGCAATTTCAGCATCGCGATCACCTACGACCTATTCATTACTCTTGGATTAATAACAGCTGTACCTGTGTCGGCTGGTAAGTAAAACGATCGATCATTTATTTTAAAATAATCATAAATCAACAAATGACTCCTTTTATTAATATACCAGTAATCATCTAAAGTGAAGATTATTTCATTTATATATAGAAAGGGCGTAGAAATAAGAATAGAAGCAGAATATTCAAAACAATAAATTTGGAGTATAATATTTAAAAAATTATCTTTTTATTTTATTATACGTTATTCATAAGATCCATCGCTTACTAATGATTAATATAAATTGTGCAGCATTGGACGTTATTTTTTACGGGGCGTACTTCATGGGCATGAAGTTAGCAGGCATGATCTTCATAGCGGTGGGTTTCTTCCTCGTGATGTTCCCGGATAATTGGCCAGATTACATAACAAGGCTGCTCCGGTATGTTTTCTCAGTCTGTATTCTATACGTACGACGCGTATATATGGTATGCATTTTTAATTCGGAGTTCATTTAATTTATCTTTTAGTCTTTAGTTTCTCTAGCGAACTCTTCGATCGTCCGAGACGATTTGCCTATCTCTCTGTAAATCTTTACTCTTGCAACAATATCGGACTGTTGTCTTTTACCTTGTTTGGCACCAGAATAGAGGCAGCGCGTAGTCTCACTTAAGTAGGATATGCTTGACCTACCTATCTATATATCTATAATCTATACATTTATCTTCTATACTGCCTTAGTTTTTGCGATTCTTCGAAGCGTAATAAAATATATCTTATAAATCGCTTATGTAAAGTGACATAGAACATTTCCTGGAAAAACTTTACGAAAAACGCCCGTTCTCGCAAAACGTAATGGTTTCGATAAATCCCCCTTTCGTCGCGAAGCGCAGCTGATCAAACGCGATCATTATAAGAGCGTAGGATTTTTTTATAATTTACCATTATATTATTTGCGATTCTGTTTTGTTTGGGAAATCCTTAAGGTGATCCTAACCGGTTTTTTTCTTAGCACACTAATCTTTTAATTGACTTTATAGAAATACAAAATTCTTGTCTAAAATTAAAGTACGCATCAAAATCTAGGTCATGGTGGTCAAATTTATATCAAAAACGAAAAAAAATTAATATTTTTTGTTATACGTGACGACCAGATTTTGATGCGTACTTTAATTCTAGACAAGAATTTTGCATTTCTATAAAGCCAATTAAAAGATTAGTGCTAAGAAAAAAACCGAAAAAAACCGGCTAGAATCACGGCTTTAGGATCACCTTAAGTTTCGATCTGGACTTACGTTGAAACAATTTTTACAATTTGTTTTGCGTCTCACCAGCCTTTACTTTGCAGCTTCGCAGCTAACGTTATTCCTACATGCGATAACATTTTCAGATCATATGAGATATTTTCTTTTCGCTGCATAGAGATACGCAGCCGATTATGTCGAAGCATATATATTGCGGTTTTGTTTCGCATTTAGAGGCAACTCGTGCACATCGTCACGCTTTACATAAAAAGTAAAGACCAGCACTGATATTGTTTTACAGGATGCCTGGAATATACAACAGATTTAAAAAATAACTAAATGAATATATTTTATATAGCAATAACACAGATAATGACAATGTAACCGGCATAAAAAGCTAGAACATTTTATATATACATTTTTCTCATAAATACTCTAGTGATATATATGTATATTTAGATATATTATAAAATATATCTATTAATTAATATACAAGTTAATCTTTTAACTTCTCTTGTTTCTTTCTAAACTTTGTTACTTTAAAGTTTAAAAGCTGCAGCTTTATGAGCACTCTGGTAATTAAAATAAATCTTGGATTTAGTATTTTTTATACGATTCTGCGAACAACGTGAGCATACAGTTTAAAAATAAATTTTAGTAAAAATGTTTTTTATACATTATTTTTATATTTAAAATTTGAAGATTTAAATTTACTAAATTTATTTGGATTGATTGGAATTTATTTGGAAACTGAAAAATCTTTTAGCTTTACATTATGCAATACTTAAGGTAAAGGTACCAATACCTGGACACGTACTTGTATCTGGATACCTTTAAGAAAATTTGGAAATAAACGTTTGAATATTATAACTGAAGTTTCAAACTACAAGAAAAAAATACTTTTATCTTTGATTTTAATTCGTGTTATACTTATAAATAATAAAGGTGTCCGGATATAGGTACATATGTCCGGGTTAGTACCTTTACCTTACTTTCTCTACTATTATTAAGAATTGTGCAAAAATATGTTCGATGATATTTACGAAATTTGTTAATTGAAATCTTGAAAAAACAAAACGCTCATTTTTTACTCTTAGAAAACTTGAACCGGTTTAAGAAATGGATTAGGAAAATAAGTGAATAAACTTGCTTAAGTTGCTTGTTGTATTGTCTTTGAAATCAATATCACTTCATCACTCGCTTCCCAACAATCAGGATCCATTATATGCTGTTACAGAAACGTAGTCCTCATGAGTCACAGTACAAGGTAAGAAAATACATCCCATACGCGTCTTGCTCTAGTTCTACCGAAAATTCATCTTTTTTTGCAATAATCTTTACAATAATCTAGATTAGTATTCAAGCATCGTAAGATTGTGATAAAAAAAAAACTTTTGAAAAATTCTATATGTAAGAAATATATAAACAAAAATTGGAATATTCAATAAACCGAATGTGAGTTTGTCATTTACATAATATGGTATTTATAAATGCTTTTTTTTTTAAAACAATTATAACGATCATGTTTATAAAATATTTAATATAAAAAAAATCATTAACCAGAATTTTATCTATTATATTGTTGTATATCAGATAAATTATTATTTATTCAAAAAAAAATAGTAAGAATTATAAATACATTTATAAGAATAAGAAACAACTCAGAATATTATGGAGTTATTAATTCGTTTGCGATGAATTTTCTGTAAAAGGGTAAGCGGTATAAATGTCAATAGGCGCATGATTTACGACATTTTTCCGATTTCCTTCATTCTGCATGCATACTTTTAAGCTTGGCTTACTTTTCATTGGCTTATCTTCCGATTAAAGCAACCGGCATGCCTCTCTTCACGCTTCTTTTCCCCGATATTATTTTCTTTTTGATCATTCAGTTAGCTTCGATGCATTATGTGTCTGTATTAGCCATTTTTTATTCGTTTAAACCTTTATTTAAAATTGGATCGATAAGACACAATTAGATTCAGGATTAACATTGTCATTGCCCTCGGAAATCTTAAGAGATTGCTTGCTTTAAACGGTCGTGCTCGTAAAGCATCCTAGAACGGTGTACTATTTTTACCCTCAATTTAGTCACGTGCTCTTGTTTGTTCGACCCATTATTTCATCCGATTAATTAGTAACCTGACCGTCATAGAAATCTTGCGATATTCGCCTTGTAAGCTATTTGTATGAAAACCAGTTCCATAATTTTCTATTTTCCTATTCTATTACTTCTATTTCCCTCTATTCTATTACATAATTTTTCCTCTGATGGAGAAGAAAAGAGAGATAAAAATAAATAATTTCTGGAACAATTTCTGGAGACAAAAAATAATGGTACAAACTGATAAAAATAAAAGTTATATGTATCATGTGCATAACTAGTTTCCGAAGAAATTATCATTTGAACTTTTCTTCTTACAAAATCATAAAGAAGACTATACTATAAAGTATGTAACAATTATAATTAACGTACAGAGATTTTACATTGTGTAACTTTTCGCAAACTGTCTTTTTGTTTTTCAAAATCAGCAAAATGCGATATATAACATAACTATATATATCAAAAATGGTTCGATTATGATATAATTAATGGCTTGAGAAACTTAATGGCGAATCGCTGGATTTCTACGCGGATGCCCGTGCCCTCCACCCCGACCTGCCCCGATCGTCGAGACTTAACGTGAGCACATGAGGACGTAATCCTTAAGTAAGAGGGAAATCCGAGTATACCGAGATATTCAAGCAACACGCGACAGTCCCTCCCGATTATGTTAAAAAAAAAAAGACCAACGAGAGACATACCGCGCTGCGAGACATACGTACTGTCGAGAGGAGCCACCAGCAGGTGTCTATCCCCGCACGGAGATAATCGAGAGATTGACTGATGACAGTCTCGGGCTTGATATATATATATGCAGTACCACGGGAGGCGGCAGCCAGCAACGCGGCAGCAGGAATATCCTTAGGGGTCGCAGAGCGTCTCTCCAGCAACGTCAGCAACGTCTGCGGAGCTACGGCGTTTCCGCCGCGCACGGTGATGGCCAGACGCTGCTACCGATCAGTAACAACAACAACAACAACAACAACAGCAGCAGTAGCAACAATCAGCCCGCCGCTCTTCGACATGTTAACAACCCCCAACAATACAGCTCGATCTCCGAAACCCAATCACGCCGTGTCCTTCCTTCTACCTCGACCTCTATCACCTCGACCTCGACCTCGACCACCACCACCACCGTCGTCAGCAACAGCTATTCGCATGATCCTCGTAATCAACAGCAAGGTATGAGAACGATCAGGCTGGTGGCGAAGCCACGCGTGACGCGGTAAGAGAGAAATCAGGTAGGACTCAGGTTGCGGGAAGAGATCAAGATCGAATCAAACGTGATCGTGATAGTTGGCTGGCGACGAGTAGCACCGTGTAGAGAGTCTTGTTATACCTTGTTGTAACGCTCGAGGTACGAAACATGCTGGGTAATTGAGCAGGGATTTGTTAGCGAGTGGCAGCCGCAGATCATCTTGAAAGCGCTGAATATTGAGTTGCATAATGTTACATTGCTATGTAAGCTGGCGCCTAAGTGATTAATGTAACGTAGCGTAAACGCTAGTAGCGGGTATATACAGGGTATTCTAGATAAGTATCACTTATTATTTATTTTCTTTTCGCCAATTTAAAGTATCTACTCTCTATAATACTTTTTTAATATTAAATATTTATTAATATTAAATAATAAGAAGTGATAAAGATTGAAACTGCGATAAAAAGCAGAGTTATTTAAAATTAAAGGGAAGAGCAAGATATTCTTGTCTATTTAAATCATCATTATTTAACATCGCTGAAAGTTTCTTTATTCTTTAGATTTTATTTATAATTATCAAAAAGTATTCTACATTTTAAAAGATACAATTTCGAATAAAAAATCTCGAATGAAAGACAGCTTAGAGACACCCTGTATATCGATATGAAAGCATATGCGTGTAATGAGGAATGCCTTTGTAAAAGTTCTAAATTTCTTCGCATCTATTTATTTTATCTTAGCTCATAGTGACCTGTTTAGTATCTTCTCCCGTAAATGTTGCAGGTATTCGTAAATGTTCCAAGTCATTTTTATTTTCATTGTATACATGTATACATGTATATCGTCCGTGTGTCCCATATACATTTTTGGAATGAAACATAGCGACGTGTGTCATGCTGTTCGATATTTAACGGTACAATAACTGTTGTCATTCAGTTTGTTAATTGGTGTATCTTGCAAAACGAAACGGGCAATCCCATGTAATTCAGTGACCATATATTCGATCAGAAAATTTTTGATGAAACGTGATAAAATTATATAATGATATTTCCACGTAATAATGGGATATCCGTGGCTTTTTGCGTTGAATATAAATTTAATTTCGCGTGGTGATTTTCTACAAATATATAGTAAAAGTAAAAAGCTTAAAATAGAGAGGATCGTAATTCCAACTTTTTGAATTTACACACTTTAAAAAATGTCACTTATATTCTTATTTTGAATTAGAAATGAGATGATGATAATAAATTGAATTTTATAGTCTTTTGTTTTTGAAGCTGCTCTGCTGAACGAAGTATAATAATAAATCTTAATAAACCTTAAATTTATCCTGCCTTGTGCACTACAAATAAAATAAATATAAAAGAGAATAGTTATAGATAAAATATAGTAATTATACACTTTCGTATTCTTCTGCGACTGTGCGCCGTAATTAATAAAATATCTAGGATATTATATTGTTGGAAAATTTCCACGCGTTTTTCCCGTCAAGTCGGCGTGTCCTGCATGCTGATTGAGATTTTTAGTTAACGACTGTTAGAGAATCACCGTAAATAACACAATTTTCGTTTTCGCAGGTGGAGCAGGAGACACAGGCACGGCATGTCAGATGGATCGTCGCGCGACGTGATCGATTATCGAACTGGTTACATAAAATCGCACCTACGCTCGCCCTCGGGCAGGGTTCGGTGACTAAACACGTGGAAAATCGTAGCAGTGATTAAGAGATTATGATGAGCTGCACAAGCCTCGTTGGCAATGGCTCGATGACCAGAATTATCGTCGATGTGTAAACACGAATTCGGCCAAGAAATAGATTTACTCTATCATTACTTTTAAATCGCCTGAATCCTTAGGGCTATCTTGAAGTATATTAATCGTGTGTACTGTTCCATCAACATCTCAGCCATTTAATCTAACTAGTACGAGCTCTGGAAAACGAATGACAAAATTAGTTAAACTAAGATTAAATAAACAAACGCAAGTAAAAAATCTATTCTAAACTGATTGTGAATACTTTTTGATCAAGTATCTTACTTAAATATCTTAATTTATTTAAAAAATTATTAAGCACCTTAACGCGATACCTACAGTTGAAACTGCAAAGCAAAAAAAATTATTTCAAATCGCGTAAAGAAGTCTTTAAAGAGCTCATAAGAAATATCTTGCGGAAATATATTAATGAAAATAGTATAGCTGATATTCTCTGTCTTGCTGTTGATGTTTTCTACTCTTTTACCACCCGATCATCATTTCCTAAAAAGTTATAATCAAAAGTATTCACATATTGGACCTAGATATCGGAGATATCTCTGTGGCATTCACGATATTAACGTACATATTATCGATGTATGTATGTGGTAGCTCAATTTAGCATAAAAATAATGTCGAATCGACAGTTAAGCGGCTACGTAAATCTTCTCTAGGTATATCCTATTATGAAGAGACTCACGAGAGGGAACTTGCTATTATGACTTAAAAAATAAAGATGACTTGCAATCGCAATGATATTGATAAATACAGTTTTCGATGTTATAGCGTACTATCAGAAACAAATCCCTATATGGCTCGTCAGAAAATTTGAATTTAACGAGATTTGTCGGTTTCAACACGTTTCCCAATAAATAACAGAAATATATTACAAATAATATATTTCAATTTCTTTCAAGATCTTCATTCGACAGTTTCACGCTATATTCACGAATGTCACAATATTCGACGCATCATCATTAGTGGAAGTTACAAACGGATATGAATAATACATAAAGACAATCAGAAATAGTGAATTAGCTCTATAAATACTATTCGTTTTTGAAGATATCCGTATGACGTTATTTATAGCAAATATCGTGATGAAAATTAATGATACGATGTTTTACCGCAATATACATTTGCAAATTAATGCAAATGGCTCATAGTGATATATTCTTATCCCACAGAATTATTAGTGTAATATTACAGGGTTGATAGTTTTATTTCTATTCTAAGTCCTTCTTACCATTAACACTCTAACGGTGTCGAAATTTGTGATGACTATAGTTTGTAAAATAACAGATATTTAACGCCAAGAATACTGGGTACATGACAGCTCAATTCATCGATATACATACATATACATTATATACGTTTCCGTGTTATAGTAAATTTCACAATTAAAGTAAACGTACATAATGAAATTTGGGGATTATTAAGGTTCGTGATCAGCTTAGAATCTGTTTATGATGAAACTATAAAAGTCTCGTCGAGCTCGGATAGGAAAATATCTGTATACATAACTTCTATAAACAAATTTAAGTATTAAATATATTTTTATAAGTATTGCATACGACATTTTCATAGAATTATTTTACACTGGTTATTACTTTTCATGAATTATCTACACCAATAAGTAATTATCTCTATTTGTGTTGCTATATAGGTACAATTTTGTATACATAATCATGACAGATATCACCTACAAGTTAGGCAATTAATTCCAACATTTTGATTAATAGTACGCCGGAACGTATGTCGACAGACTTATTTCATTTGTACATATATTGTCAATTACACAAAAGTTAACACACGACGGTTGTAACCGCAATAATTATAATGTTTATCGTAAAAATATATTGTAATAGAGACTCTAGTTTAATGTTGATATACAAGAGGAATATTGTGAGAACGAATGTGATTGTGTCTGCAATAATAAATCTAGTTTAGTAAGAACATCACTTTTATTATCATTCTTCTCGTATTACACGTATAAAAACTGCAAATCTATTTAAAGCAAGTATTGGTATATTATTCAAAACTGTGCTCAGTCTCGTTGCTGAAATTCTTTCACGCGCTCTTGCGCACCGGATGTATCGGGTGATCCACACCGGACATATCGGGTGGATGTTTCTCACAATAACTGATCTCCTGCATTCCACCCGCCGCGATCTCCCAGAGATCAGGATGCTTCCGTTTGAAATTGTCATACCATTTCGCCACGTAAGACCACTCGTCCAATTTGAAATCGATAGCTTCCAGGCACATCGTCGCGGTTATCAGCGGAAAATCGGCAATTGTCAAGTTGTCTATTAATAAATGTACGTATTAATAAATTTTTTTATTACATAATTATATATACAATTATATGATAAAATTTTTATATTAATATATAATTTTGTGTATTGTTATTTACTTTTATCTATTTGTTGTAAAATGATAAGACATTAATATTTTCAATTCTCAATTTGTCGTATGTACCTACGTTATTATATGTATAGAATATGTACGTATACTCACTGCTTGCTGCATACTCAGAGTTTTCGCGTTGCAAATACGTATTAAAGATATCCAACCCAATTCTCGTTTTCTTAAGACTCAACGGCGTGCGTTCATAATCAAAGAATATTGGCAAGAACTGCGATGTAGGTATGAGTATGAACAAATATAAGCGTGTTCGATGAATCCAAGAATACGAGAGCTCAATCGACATTTGAACTTACGGTATATTCGGCGATATTACGATAATAAAGCGCTAAATTGAAACACAGACGATGATTGACAATCGCACGCAACTTTGGTGCCTTCGGATACAATTTACCGCTCGTATCATACTGGTCAGCTAAATATTGCAAAATTGCGTTGCTGCAACGTGACAAGACAGGACGATATAAATTATGCACAAGTCAGACGATGCTATAAATAAAGTCTGTAACATGCATTTTCTTCCTTCCGTCTTACGGCTAGAATTGTATCTATACATTTACGTACATGCGAGATATAATTGTGTACAAGTAACGATTATATTTTGCGTGCACATAATTGTTTATAATGAAAGAAACCTATTCGTATATTTACAATGTCAAAGAAAAGCTCTTCAATTTATGTAATTACCAATTGATAATGAGTACCTTTAATATGCGACTTCTTACCTTTCACCCATTACAAGATCATCGTCAACAAGAGTCGGTACTTCTTTTTGTGGATTTAGCTGCAACAATCAATATAGTATTAGTGCTTGTTCAACGCGCTATTTATTCCTCTGTTTTAAGCTGTACCTTTTCGTATTCTGTAGTCATATGTTCGCATTTCCCCAAATCCACGTTGATTAATTCGTACTTAATATCCAAAGCCTTCAACAACTGCCGGCAAGCAAGAGATGGTGGACCATCCGAAACGCTATATAGCTTCATATTGTATCTGGAAGATGCAAGATTACAGGTGTACATTTAAATACAAATTTATATGAAAATTAAATGTATTATTAACTAAATTAAATGTACTAATAAAAAAATATATCCAACTCTCTTTTTACGCGGCTTTTGTACGTTTCTTTATGCGGTTTTTTAAATAATGCGGTTTTTCGAAAAATTTGTGTAATCCCTCGTGTATCTATATGTAATACAGACCTTAATTTTAATTCCTATAAATAATAAATCAATGAAATTTTTTAAGATACATGTTCCCCCCATATTATTATATTTAAAAAGCGAGTAATACCACTGGCACCATAAATTATAAATTTTTTAGGATAACTTTGAAAACTAAAAAACCACAAGTAAATAAGTATATAAATAAAAAATAAAAGAAGTACAGTTTAAAGTTTAACTTGTTAGTTTTCAGGTACACATACACATGAACACATTACTTCAATTTTCTCTAAATTATTATCTTACATATATTTGTGTACATTAGGGAGCGTCCCCTTCGCCTTCCCCCCGCTAACGGGTAATACCCTAGACGGACTATAGATTTTTCAATCATATTTGTTGTAGCTCCAATCATTTTCAGCAACTCATACTACGTTTACGCGAGCGTTACTTTTGTAGTCACTTACGATAATTCACTCGTTTACGCGGAGTAAATTATCGTAAGTTACTACAAAATCCCGTTTACGCGAAGGAATTATCGTAAGTTACTACAGAAGTAACGCTCGCGTAAACGTAGTGTCAGTTATTATTGACAGTCATGATTTTCGATTATCATTCATACATTGTTCGTTCATCCGTATTTTTTTCAAACTTTTTACAATTAATCATGTAAACAACTTTTATTTCAAAACCAGCGCGCGCATATTTCTCCCTCTTTTGGCTGCCTTCTGATATTCACTGCAGTACTGAAAATTTATAGTGTACGTAACGTAAACTATAGATTTTCAGTACTAAATATTGGAACACAACAATTATGCACATGGTATACATGCACCTGCGCAATTGTTTAAGTTCAATCTTTCTGATAGTATTATTTTTTTACATGGTTTTTCCAAATAATGATTTCTAAATAATAATTTTTTTCTTACATATACGGTTCTTACATAGAACGTATGTAAGAACCGTATAAAAAGAAATAACCGTAACCGCATAAAAAGAAAATGCGTATTCCAAAACAAATTCAATATGTTCAATAAAAAAGCGTAATTTTATATAAAGATAAAGAAAATCCAAGAAAAATAAATCTTATATATTAAGAAACGGAACTTGCTTTGTTTCTGAAAAAAAACCCGTTAATTTACGTATCAGATTATCTTCAAATTTTATTAAAGTTTAACTCTTTTAGTGCTGGTCTACAATCACAATATGGAATGTGAGAAGAATACTCGATTGTGATTGGTCAATTTCTTATAGTTTAAAGCTTAAATACCCTTTAAGCAAGGTTGTAGACCAGCTTCTTCTACACCGAATGATTGAAACGTACTATATATAAATCATAGACGTATATGATAAACCAGATAAACTGAACATTCCCATTGGAGATTTTCCGGCAAGATTTAAAGGACAGAAGATTATGCTTGCAGAGACGATTCCCTTTTCTAACGTTTAGGTTAGGACACAATTAGAAAAAGAAATCGTCACTGCAAACATATCTTTTGTCCTTCAAATCTTGTCAGAAGATCTTCAATGGGAATGCTCTGTATCTATTATATACATATATGATATAAATAAACTACATTATTTAATAATATTCAAGTAAATATTACTTACATTACTCAATAGCGTGAGACAAAAATGCGACCGCAGGCTGCTGTGACAGAAATTATACAAGATGAAATGGCTTCTGCACACAGAACGCGGGAAGAAGCACAGGTTTGCGGGATGCCGGGAACTGGCGAGACGCAGCAAGAAGGGACGCGGTAGCCAATCAACATGCCATTTTTCCGTGAGAACCAGAAGTTTATTGGTTGATCGTGTCGCTTCTTGCCGCGCGGCAAGTGTTTTTGCGCGTTGTGTGTATAGGAACCAATACTAGCAACATGATAACAAGTGCCTTTCACCATCTATTCAAGGCTGATAATATCACGTGACCTACTTTACAGATTCTATTACGTAACGAGTCTGAATAGTCTGAATGCGTGATACATGCATTATCATTTGATAAAATCTATCTACTTATTCATATATATGCATAAAGCTGCTAGAACATTCTCACGTATGTTTCAAAGACGTCATAAACACGTTCAAAAGACGTGAAAAGAATTAAAAATTTTTTTTTATCATTAAAAAAACGTTTTTATAATAGTTTTTTAAACGTTATTTTATCGGAAAAGAAACGTTCCATCAAACGTTTTTCGAATGGACATTTTTACTCATGAGAAACGTTTCTAGAAATCGGTTATAAAACGTTTTGAAAAAACGCTTATAAAATATTTCTGAAACGTGTATATGCTACCTGGGTATAATTACTGCAAAATTATTTTTTATTTTATGAGCTTGTATATTCATATATATTTTTGTAAAACAGCAATCATAATTTATTTTTAATCATAATTAGTAACTCAAGTCATGCTAATAACAAGAATTATCGTTATAAAAAAATACTATAGTACTTTGCGTAATTTTCGAAATCACACATATATCCATCAGATATCCTCACACCATATATTTATTATAATATATAACACTTTTAAGAATAAATATTATGTTTTATTTAGTCTGATTATTTTGCTGCACATGAATACAATGTCGATGAACAAATAGAAAATCAATTCTTAACTTAGGAATACATAATGATGGGAATTAACAATAAGATGCAATTGGAATAATTTTAATAACTTTTGTTTCATCATGGGGAAAATAAAATACGATAGATAAATCACACGCAGTAATCATAAAATTCGCAGACGTAACCAATATCTCAAATTCGTAATAATAATTAACTAGTAACAATAAACTGTGTCTAAAAATTGTATCTATAAAATTAAAAACAACCCAAGTCTTAACGCTTTTTCTTTTCTTCTCTTCAGAAGGTACAGAATATTTGCAAATTCTATGTGATATACTTTAAAAAAAGTCCTGCCGTCCTGTCATCATTGACGACTCTCGTTATACGAAAATGTTGGTTTGCGGAACACGGTCAACAACAAGCCTATTAACGCACATTTACACCCATGAAATAAGCTCGCATTCTGCATTGTTATAATAGCTTCACCGACTTACATTTGTATCTCAATTATATACAATACATGCACCCATACAAATAGATCTTGTTAGACAAAATTCACAAAATTGTAGGAATAGTTTACATGTTTAGACTTCAGAGAATTACACTTACAGCACAATAACAGGGACTAAGTTTTTCTTTTTTTTTTACTAAATACTAAGTTCCTTTTTTTTTATTGAAGTACATTGCATTTGATATGTTATAGTTGCAATGTAATATTACATATACCTCATTAGAATCACATAAATGTAAATACCCTAACATCTGATAAAGTCAGTCAATTCATATATGAGATTTAAAAATAAAATGTCCAGGAACATACCTAATTACACGTTATATTTTATAGTTTCATCTATTTATATAAGTGTTTCACATATACTGGAAAAATATTCGTCTTTCTTAAACGTAAAAAGAGAAAAAAGAAACAAATGTAATTGTACATTATAAATATATATATGAAGCACTCAGAAACAAAATTTATATGTTCTTATTAAAATTCCGGTAAAAATGTAGAATATGAACATTTTTTAACATTCATTTCTCGACAACTGTGTAATAGAGATGTGCGAATCAAGGATTTTTGTTGTCGAATCGAATCGAAGCGAATCGAATTTTATTTCTTCTTTCGAATTCAAAAATAAATCGATAAAATTTTATTCGAATCAAATCGTTGGAATACAATTTTCAATTAACAATATAATTATTATTAGATTGAATTTTAACGCGTGGATAATAGGATATTTTAATGTAAAAAAATAATAGATATTGATGATATAATGTGAATCCTTTTAAAGCAAAAAATATATTTAAATATTTAATATAAAAGTAATAAAATATACTTTATTTTTATTTAATGTCGCAGTAACTAAAATCAGGCAAAAAATCATAGATAAATTATTAAAATACTTTAATGTAGTATCCATTAACATTATCCAATTGCAAACATAGAAATTAAAATAAAATAATTTTATTATCAATACTTATAGCTTACTATTTTTTACGCAAATTCAAATTTATACTTATAATTTGATAGGGTCACAAAGCATATAAAAATTTAGAAATAAACTTTTTGACTATTTAGCTCATGCAGCAATTATAATACTAAATGCATTCACTGAATGTACCTATTAACATTCTTCTTCCAGTTTCGATAAGAATTTTGTGACTCTATAACTTGGTTCCACTTATTTATTAACAAAAAATATAATTTTATAGATTTAACAATATATATGATTTGTATTCGAACCATCTAGATTCGAAATTTTCGAATATTTCAGATTCGAATCATAGAAATTCGAATCGAATGAAAACGGGTGAGATTCGATTCGATTCGATGCGTATTCGAATACTTCGCACATCTCTACTCTATAACACTCTTGTATATCGCAATTTTCTTTATAAATGTTAATTCGCTGGCGATATAACAATATGTAATTTGAGCATGTCTTTGTTGGGGCCTACTAAAAACGGAGATACCACATTTTCCGATACTGAGCCCTGTTGTGGATTGAGCTCCTCGAACGGCAGAAGATCGTCCAAATTCAAGACGCGATCTTTCTTACTAAATCTATGAATAATCTCGGTGACTCTCGCAATGTGCTCAACCCCATCTTGCAAGCCATAAATCAAAACCCCGATTTTCACGCGCATGTTACTATTTAAGGGCTCCTTGCAAGTCAACGACAATCTCACTGATCGCTTGACGTGCTCGGGCATCTCCACTGTGCCCTGCCAGACTATAAGGAAAAACTTCTTGAACCATACACCCTTGGGATAAATGTCTACTACCCACTCGCACACTCTATCACCCGCATATTCCGCTAAACTGGAGTGACTAGAAAATACAAGTGTCCTCATGTGATAAGATGGTAAACTGTGAAAGTTCTCTATGGTCAATAACGAGCTACACGTGTCAACGGTATACAGTCTCGGTTCAAACAGCAACGCACCATCTTCTTCGCTCATGCTGACCTCTCTCACTCTGTTGATTTGACCTGAATGAAAAGACATCCCAATCGACATACGTTCCACAAAGAATTCCTTATACTTCTTCGTTAACGGCGACAGCAGCAAATCCGCCAGTTGTCGCGGTGACATCATCGGGAATCTAACGGGCGACATCACCGCTATCACCAACTGATGCAACGTTGCCTCCAACTCGTCCGGCGACAGCTGCGCTCGCAAACGACCCGCCTGATAATTCAGCCAAAATTCTAGGCACTTGTAGAGCGTCATCTCATCTTTTACAACTAAACTACTTTGATGCAACAAGGACACTAGGATATCTAAATCAAAATTTCCAAAGTCCGCAGTCTTGGCCACAAGCTCGAAATTCCACTTGATGAAGTTTTGGCACGCTTGGCTGATGTCATGATGCCCGCAATTCAACGTGTACTGCAACCACGATACCAGAGTGCCATGTATAGCAGCCAGTGCGACATGATTTCGCATGTAATCAAGGCACAACGATATCAAATCTTTGACGTTGTACTTATCGGCTAGGGACAATATCGGTAGAACGACGCTATGGTTAATTCTTATCTGGCCAGTGTAAAAATAGCGCAAAAATTCGCTAAATATTGGTGCACACTGTGGCGTCTCTTGGAGAGTTACCCTGCTTTCCTGAGACTCGCTCCATTGTGGGCTCATCAGCATCACCTGTAATTTAATTGACATTGAGTATCGCTCCATGACAAATTTTTATTCTTTTCAACAATATAGATTTTCGTACTTACTTGGAAAACATCGCTAGAAGCACAGAGTATGAGTCGATGTGCCGGATATTCCACGCCATCCACAACAAGACAGATATCATTCATAAGACGCTCCGCATACAGTGTTGCTATCTTTAGCAAGACTGTACGTGAATTGTCTACCTGTAATCGGCAGATTATTGAATATTGCATAATTAAGGGCTGGTTTCACCATCTCTGATTAACCTTCGATTAAACTCACTCTTCGGCTCTTTGTAAGGGGGATAGTTAAAAAGAGATGAAGAGTGAGTTTAATCAAAGGTTACAGTTAATCGACGTTGGTGAAACTGGCCCTAAGTTAACTAATACGCAGTATTTAAACCGCTTGGATTTTTCATAATGCATATATACATACCTCTATAGAGTCTGAGCTCTCGGACTGTGCAGCAGCGTTACTAACCGTCCTCGATCTCTTGCTGGACTCCATCCTTGATGAGCCTGTCATCCACCCAATAGTAGTCCGCAACATCTGCACATGTTTTCTCGACGTATTTACAATTCAATCGTTGCTCGATATAATCAACAAAGAAATTTGGGGACGATAGACCATTTCCACAGGATTTCCCATTATTTTAAACTGGCAACGAAAAATCTTCTTATTGAGAAAAATTACACCTGTGCACACAAAGATGAGATTCTATATTCTATGAATAAAATTAATGCACAGACACAAGATTCTACAAATAATTAATCTTTTGTACGAGTTTACACATCAAATTAACTAACACGTCACGATAATATCGGTAAACAACTAGAAAAGCCTAAAAACCTAAATGATAGGCGATTTGAGGTTATAATAGCTGTCCTAATATTAACTGTCCGAAGGAGATTGGAATCTTACCGGACTGAGGGTGTCAGAAGACAGTAGCGATCATCGAGCGCGTTCGACGAGTTCAAAACCGAATTTAAAAAATTGAATTTAAAAAATTTGCGGAATTTTATAATATTGCGATTCAGGCTTCTCGATATTTCTGAAATGACGTCTCTTTTTCCTTGCTATCGTTGTTCAACGGGTAACAATTGGAACTACCAACGTCCATATTCCATAATTTATGCCAAAACCAACAGAATCGTGTATAAACCGTTCGCAAATATCTCGATAAATTTGTCCCTTTAAACTCTCGGTAGATAGTACAGATGATACAGCATGACACATGACACAGTTGGCGCGACCGTTACTACTGTATCATTACCGTACCGTTGGTACACACTACACACACCCTCGACCACCTTCGACGCTTCCACCGCTTCGACGTTTGTTACGCGCAAGACGCGACGTGAAATAAAGTTCTCTTACAAGATTTTTATTTGACACAGAGTGATATATTAATAACAAGTGTAATATATTTCGTTGTCCCCTATTTGATTTTTTTCCCATATATGTACTAAAACAACTATAAACGATAAAAAATTGATTATTCTGTCGGAAAGAAGTCTGAGAATGAACATGTTTGCGTTTTAAGTGATGGAAGTACCCATACTGATACACAAAATGTGGACATTGAATTAACTACTATACGTATAGCCACAATTATTTCTAACAGCTAGGTAAAATACGCTATGTATCAATCTTCGGTTTTCGGTTCTGTTCCGAAATAGTTTTCCTATAAAAAACCTTTTTTTCATGTTCTCCACTTCCGTCATAAACATCTAGTATAATTGAAAATTGTCAAACAAATTTATATAATCGTATAATATGCATTCATTATGCAACTAAAAAGTTTAGAAAATTTTATACCATAGAAAAATCGATGTGTATTGATTTTTTAAGTATGCACTACTTAATAGTCTGAATAAGCTATAAAAACAAAAAAGTGACACATTGCATCGCATACGTATTATCTTATCTGTCTACTTATTTCTTTTCTAATCTTAAAACAAGATTTGCAATTTGCTACGATAAATATAGATTCTACGGGCTACGGGTGTTATGTACGTTAAATTAAGTTATTCTTAAATTAATGACATATTTTTTTATATTTCTCTAACAATATGATGAAATCACTTTTCGAAATTGATGTCGCTATAAATGCTGTTTTATATGTATCGATCGATATTATAGAGATGATTATATTTAATTATGTTACGTCTTGGACATAAAAGCTCTTAATTTCAAACAAAATTTTAATAAAAAAAATTATTATGCTTAGACTGATAATGAAAGCAGAGTATATTGCTTGAGTAATATAATACTGATAAAAACGGAATCCGGGACGTGAGTCTGAAATTTCTGTTACCCTTATGCTAAGACTCCATAGACGCGAAAACGCCATGCGGCAGAGTGCGTTGACCAATCACAAATTTTGATTTTGCCGCAGGCGACTTGCGGCAGCCTTCTGATTGGTCAACGCACTCTACCGCACGGCGTTTCCGCGTCTATGGAGTCTTAGCATTATGGAGGATTCACACTGTGTCCGATGTACGACGCTGATATCCAATAGGAAAGTTCGTTTTCTAGAGACTCTACTAGAAACGAACTCACTTCCTATTGGATATCGGACGTCACAGGTACACATCGAACATCGGACGCAGTTTAAATCTTCCATTATCTAAAAAATGTAAAAGAATATTCTATTTGTTTTAAATCATCAGTTAAGACACGTAGTTCCGACAATAAAAGTATGGGTGCGTTCAGCCGATACTCCGCTAGCCTAGCAATCGTGAGCAGTCGCTCGTTTTCGCTCGTTTCCTCTCCTTTAAACCAATGGATTAAAAGGAGAGGAAACGAGCGACTGCTCACGATTGCTAGGCTAGCGGAGTATCGGCTCTAGAACGCACTCTATGTTTTATCTGTTTAAAATAAGATCCCGAAATAGGCCGGAAATCAATAAGGGTTGTCGGTGACCTTAATAAAAAAAGCTAAAAGAGAAATCGCCGATAGATAAGAAAACTCAATTTCCTTATGCACATGTATATGGACCAATCAATTTTCTTATGCGTATGTTTATGCGTTATGCAAGTTTGTCTGGATGATACACAGCGCGCGTCGCAGCGACAAGGGTTTCGAGAGCCAAGTGGCAGAGATCGAGAGATCGAAGGAAGGAGTCGATAAAGCGAAGCGAGCACGCAAGAATCCGCACGTGGTGCACACTGCACGTGATGGTAGGTGGTACGGGTGGTAGTAGAGCGGTTGTGAGTTGTGGTTGTGAGCAGTTGTGAGTAGAGAGAAGAAGCGAGAGAAAACGGAAAGCAAGCAGCGAGGGAGAAAAAAGAAAGGACTAGAAGAGGGAAAGGGTGAAGGAAAGCAGAACGAAGGCAAAGGACAAATAAAAAAAAAGTAAGTAAGGGAGGAAGATAAGAGAGGCGGGAGACACACACGCAAGCACACGTAAGGGGGTTAGAGGAGGAAGAAGTGAGCGGAGGAGATGGAGAAGAGAGACAGAGGATACACACATGCATGCACGTAACACGCACAGAGGGTGGAAGAGGCGCGTAATGGTAGAGAGAGAGGAGGGGAAGAGTCAGGAGTTAAAGAAAGTTATTTATTTGTAGGAGGAGGCAAAAGGGGAAGAAACTCGGAAAAGCGGACAGAAAAAGGAATCGGTGGGCAGAGGGACGAGACAAGAAGGCGGACGAGGAGAAGCAGAGGCAGGGAAGAAAGTCAAAGTCGGAGAGAGGGCAGAAAGAGAGCAAGGGTGCGAAGGGTGAAGGAAGAGAAAGTAAGGAGGAAAGGGGAACGCTAGGGAGGGTAGGAGGATGGAGTGGGTGAAAGAGTTGACGAGGGGGTTAGCGAAGGTGGGGGAAGAATTGGAGAAGATTAGAAGGATTATGGAGGGTAGTAAAGAGAGAGCGAGCACGAGTGGGGAGGTGGAGGAGAGACAGGAGTGTGAGGAGGGTGAAGGAATAGTGGGGCGGAAAGAGGGAGAGGAGTGCGGGTCGGAGGGATGGTTGGAGGAATTAGCAATAGAAGCGGAGGAGAGGGAGAGAGAGGAAAAAAGGGAGAAGAGGACGGTGAGTGAGAGGAGGGCGGAAAAAGGGGAGGGTGAAGGAAAAGTAGATGAGTTGGGAGAGAGGAGAGGTGAGGGAGGAGAGGAGGGTAAGAAGGGAAGAAGGAAGGATCAGGGAGAGGGTGTAGGAGAAAGGATGAGGAGATGGATAGAGGATATGGCGCGGAAGAGAGTGGAGGCGGAGTACGGAGTAGAGCGGAGGGAGAAGGGGAGAGAAAGAAGTGTTGAGGAGGAGGAAGAAGAGACATCAGAGCTAGGTAAGGGAAGGGGAGGAAAAGGACAGGACATAGTAAGGAGAAGGGAGGAGGAAGTAAGGAGGAAGAGAGAAGAGAGAGAGAGGGTAAGGGAGGAGAAAGAAAGGAAGGAAAAGGAGGAAGAGGGGGAAAGGAGGGAAGCTAGGAAAAGGAACTTGATCTGGAGGGGGATTGAGGGGAGAGATGCGGAAGAAAGGAGAGAGTTTGTGGAAAGTTTAGCGAGGAGGGTTCTAGGGAGAAGGATAGGGGTGAAGGAGGTGCAAGAAAGGAAAGGAGAGGGGGGCAGGGTGGTGCTACTAGTGGAGGTAGAAGACGAAAGAGATAGGGTAGAGATTCTAGAAAGGAGCTGGGAGATAAGAAGGAAGTGGGAGGTGGGAGTGGATGAGGATTTGACGATGGAGGAGAGGAAGGCAAGGTGGAGGATCGTGACAAAGGCGAGAGAGGAGAAGGCGAAAGGAAGGGAAGTACGGATTACGAACAGGAGAATTTGGATAGAGAATAGAGAGTGGAGGTGGAATGAAGGGAGGGAAGAATGGGAGGAAGAGTAGGTAGGGAAGGAGGGAAATGTACGAACCGTGAGAGGGAGAGGGACGAGGAAGGGAGGGAGGGAGCTAGAATGTTAAAGACCGCTACGGTCAGGCCGGGTTATGAAAGTTTTGTCATTGTAAAGGGTTGGGTACGTCCCTATAAAACGCCACTGTCAAAAGATTGTAAACCCTATGGGGAATAGCAATAAATTACTTACATACATACATACAATATACTTTCGTTCTCGCTGCCACGGTTGGGTAGTATCAGTTTTCAAACTTATAATGATTTTGTTAAATTTAAATAATTTAAATCGATACGCGTTCGTCAAGGTTCCGATCAATCACCTTTCTCATCCGCTCATTTACTGCCTAAACTGGAACAAAATTCATCGCCTTCATTTCCTAGCTTTTGTATCGTGATTTCCCTTTCTTCACCAATAATTGAACCTTAAATTCATTACTCTGCCGTTCCCCCTTCGAAAAAAGTCAGAGCGTTGTCTCCATACTCCACGAGCTGAAACGTGCGAATATACACTTTGACCGATTCTCTTAGTACCTTATATTTATATAACGATAGTTACTAAATTTACTTTTGTTTATCATAAATTTTATAAATCAATCGAAGAAAAAGGAGCGTCGAGCCGTAACAAGGTGTTAGTGTTAAAAAATTCTGTATTAAAGTAAAAAATAACAAATGTTTCGGACCTTTATAGGACCATCTTCAGTGTCGCATAAAAATTAAGTCAAAATTTCGGATAAAGTTAACATACGTTACAAATAATTACAACTAAAATTAACGCAACAGTTAAAACGTTGAATTCGAAGTGGACCATACTGTAACAATTGTAATTTAATCTAATTAATTCAGTGGGTTTATAGAATAGGAACAATAATTAAATAGTTAATAAAATACGTATAATTTAAGTTAGTTTCTTTCTGCTGTGAACTATTTTGTAGGGTCGACATTTCAGTAATGATGTGTTTAGTTAAAAATGAACTGACAAAATACTCGGCGGCGAGATAACGAACCATATATATAGACAGATAGGGAAGGAAAGGTAGGGAAAGCACGAAGCTACTAGGGTGGGAACAGATTGAACCTGAAGATAGTCCACTGAAAGAGATTCCGTATCGTTTTGCTTGTTTAACGGAAATGACTGTCGTTTGATGTGTATCATCTCAGAAATTAATCTCTTACGGAGTGATGGCTCAATGTCTGGTATCTTAACGTTGTCCCATTCAAACTCGTGGTCAGTCTGTAAACGATGGCACGAGATGACAGAAGGGGAATCAGAATTTTTATTTATGTCTAATCTATGTTCCTTAACTCTGGTTTTCAATTGTCTTTTGGTTTGGCCCACATAAGTTACCTCACATAGCCCAGTTAATAGAGACATTTAAATGGAATTAATTCCGGGAAGCAATTTTTTTTTTTACTGTTTCGGAGGGTCATGAATAGTCTAAAACCGGATTTTCGGGATTCTAACCCTGGAGTGTTAGCCGCCATTTTGATTAGAAGGGTGATTTTGTAAATATCTCGCTTATTTTCAACTTTAGAGTGAAAGTGGTAATAACCAAACTCGTAGAAAATTTAATACTTTACAATTTTGGTCTTTATCATTTTTCACCTAGGATCGATATTTTGGGTCTTAGACTCGAATGTGGGGGGTGAAATTTTATTATTTTATTTTTATTTTTTGAATTTACTTAGTATAATGAAAAACATCTTTTGCACATCACCACGGGGGTAGAGTTTATGGTGCGTTTATTCAAAAAATTTCTAATCAAAATGGCGGCTAACGCTCCAGGGTTAGAATCCCGAAAATCCGGTTTTAGACTACCCATGACCCTCCAAAACAGTCAAAGAAAAAAAATCGCTTCTCGGAATTAATTCCATTTCAGTGGCTTTTTCGGGCTTTATTGGGCTCCATTTCGGACTGGGCTAACAATCTTATTTACAGGGAATTTTATACACGATGTTACTGTGGGCAAGCTTGTCAAGATTGTCCTTGCCTGTTTTAAATCTTTTAAGAGGATGTGCGACGGAAAAAAGCCATCTCAAAATTTAGCCATCTCAAAAAATAAATTTTATAATTTTTAAAGTCAAAATTATATTTCATTTTATTTAAGATCTCGCCCTTTTATTTTAAGCTCCTCATCTTTCAAGAGGTCCCACACAAAAGGTCTCAGGTATCAAGTTTCTTGACTTAAAAACAGGACCGACGATCGCATCGCTCACGGAAAGCGTTATAAAAGAACATATGTTCTTTCAAGACGTTGGCCCATATTCGGAGTCTTTAAAAAGTGCATTCGACTCGCATGCACCTCAGTGCGAGTACCTGCGAGAAGGAGTCTGTATACAACGTCCTTTTACATTTCCACTCTTTCTAGCCTTTTTTCTTTCCCGGAAATTCATAAAAACTAAAGGGTTTGGACGTACAGTTGTGAATAAAATATTTTTTTTACCTGAATCAATGTGTTGTTTTATATAGTCAGTGTTGGATCTTGTTAGACATAACACTGCGAATAATATTATTAAATAAGTTTTTCTCAAAATTATATTCAAAGACGTACAATTTTTATGATATAGTATTTCTATTATTTTCTTTTACCATCCATAAAGTTGATGTATTATTAATATATATATTATTATTATGGCATAATATTGCCTGTGATTGTAAAAGAACATTTTTGCATAAGAGACAAAATGGAAAGCTCCTAACAGTGAGATACAAAAAAAGAACAACTCATTATGGATGTTAGATTATCTTTATTATTACATTTGTTTAAAAGACATAACTTATTTATAAAAATATGGGAGAGCGGGTAGCGGGATAGAATATAATAGGACCGAACAAATCCTTAGTTCGCTTAGTTAATACTAATAAAACTCAGTACTTTTTACAAGTTACAAGGAATAACAAAATCTAGCGTAATAATCGGTCTGTCATCTATCCTATTGTAAATAATTGTAAATTATTATAGCATAATGCTTAGTTATATCGTTTTTTTAACACAGAATGATGGTGCATCAGAGAGCAGTTGCTGTTAAATTTTGAACACATGGTAAAATCGCTTTTGCTTGCTCAACAATTTACACATATTATCTACGTATTACTAATTTTCTTTTAACAAACGTATCGATTGCAGATCTTTATTCAATACTATTTGGATTTCGTTATCCTTTTAAAAATTGTACTTTTAGTTGCACTTTCGTGCGATTGATCATTTCACTTGTGACGCGATATTATAAGAGAATATGTATGTGAGTATATATATGTATGTATGTATGTGTGTATACATACATACATACATGTATATATTTAATTGTAAATAAATTATTTTACTCATAATTAAATATATATATGTATGTATGGATGTATATATGTATGTATGTGTATGTGTGTATATAGTTTTGTATAGTTTTCTTAAAATACTTATATTTTTCTATACAGAAAATATTCTTTTTGTCTATACTCTCATTTTCATTATTGGCAGAATCCACATAATTTTTCATGATATGCGAGGCAGTTCTAAAGATATGTAATTTGTTACAAAAAATGATACAAGTAAAAAAAATATTCTCTCTGAAAAGTGTATGTTCATAAAGCAAGCACTGAAATTGCGTTGGACCCATAATATGCTCAACGACTGGAGAAAAGCTCCGTTACACCGTTGTATGTAATCCAGAATTGCATCAAGGATTGCATTCACACGACGATCCTTGATGCAACAGCAAACTGCATACGATATAAAATACGTTTATATGATAATAATATGATGAAGGAGACATGATTATTTTATGCGGTACGTCTTACAGAAGTATAGCAGTACAGCTAAACTTATACATAGTATATAAAAAAATATGTAAAAACAGTTTGTACAAAAATTCAGGAGAGAAATGACAATTATATAAAAGTACTTAAACAGTAAAAGATGAGCGGATAGAAAAGATGAAGGAGTATTTACATTTACATTTCATCTTTCGATATAAAATTAAAACAGAACCATTCTCGACGATTTCACAAATAGATCGCATCGATGATACCAGCAATGTCCTTCGTGTAACATACGAAAACGTGTATCACTGGCATTATATTGCAAAAGCGCGCGCACGAACTTTCTTCATCCCGCAACAATAGTTAATTCTCATCTCTCTCTCACCCGCACGCGCACACACACGCACACACACGCGCACACGCACACGCACGCACGAACACACACACACATTCATGCACGCACGCACATTTCCTCTCTTTATCTATCTATCTTGATTTCTATCTTGCAACAATCTTCATGATAATGCGTTGTGATTACTCATTACGCGTACCATTCATATGCACCGTTCGTATGCATGTAAGCGTACGATTACATTAAAAATGCTGTTTTGGCTTTGGCAGAAAAGAGATCAGAGAACCGTCCCACTGCTCCGCGCCGAGTACTTAATTTAAGGTAATTGATATACCTAAAGATTAACATTAATAATTACGCTAGCTCGTTTAGTAGATGATTTTTCCGAGGGACTTAATAGCGCGAGTCGAAGAAAGATTGGGAAAGGAGAAAAGGAAGAAAGGGAGAAAGAAAACAATTGTTGGCGCGCCATACGCAATGGAATGTCTATGTATGGAACGATGCTCCGCGAGCTGTAAAGGACAAGTTCTCTGAAGCTCCCGTCAACCGTACAGATTATAAACGTTGTCTCTTCGCTTTACGTTACATTACATTAAATTACATTTAATTACATTTAATGTAATTCACAAATTACATTTAATTACATTACATTATATTACATTACATGCTGCCAGTATAAGCTGACATCTCAATTATATTAACTAGTAATAAACGTTTAATCTATTTAGAGGCCATTTGGAAACGCTGCGTTTCTCCCAATATAATTTAATAATAGATCCACCTATAGAACCTGCGTGTCTTATACTCTACGGAATTTGAAGGCACAATTCATGACTTATTTCTCATTCGTCTACGTTTAGCGAGAATGGATTAATAATGTTCGGCGTTCGAAAAAAACGGTCAACCCAAAAGTATACAATAAGTATATAATAAGGAAAGAGAAAATCCATTAGCTGAGAGAATCCATATGCGATTGAATTAAATAAGGTACTGCATGTTACATGCTACATGTAATTGTCTCCGTGGAATAACAGACACAGCAGCGCGAATGATAAATCTATTGCGATATGTACAATTATTATAAATTAGCAAGGTCTCGTTTCCTTACTTATTATTGTCCATTAGAGGTCTTCACATTGGCAAGTCGAAGGCACCGATTTATTCATTGAGCTGTGTATGACGCCGTGACAATAAAAACTTGACAGATATCAAAAATATACTACAAATACATATATAAATACATGATTGGTCAATTTCTCTGTGCGTAATTCATTATATAATTCCGCTATAAACATTCGTTTAGAAGGCCGTTATCAGCTACTTTTTATAAATTGTGCGATTCTCAACTTTCCTAAGCATCACGTCGTATTAGAGAGGCACAATCGGTTTTGTAATTTGAGTACGTCTAAAACTAAACTGTCAGACTATGCGCGATTCGTGATTCACCATTCGCCGTTCATGATTCGTAGTAGATTCGTAGAAATTTGTTGTCCGCCAATATCAATCTTTCTTGCTATTAGTCATATTCATAATTTTTATATAGTGTATACGCAAACCAATATAAATTGATAATTCATGATGATT